CTTTCGCATCCCATTCGAGCAATTACAAGCCACGCTGAGCCGATGGCACGAGAACGCGAAAAATAAGAGGGCATAAAATGGCTAGTGCCAGCGTGGAATTTCGTTCAATAGAATCTCTCCAAAGAGGATGAAAATTCCATCGTGACAATTAAATGGCACCAGTGTCCAGCGGTAGTAATATTGGTTTTTAATGAGTGATGTTGTTATGAAGTTTGTAAAACGTGTGCGCTCATTGATTTTTAGCGAGGTCAATTGCGCTTCGGAATTTAATCGCGAGACTAATTTTATTGGATTCCCCGGCGTAAATTACAAATACTTTTCAATAGATAACAACGACAATCTACGATTAAACGCTGTATAGGTTATACATAAAGCTAGGCTTTATTGAAAAATCGAAAGTTCAAGGCATGCATTCAACGCTTTGTCTTGACAGCGAGTGCAAATACAGGCGTGATATGAAGTTGACAGTGAGAGGGTCGATCTTAAAAAAAAGTATTTTTACAAACTTCGGATAATTCAGATAATTATTCTCAGACCCAGAAAATGCCTTAATTGAGACGCAGAGCGATTTTTCTATTCGTATGCGACGCGTCGCCTTTGATCGAGAAAAACGAAAGCACTCGATGTACGCTTCGCCAATGTTCGGTAACAATTTATGCATATCTATTTGTTTTTCCCTCCCCGTATTTCAACACAAGTATGCATGCAAAACAAGAAAGTAGGTGCAATTTCAGTAAATTGAAATTGTGTGCGTGGAGTTTGTTGTAGAAAATTAATATTTAGAGGGAGGTTTGTAAATTTGTGGATGTTATCGCAGGCAATAATTAGATTAACAAATGGTAAATTAATATATCTTTCTATAATTCCCCATTTTCGCTTCTTTTTATAGATACACACAAATTACTAGTGTAAAATATTTGCAAACTATATGATAAGAATCATGTCGTATAAATGTTGTAAGAATAACTCAACTAATATATTCAGCTGAAACTTAAAATTAATTCTAATGTCAATATCACAGTCGTAAAAAAGAGAAACTACGACAAAAGTGCACCTGAAAATCCCGCGAAAAGTAATTGAATGGCAAAAACAGAGATAATTTGCCGCGACCGGCAGTTCTAATAACAAAAGAGATATAGGCGCGTGGTCATTGGATGGATATAACATACTCTTTCCGCCTGCTAATAGCGGATAAGTATGTTTTATCCATGAAATGCTCATGCGCCTACATGATAATTTACTAATGATTATGAAAAACCATGTTTCATTGAATATACATTTCTGGGTATTTACTTTAACATCATATTTTTTAATTGTAAAAGAAGTTCTTAATTAATATATTGTTGTATTTTTGTGTTTCAGGTGAGATTTGCTTGATAAAATTCGAAGGAAGTTATACAAGGCCCAAATCGTAAGCTTAGATCAGAAATAACCATTTTATTGAAAAAAATAAAATATCTTCACCATTTTCTCATGATGTCTAGGTCCCCCCCCCCCCCCCTCGCCTTTCGCTTAACAAACAATCGCAAAAAAACCAAAGCTCGATCATCCTCGCGCAACGAGCAAAAAATATATAAAAACAAAGAAACATGAAAAATAGAAAACATTTTTACGGCAGCGCTATGAGGAAAAATTGCACTCGTTAGAAAATCATCGCGAACAATCATACAAAAGCTCTTGCTACGAGAGACAATCGACTCGAGTTGACAGCAGCAGTAGATGCATAAGTATCTCTCCCATACGCGCTGAGAGAGAGAGAGAGGGAGAGAGAGAGAGAGAGAGAGAGAAGTGAATACGTGGTAGAAGGATGAAACGCGTGGTTACGGACGTATTGACAGATGGGTCGATCTCGCACTAGTGACGCCAGCTTCCCTAGAGCTGTTCCCTTTTTTTATTATACTGTCGCTTAACCTGAACGAGAGGAATATTAAGCGCGAACAATTCTTGGGCGGAATAGTGACGAGGAAATGTGTTGGGTACACGCGCGAAAAAAGAAAAAGACAGGAAAGAAAACGCTTTAAATGTTTTTGTTACGGGTTGGAGAAATGTTCAAAGAGTAAGAGAAACCTTTTCTTACGAGAATGAAAGGCTAAACTAAATATTGAAAAATTATTTGTTGTAAAACGTTGATTATTTGCATATTTCTAAGGGCACTTAATAAGAATCAAAGCAAAAATCCGTCAATTGTCAAAAAAGATTACAGCATCAATCCCGTTTGAAGACTTGTTCCTCTTCTCGCGAAGTGGATGAGTGGAAGCTGCCAATTGATGTAAGTATAAAACGAGCATCGGCGATTCTGATCCCTATTTTTTTGAAGGTACTTTGTGCTTCAGACAGGAGAGGAAAAAAGTGGCAATTGTCAGGAATGACGAACAAGAGAAAAGAAGATTGCTCTCTAAGACATAAAAGACAATCGAAGAAGAAAGAAGACTTAACTTAACTGGGGTCAAATTGACTCTAGTAGGGAGTCCCTGCATTCAATATGGCGACTTCCTAATAGAGTCAGGCTGACTCCTTTTAAGACGCTCACCAACAACGTTTTATTAAGCTTCTTTATAATTAAGTTTTTGCACAAACTGTCTGCCTGATGTCTTACCGTTGTACCGTCGATTTTTATATCAAGTTATTTTATTAATGTACACTTTTGGCCTTTCATCCACTAAGAAAAAGCGATTTCTTTTCGAGAAGAAAAAGAGGGAAATCCAAACATAACTAATGAAATGAAATTCAAATAGATTTTTCAACTCGATGTCTACTGTAATTACGCACTTGACGCGCCGCCGCACGTGAATTTCTGATAAGACAAAGCGAACGTCTTTAGAGATTCTAAATAAAGTCCTCGATGACATCGAGCTAATTGAATAACATTCAAATGCAACTGCACGAAAACACTAATTAAAACGTCGTCGTTGTTCCTTCATTCGTTCGTTCATCTCGAGCCGTACATTCATATACAACGACAAACCTTGTATTCATGGCGAGTTTACCTCACTGACATAATTGGACATTTTCGCGTTGCTTTTGTTGGGTAAATATTCCACCTTGAAAAAAAAACACAATAGATTTTTTTGTCTGTGCTTCGTTAATTTTCGAAATATATAATTCTCACTCGCAATTGGAGAACAAACACGAGCGATTGAAGATACGATACTATCGAAAACCAAGCACTGCAAGCAATACATATAAGGAAGCAACACAGATTGGCTCTTTGTCTAGCCGTTAACAGAAATAAAGTAAGGAAGCGAAAGTTGCTGACGACGTCGCGACACGCGATGTAAGCTGATCCCGAAAACCGCAATGCGGACTTGTCGTGCCAGACAGCTTCGAAATCGCAAAACATGTACACCATAAAACTATTATTGCAGTATAGACTTTCCCAGCGTTCGAATCGCGATAAACAATTGGTTTCGATGAAGGGGTGAAAACCTAATTAGCCATTTTCTCGGCGTTTAATCGCAAGCGCAAAAATATTCATCAGCGCTACGTCTCAGTGAAGAAAACAGGATGAGTACCGCAGATATGGTTGCAAGCTCGTAAGCCGTATAACGAGCAATTTGCAAACAACAACGGGTGGCAAGAGGGAGAGAGAACTCCGCGCGACAATCAGGCTGATTGCCAGAGATTGTGCGCTCGCGCGAATACTAATGAAGATTGGCCATCGTACTACTGCTGCCTTGCCACCGGCTGTCAGCGTAAAGTTATTTCCCTCAAGGATACACGAGAAATATTACACTTGACACTCGTTGGAAAATACATCTTCTTGGTCAAGAGGCAGCTCTCTATTTGACTGTTGTTTCCTTCACGAAAGTAAGGAGTTAGTGGACTCTTACTCGCGTATGAACATTTACACGTTGCAGTCATTGAAACAAAAAGAAACCGTTAGTTAAATAAAAATACACAGTCGACCTGCAAATCCGACAACTTATACGGCCGCGAACCCACCACAAAATAAAAGCCCCAGTCACACGTACGTAACAATAAAACAATTACTTTCCCCAATTAGCAAAGAAAGCTCAATTACGCCCGTCGACAACATACTTTCGTTTTTTTTCTTGTTTTTTGGCCTCGGCGTCGTGGAATTAAACCTCGTCGCGGACGCACAGTCGCATCATCGATTTGTAGCTACTATGTGGCCGCAGCTGTTGCTGCTGCTGCTGCCGCATTGCGTGCATTTGTAACGCCGCGCGCGAGATAAATATTGTCATGCAGTTCGTTCGTATGCTGCTGCTACTCTGTCAAGCACACAACGATAAGTGAGTCTGATTGATTGACAAATAAATTAAATTCATTCGAATGCATTCGACGATTCGGCGATTTTTGCCCAGAGCTCTTATCAACCAATCGAATATAATCGCACTGACCCACTGACAAAACCTACTTGAAAGATTCTTCTCGCTCAATTTCATAGGTATGTGACGTGTGTCGAGCGGTTTCACGCGTGAAACACTCGATGTCTGTCAATCGGCTGTGCGATCCTCTCGCAGTGCCCGTACCGACAAGTGCCGATGCATAACTAGACGCGACTCGAGAGTGCCAGAAAGTTATCACGATGGATAGACGTTAATTAATACGGCATTATACATCTATATATGTAACACTTCGTCGATGCTCTCAGTTATGCCTGAATAGTTTCATCCGATATTTGTCTATAAATAATAGCAATACCTACATCACCTACAAAAAGTATGAAAGCTTCGGCATATGTTCTTAGTAAAGTTAATTTCGGTAAATGCTAAAGTGTAAAATCAAACAAGCATAATAATGACAGTGTGCCGCTCGTAAAACGCAGACAGTCAGAGCTATCTCACTCCCCCTCCCTTCCCTGGGTAACAGCTGCTGTGTATTGTCGTTAACCTCTTGTCGAATCGCGCAGAACCGTAAACGTTACATACAATGCAAAACTGCGCAATCCTCAGAACCGAATAAATCCTCCCAAATAAAAAAAAATAAGTGCACTAATAGTATTATCTTGCTCTTGTTGTCTCTTTTCTCTTTTACAGTACAACATAAAGAAGAGGGAGGAGGTACAGGAAATGATGCCTCAAGAGGAGCCTAATCCGCTGATGCGCAAGAAAAAGACGCCGGAAGAGCTCGCAGCCGAGGCTGAAGCGGAGGACGAGGATGAGCTCACGAGTTAGTATATTGCTTTATTGGTAATGTAACCGCGAGAGTAACTGATTGGCCAGTCTCGAGACATTCGGCATATATTGATCTGGAAACCAGAGAGTAGATATATACGGGTGCAGGAATGCACATCGCAATCGATAATACCTTAACGAGTCGTACGTACATACGTGAAATTCAATGAGCAGCCGCTAGAATGATACGTGGGCTTAGTCGCTGTAATCCGACGCAGCATCACGGAGAATGATTCTAACGGAAACGTGCTTTTGTGTGGCAATGTTACAGAATTGAAAAACACGATAACAACGCAGGTGGACGAGCTGAAGACGCAAATTGAGGCGAGATGTAGCCTGCAATGAGTCCACCTTGTCGAGCATACCTCCGCCGGAGCCACAACTACCACCGTTACCAAAACCTCTACCCACCCAAAGACGACAAAGAGGAATGAGAAGACGACGAAGAAAAAGGAGGACTATCATTCACTCTCATGGCCCGGCAAAAGTTACATCAGTACATGCACTTTCACGACGATCTTGGTTCCTTGGGCCTGAGACGTCACAAAAAAAGAGAGAGAGTGTGCCCCCCCCCCCCCCCCCCCCAGACGACGACGGCAAAGCATCACAAAACAATATTACACGTTCACACAAAAAATGTTAATGAAATCCTTCTCCCTTTCAAAAAAGACAACCTCCGACACAAGATATACTCCCGTTTACAGCAATAGCGTGCTTTACTTCGACGAATAATTGTCGTCGGTAGATGAGAGGTGAACAAGTGAATGGTGATGCTGATGATTACAACAACAAAAAGTATCTAATCTCTAAGTTTCTAGTGAACAAAATGAAAAAAAAAGTACGATTTAGCTAAATCTAAGCAGTAGCGGAGTTATATAGTTGCTAGTTCAACAAAAAAAACATGACGGCTGTTTCAATAATAATAATAATAAATAATATTAATACCAATCAATGATTCATAGATATCGTGTGCGGCGTGGCGCAGATTATTGTATTGTATAGAGGTTAATAGCCGACAAATCGATTTTGTGTTAAAATAACGAGCAATTATTAATGTCAACATTATTATGATGAATTAAAACGGTTGTAATTATACTTTAATGTTCACATCGGTCAACAAATTTTACACTTAAAAACCAGACTATATTCTTGAAGATTTTTGGTGTGCTGAATCCAAGTCTTTACCACGTCAGAATTTCAAGATATTCTAACTCAAAAGTCCAAAATCACTGTTTTTCCGGATTTTTAGGCTCAAATAACTTTACAATTTTTATTTTATTCAAAATCCGGAAAAATCATTTAAAAAGAGCAATTTTTGAATTTTTATATTATTGCGTCGAGATTATAGCTATACTTATATCATCTGAGTCCTATCTATGGTGGGTTCATTGCTGATGAGTTTCAGGTTATAGTTTTCAGCCTACTTGGGTATTAACACAATCTTTATATGTAAATCATTACTTTTATGAATCATTCTTAATTCATGATAATTTTAATAATAACCGAAATATTAAATGCTGTAATTGTTCTTCCATATTATGGACATAAGAAAAATTTGATTTTTCCATGTTTCAATCGGCAATATTTCGGAGTAAAAAAATTTAGAGTAATGAAATCGAAAATTCAAAAGATGCTCTTTATAATGAGTTTTCTAGATTTTAAATAAAATCAAAACTCGCAAAGTTGTTGGAGTCCAAAAACAGGAAAAATAACAGTATTTTTTAGATTTTTAGATTAAAATATCTCGAAATCCTGACGTGATTGAGCAATTTTGATGCCGGATTTAGATTCAGTGTACTAAAAGTCTTTAGGGTCGCATGTTTCCGTTTATGAGTGTGAAATTAATGGAACATTTGTTAACCTATATTATTATTATTTATGATGAGTCGACGTCAAGTTTTAAAGTTAGACGTTATACGTTATTATAAATATAAACAAAACAGACAAGCAAACCGTTGCAAGTATGTTTGTAAACAATTAGACGCGTTTGTAGTTATTAGTCGATTTTAAAAAAACTGAGAGAAAGTGATGATGTGTGAAAGAGAGATTGAGAATGAGAGAGAACAGAGGAAACTAATGGAAAAAACCATTTTTAACTTAAAAGAAAAAACTTGAAGTAAGGATTGATTGGTACAAAATCGTTGAGATTATGCGAGTGGACGGTAGTTTATTGTTCGGCCATCCGTCCGACCAACGGCCCAAATTAACCGCTCGAGACGCTCGTGGTCGTGAAAAAAAATACGCGCACGCCGCGCATTGTTATTAATTGTTGTTGTTAAATTTTTGCTATTAATCCCGATGGCGATAACCGAAACACACACACACACACACACACACACACACACACACACACACACACACACACACACACACACACACACACACACACACACACACACACACACACACACACACACACACACTTTCCCTACATTCATCAAGTTCGATTAATTTTTACTGATAAAAACAAGTGACGCTAGAATCGTTGTATATGTGTGTTTATCTGTACTTCGGTTACCGAGTGAAGAAAAAAAATCCACGGCATATGAGACAAAAGAAATCGTAGATAAATGCTATGTAGTGGTTGTTCAACAAAAAATATAAAAAGTTTGGTATTATGACCCGAAGTCGTACGACACGAAAAAAATGAGACGGTGATTTGAATCACACGGTACGTTTTTAAATTTTTTATGACACAACATAACTTGGCAAATTGGCGTGGATAAAGAGAAAGAGAGAGAGAGAGAGAGAGAGAGAGAGAGAGAGAGAGAGAGAGAGAGAGAGAGAGAGAGAGAGAGAGAGAGAGCGAGAGAAAGAGAGAGAGAGAGAGAGAGAGGAGAGAGAGAGAGAGAGAGAGAGAGAGAAAATATCGTCCGTTAGCGCCTCGAGCTTTATAAACTGTTTACTTTGGGCCGTATGCGCGAGCGCGGGCTGTTGTTGAAGTCGATTAATAAATAGATTTAACAAAATCACGTTCGATGTTGAGGATTACAAATCGCGCATGTGCGGCGGATGGTTCGCAACCAACTGCCGGCAGGTGATGCATGCCTTAATATATAATTGTACTTTTACCAAAAGGGTTCAAAACGATATGTACATGTACACTCGATAATGGAAATAAAAGAAAATTATACACATCGACACACGTAGAGATGTTGTTGAATCACTTTACATTACACAATACTCGAACACAGATAACAATAAATTGATCGTTTGCGTGCGTCAAAAACAAAAATATATGTGTGAATGTGTGCGTCGTAAACACGTGCGATTCTGCGCCATCAAGTATTAACAAAAAAAAGGTTCATAAGATCTTATAAATTGATCAAGATGGAGAAACGGCTTTTATTCAAGGATTGCTAGCACGTGAAAGTTATTTAAAAAACGTAGAATTTACGTGTGCGAGGCACATCCATATAATAGCGGAATACAAAACGATAGAAAAATTTGAGATATATATAAATGGCTTTGCGTTTATTAACAGACCAGGTTCGTAAATATGTTTTTACATGTTTATACTATCAGGTGAAAGTTTAATATAAGAGAAAATAATTAAACAAACAAACAATCTAAGGTTAATAGAAAAATTAAGTAGAAAAAAGTTATACTAATCTATCTTCTTATGGAACTGAAAATACACTAATTAACGAACAGATTTTGAAGAGGATTATATAAAAGGAGGGCGAAAGTATCGTACCGTGTTGCGACGGAAGCAAAAAAGCGACCTTAATATTTTTGCGCATGTACAGACTTTGACAAAAAATATAAAAACCTTATTGATCGAGTGGAAAACGAATGAGAGAGTTATAACATTATTGAAAGAATGTGAGAGAGAATAAGATGATACTTACCAAGTTACAACCAAAACGAAAAAAACAGAAAAAAAAATGTTTCACCGAGTTAAAAACAATGATGTGAAAAAAAATTATGATAAACAATCACGTGCGTGATGCTGTTTTTGTATTGATAAAACAATGAGCATGAATATAATGTATTTTTTTAATTTCAAAAAACGTAAAGTGTTATATAAAAACTGTGGCGACAGTCGAACGCGTGACATAGGACAAGTAAAATATATACGCGAAACGCAGTTCAGTCTATATTTTCGCTTTATAACAGCATGTTAAATTGAATGTATAACCTATAATCTTAATTTTTTTTATCTAAGGGAGTTCTCGATTTTCGCAAAGTATGAGGATTAAAACGACATAAAACAGACGTGTTTCAAAAATGCAAAAAACACGCAAATTTCAATTTCAAAAAACGAAAATACACAGAATTGCCACGAGGTTAATAAAAAAATACAGTTGATAATGTTACCACCAAGCTTTCACACCTTGTATTAACCATCGAAATCGAGTTAGCGAGTTTTCTAGCAAAAGTAAATGAGTCACAAAACCATTATATTTTAAATTGTTCATGATAAACAGAGAAGTCTCAATGATATTAGGCTTCACTAATAAACAAAAAGAATACGCTAGATTTGTACAAAAAGACAACATTGACGCTATGACAATATGATTTTCGAAGGTTCAATACAACTACAAAAAGTATGCGAGTGTGCACAAATAAATTTCGATCAAATTGTTTACTGCGCGCGTTTCATGTTAATAACTTTGATAATCAAGCAAAAAGTAAAAATACACACACAAATCGACTTGCACTTCTTTAAACTTTGCAAAAAACAAAGAAAGAATGTCGCTGCTGCACAACTCTACGCGCGATGATGACGACGCTGGAACCGAAACCAAAAAAATCTCCCAATTATAAAAAAGTTTGAAGAGTCAATGAGTTCCAGAGTCGCTTATCAAAGATTCTTGCAAACAAAAATTCACGTGCAAATTTCTTCTTTCTATGAACGCAAAAATCGTGAGGTTGACACACAAACAACAACCAGCAATCGCAAATTATTTGTTCGGTTTCTTTTCGGGAGTTTTCAATGTTCATTGAGGACTCCAATGAAGCCGAAGAAGACGCGATGTAGCGCGTTGAAACGAAGAATGAAACAAAAAAAAAAAACAATAAATCACCAAAACGAGAAACACGTCACTTCAATAAAACAAAGAAAAAATAAGAATAATAATGAACTTTTAGCCCGCAGGATCTGCTAACACAAGAAAAATAAAAAATTACAGTCTGTCTCTCTCGTGTCTCGATGTTTGCATGCCTGTTCTTCTATCTAAATGTGCTTATATATACATTACGACTGTCAATTCTTCTCTCAGAGGAGAATAAAACAAAACTTTTACTCTCTCAAAACACCTCCTGTGCTGCAGCTTTTACTCGTCGTCGGAAGCTCGGTCGGTGAGGATCTCGAAAGTTATCCGATCAATTTTTTTAGAGTATAGCCCTAGTGATTGTCATAGGCCGAAGAACTCAGTTTAAAAATAAAAATAAAAACATTATAACAAAACAAAAAGTGAGAGAAACGAAGGGTAACGAATAGCATATCAGTAATTAATAGTGATTGATGCGGCCCTATTCCTCAACTCGCGACAGCTCTCAAGGGTTATTTTACTCTTGGGAGCATATTTTTCTAACAAAATTTCCCGTAAGATCCAGGATTAGCTTTCCGTTTCGTAGTTTTGATCCGTGATGGCGACGTTGCCGCATGTCAAATTTTTTATTCTTAAACAACTTAAGCTTTATTTAAAAATTTTATGACTTTCTAAGCTCTCAATACAATTTAAAGCAATAAAAAAATCTTTTAATTCGACATTCTAGACTAAAAGAAAATAAGCAAATCTCAAAATAATTTAACAGCCCCAGTCGAACGTTCATGCCATTACGATTAATGTTGACCATATTCACAGAGAAAAATCCTGAGTTGCGCTCTAGTCGAAGCCAAGAAAAGGAAACAAATATTCTGTCGCGAGTGTGGGGCTGCGAAAAAACTCCTCATGGTACCAAAAACATTAAAAAAGATAAATAAAATCACCTAAGTGAAAGTAAAAGAATAAAAGAATAAAATTTAAAAAAATGCAGATGCATATATTTTGTTACGTGGCCGTTTGTTGACGAAAGCGTGCTGATGGAGGAGGCTCGATTGACTAAAAAATATCTACTAGGAGAAAAAAGCGTCGGCGGATAACTTGCGAGAACCCGGCTCACGCGCGCTCTTTCTCTCTTGTAAAATCATCGATTTCTCGAAAAAAATCATTAATCACAATGTTTCTAAAAAGATTTCAAACAAAAAACAAAAAATATAAATAGATGAAGACGCTTTCAACGTATGTACCTTTGTCGAGCATCTCTCCTATAAAAATAAATCTTGTTCTACTTACTTCAGAGACATTTATAGACATATATATATATATATATGTGTGTGTGTGTGTGTGTGTGTGTGTGTGTGTGTGTGTGTGTGTGTGTGTGTGCGTGTGTGTGTGTGTGTGCGCGTGTGTGTCTGTGTATGTACGCGCGCGCGCATGCATGTATATGTATATATATATGTACGTATACATATATATATGTATATGTATATGTATATTATTGTACACACACGTCTTCACTCGAGACAACGATTGACGCTACTCCTTTTTGACAGTCAGTAATGAATAGATTTGAACGATTGATATGAATTTCGTTGGGAAGCGTCGATCGCTCGTTTCTAACTCCTCTGTCCAAAATAAAAAAAAAACAATACTCTGCCGTGAAAAAATATAAGAAAACTATATATATTCAGCAACAAAAATACAAACAATATACTTGAAGTCAATTACTCCTATTATATTTATTATTAAAAATAAAAAAGAAGAAAAGTATACCGAGATCATAAGTTTACTCATATAGCGACGGACAGTTGTACGAATCAAGAGATTAGTACAATCAAGAAATAGAGAAATTTATTAATCCCCAAGATTGACAGAAAAAATAAAAAGAATGTGCAAGCAAAAAATATACGATATATTAATATTATTATAATAACCATTTACCTAAAAAATAAACGTATCATGAACACGCAAGTTGACACGAACAAACACTTTCCAACTTTTCTTTGGCCTTCTTCGTTTTCTTCACCTGCATAAGTATAAATACTAACATGCACGAAATAGGACAACAACACAAAATCCTCCTTGACTTTAAGTGCAAAAAAAATACAGAAATTCAAGCGATAACAAATTCTCTTTGTGTAAACGCAAAAAGCAACAAAAAAAGAATAATACTTCCGATATCTCTTGACTCGCGCCTTCGATGTTTCTACATGCATGTAAACTATATTTCTCTTATAGCTGAATCATGTGAACTTAGCAGCTTAATTGTACGCTCGATATCGATGAACGAGTCCAGATGAATTCACTTTGCCGTTTTTCAAATACATAAAACGCAATAAAAAGGAAAAGTTTGATTTTTTTCGTAGTAACTTTTGGATTTATCATGCTCTTTTCGACTTACACACATCAAAGGACATAAAAATACGTAAAAATTCATCTGGATCTCGATCGGAGAGATTTCTTCTCTATTTCCTCGCAACTTTCTAGCGAGACAAACTCGTAGCAGTGACATTCGTCTGTATCTATAATATACATAATTTATTGATGTTGTAAATAATAAAAAAGAAAACCAAGTAAAGAATTAAGAAAAAATATGCATCGTGCGTCTTTTATGCATGCCTCCTCTTTTTATCGTTCATATGTTTTTTTACTTTATTTCTACATATTTTCTTTATCACTATCTCTCTGTGATTTTGAATTTTTTATTGTATATATCTCACTGTCACATTTATGTTTTATACTCTATATGTTGCTGTATACACATTGGAGCCGACGCATCTGTGGCGTGTGCTAAGAGTAAATAATAAATGATAAGAAAGCAAAAAATATATACAAAGTCCAATGTTGCCGCTGTTGTTGTTCATCGCGCTAATCAGTGTCATGTGTGTATCGTTGTTGTTCTGGTTGTTGTTTTTCGTCATACTTTTCACTGTGTGTGTGTCTACTTGATATTTTTTCATTGGAAAATTCAACTCTCTCACGTTTATAGACAGTAAAAATTATGATCTCGCGCGAAAACAGGGATAGAGTTATGATAGAGCATTACAAAAAAAAACAATTAATTACCAAGAAATTTATTTTATTCAATTGTTTTAACCCTATCCTACCTTCTGATTTTATTGAAATTATATTTCAAATTACTATAATCTAGCGTTTAAAAAATTAATTTGAAAATATCCATACATTATAAACAATTATGCAAGGCGTGAGAAATGAAAGGAGAAAAATTGACGTAATGATTTTCCGTTTATGTTCATAAAACGAGTGATAAAGTATGTAATATTCTCTAGCCACCTTACACACGTGGCACGTGATAAAAAACGCTTACAATATTTTTGAGAAAAAAATAACTAAAGCAAATGCATTTAGCACGAGCTTGAAAATTCGTATTCGCGTATTACTTAGTCTATTAAGTATGTAAAGTAAAGTGGAGTAATGAATAATCTGCCGCTTCCAAAAAAAGTATTTTTATTGACAAAAATAGTGACCGTAATGGAAAAAATTAATCTTTTTCGTGTTGTTCCAAAGCAAACAGCAGAGCACTTAAATATCTATATCAGTGTTTCTAATAAATTATATAACAGATCTTAAATAAGCAGCTCATATAACCTCATTAAAATGTAATGTACAAGTGGAAGCTTTTAAAAAAGTATTCTTCGCTTCGAGTGAAAAAAACTGTTGGATCGTTAATTGTTAAATGACTAAAGGGATTATTTCAATAAGTATTAAATTTTTTATAAATTAAATTTTATATATATATATATATATATATATATATATATATATATATATATATATATATATATATATATATATAAAATTAATTAAAATGTTTTAATGGCAATTAAAATCATTATTATTAAATGAAGTACTAAAAGTGACTATTAAATTATTATTAACATTTATATTAAAAGAAAACATAATATTTAATGTTCTAAAATTATTCTACGTAAACAAAAAAAAAATTTGAATAAATTTTAGAAACTAAACATGTTATTAAAACTTTTGTGTATTGTATATAGATTTTCATAAATTAAAAAATAAAGCACTGTTTAACCAAAAAAACATATTCTTCAAGAATTTAAGTGAATCTGCTCTACATGTGACTGATTTCCGTGCAAATGCATTTAAACGTAAATCATAAATTTATGATTCGAATCGGATTATATCTTTCGTTCACTATATAAATTATTAATGGAAAAATAAAATACATAGCACGTATGTATTTTGAAGATAAACCAGAATTTGAATGTTTAATTTTAAGAAAAAATGTTGAAAAATAAATTAACGATAATTGGTTGAAAGAGCAAATATCAAACGAAAAGTGCAAATGACGAGCTTCTTTTGGTTTGAATAATTATAGGAAATTATGGAAATTACTCTCGAATTTCATTTATTTGAAAAAAAGAAAAAAACGTTTGTGTTCTTCGTTCCATTATATTAAGATTATACACACTGTTTTAAAAAAATCAAGAATCACTCAATGACTATTCCGAGACAACGACACAACGCACTATAAGAAGTAATAAAAAAGATTATTGTTAAAAAATCTTGAAGCGACGATGCTGCGGTTGCGTTCTTAAGATAACGTAGAATATATGTTTCCGAGAAAAAAATATAAATAAATAATACTCACACTAGCACGGAACGAAGAAAAGTTATAGCTATTAAGTGTGTGATGTGATGAAATCACGTTGTTAAAAATGTAGGTGCTCCACAATGCTGCTCTTGCGAAATTTTGAGGTACCAAGTGCCGATATCTTTTCTTTTCGTTAACGACAGCAAACTTTGTAATGCAATTAATGATACAATTAATATAATAATTAAAAATAGAAAGAAACATTTATTTGTCATAAATAGCTTTAACATAAAAATCTACCTCAAGGTTTTCTCGTGGAGCAGCATTAAATTCTAATATCAGTTTTCGAATCTAAGAAAGTAGAATGTATGATAACGTATATAAACAAGGTGACGATTTCCTAGAAAGAAACCTTTTGCAACCTGTTAAATTGGGATTATTGAGTTATTCTATATTTTCTCAACTGCCATTCATTCGGTATTTGAAAAAACAAATTTTAAATAAGTATTAATACTAAGGATTACAATTTAATAACGTTTATTAAGATCTTTAATAGATATTTTTGACATCACGTCTTGGTTTTCGTATGGATCTGCTACTTTTTTTTGAAATACAATCACAAAAGAAAAAACTATTTTCGTTTGATCAAGTAACCAAACAAGCTCACACTAACTATAATTTTAAGTTTAATACACGTTAACCAAGAAGCAATATTATTGATGCCTATTAATTGAACAAAATACATATAAAAGCTTTTTTACCCAAAATCAAAAATGAAAAAGCAGGAAAATAGTATAAATTTACTCTCACATGCGAAAAGTTATTGAATGCAAATAAACAAAAGAATAAACGCCAAGGGAAATCTTAATAAGCAGACGGTAGTCTTATAGTATACTCACGCATAGAAGCGTGAATAAAGTGAGCAGATGTAGAATTCATCCCTTAATTCTCTACAACATTTATTGAGTCTTTTTGTTCGTAATCCCCTCCATAAAAAGTCAATTATTTATTGACTGAAACCCCAAACTAATCCATATTTTCTCTAGTTACGTTTATTCGACTCAATCAATAAACGAGTTTGTATGAACGAGAGAGCGAAAAAGCGAGAAAGATGGAACGGGTATAGAAACTTTCTAGTGGTGAGATTAAAGCGGGTGTAAAATAATCTTATGAACGAAAGTCGTTACATGTAATAAAATAAGCGAACGAATTTGTTGTTGAACCTTATATTATGTAAAAGTGACGATAATACTAACGATGATGATAATATTACATATTTTTGTTAAAGATATATATATATATATATATATATATATATATATATATATATATATATATACATATACATATACATATATATATATACACATGATAAGTATTATATATTATATATATTGATACTTAAAAAAAAAAGAGGTGAAGTATATCTAAGAGTTATAAGCGATTCTTACACACCTATAACACACCAAATTTGATGATACTCGCACTCGCGAAAAAAATAAACCTAATGGCTGTCTTTCGACAAAGTTGAGGTTTTTATTATTTAATCTCCTAATTCTTTTTCTACGAATTTTGTTCTCTTTCTTATCTTTTATTTTCTTCATCTATATGTAGTAATATAGCTTAAAAATCCACTCATCATCTGAATAGCTTCACAAAAATAAGGCAAGTTATGCCACATTATACGCGTGAAATTCAGTGAAAAATGTTTGAAGAGCAAGTTGAATATTTTTCTCGAAGCTATTCAGCTTGTAATGGAAATAACACACATACACACATTGAAGAAAAGAAAAGCAGCGTCGAAAATGTTTTCTTTTCCAGTGCAAAAAAGGACGCTTCTTTTCATTCGCTTTCATGCTCAAATCAGTACAAAAAGGAATTTCTTCTCCTTTTGAATTTACATAGTAACCAAGCCAAGACAGCAAAAAGAATAAAACAAGAGATTTCAAGGATCGAAAAAAGGAATGGAAGATAAACACAACCATTAATATATATAAATAACGATTTGGACGAAGGCACGACTCACCCGTTATAGCTCTTATTACTATATACCTATAGTAATATTACTGATGAATAATGAATATTAAATAATAAACAAAAGTGAATTATCAAAAACAATGTATTTAAGTTATTAAGTTCCTACCACTGACAAATGAAGAAAAAAGTAATAAAAAATCAATCATATATATTACCAAAAAATAAACAATCTCAAGTGTTACGGTTCTTTTATTGTTTATCACGCATTTATTGTTGTCCTTTGCGTTTTCTTTTCCATTTCAAACTTTACTTGATTAAAAATTAGAATTTTAATGTTTGTATTTGTAATCAGTTTGCTGAATATATGATCAAATTGAAAAAAATTTTTTCTTTCAATATTATTTAAACGTATCATTTTATATGTTTAATCTTATAATTTTAAAATGATGAAAATGAACAAACTGGATGTAATAACATACATGTCATCAGTAAAATTTTGAATGAGTTCATATATACTTATTATTTACAAATTATTTTCACTCTTAAATCTAAATGCTGAATTTGTCAACAACGTATTAATAAAACAAACAGATCTTGCTTCACTCATAAAAATGCTTACACAAGATTAATGATTCAACATCAATGATAATTTCGTTTATAATTTTACTATGTTTATGCACCAAATCAAACTGATACCATATCAATGATGCAAGGTAAGATTCGAACGGACAAATATCAAACACGCACCAAACGCTGAACTTACGTATTTGAAAAAACCTCGATACCACGTTCGGAATTTTCTGATTTGCCGCCATCTCAGCAAATTCGAATCACCGCCAACCTACATTTCCCTGAAAACCTTATGCAATTCGGTGGAATGTTTCTCAGATTTCGCAAATCGCGAGCGAAAATTTGAACGGGTGAGCTCGTTCTGTCAGTATTCAAGTGGACATCGTGCCGAGTAGTTTAGTTACGCTCGTCGTGACTTGTCTTTTTTTACTTTTGTACTTTTTTTTATACTAAACCGCACTAAACTGTAGATAAGTTTTTTATAATGACGCGTATTAAGGGATTTTACAAATATGGATTGGTCATAACTTACTTACTGGTAGCTAACGTTGCTGCTGAGGAACTAACACTAAATATAAATGTAAAAAAGCCAATTTCCGTTGTTAGCGAAAAGTTTTTAAGTATTACGCTCGATCCAGTTGCTTTGTTCAATACTAATTTCTTGAGGTATGTTTCACGACAAAACTTGAATTAAATTTTTTATTTAATTAAAAATTTAATTTTAATTAAATAAAATTTTATTTTATTTAAAAATTATTAAATTTTTTATTTAATACTTCAAATTCATTAGAATAATTGTATCATTCTGGTTTTTTGAATATTAAATTAAAAACTTTTTTTAAAGAATCAATTTTACGTTCTGAATTTAAACTAAACTTGAAACATTGCAAAAAACGAATCGAAAATAAACTAATGTTTTATATATCCATTATCTCGACAATTACTTTCGTCTGGCATCAGCGATGTAGAAAAGAGCACAAACATGGCTCGAGCTTTGGCGCCAGCTTACGTACGCATCGGTGGACCACGCAGCAACTCGTACGTGTTCGAGCGTGGCTTGTACCCACAGGAGACGCACCCTGATCCGGGTTTGACGTTCACAGGTAAGTTTATGTATAATGTTGCCAACGTACATGCATACAGTTACGCAATTCTCGAAAACAATATTGAATTTAACGTACAACGTGTAATCATAGATCAAAGCGTTACTTTATGCGATTGTACTGCGATGTGTTTTCTCCAACGACTTGTGTAATATGAGTTTCTGGAATTTCGATCGATATGATATATTAGACATAGACGAAAGTGTTCAAAATACGTGACACCTACTTTTACCATTTCATTATCTTGCCTACTCACTTCACTACGTATTATCAGGTAGGAAAATCCAATCGTTTATTATATTCTGCATCGAGTAATTCCAAATGAAAAAATTATAATAATTAAGATGAAAAAAGAGGAGAACTAAGATAAAATCACAGAGCAACATGGTATATTGCAGACAGAGTACATTGTTTACGAGGCCGTTAAAATTCATCGTCCTCGCGCGCATAAGAGACACAAGAGTAGCACCGACTGAGACTCTGATTGAGGGCTGTGCGTTTTACGGGCGCGATGCCACGACAATTAATCGGCAATCTCAGGTTTTACGGGAGGCTCCAGTGCGCGCCGTTTTATTTTCTACGCGCGCGCATGTGTGTGTGTATGTGTGTTTAGACGCGCGCGCGCACGAGTATGCTGGTCGGAACCAATAATCTGTAACTCGCTTGATAATTCTTAATTTGTAGACATGGGGGTTTCTATGTTCATTTTTAGATTGAAATTATAAATTCTTGTTGTCGCGTGAATAAAACTATACCCATGCAACTTATCTATATTTTTTACCTCGGGAAATACATTGAATATATAGAGAGAATAATGTAATGTAATAAAAAATGTCCAAAAAATGCTTAGAAACACAGTGGATAAATTTGCACCTATGGGCCGAGAGATCAGGCCTCAATGTAGTAGCATGTATAGCACCACAAATGTCGGAAGGAACACGAGCTTGGGATCCCCGAAATGCTCTTGACCTCATTTCGTTTAGTGATCATATGGGCTATAATACCAGCTGGCAGCTCGGTTATGGTGAGTAGCTTCTATTTTTTTCTTTCTCTTTTTATATCGTGCAAAATAAAGAAGATATTTTAATGTTCAAAGACTTTTATTGCAAACCAAATTTGTTTCTATTGAAAATAATCGTAATTCAAAAAAATTATTCACCCGCGAAGAAGCCTTGTACGCACAGATGTGAGCAAAATCCTGCACGATAAATCGAGAAAGGGAGGGGAAGAGAGCGCGACGATAAGCGTGCCGTAGTGCGGCGCTATATACGCCGGATTAGATACCAACAGCGCTAGTGTGTACGCCAGTGCCACACACTCGGGACTGCGGATTAATAGTGGAAATTCTCTTTCCCTGCCAAACTCGCTATACGGTGGGCTTCCCCGACTGCGTGGTATTTACACGGACTTTTTTTTTATTTTTCTGGAGGTTTTTTTATCGCGATGTGGCAGGTTCTTTTTATTGAATGTATGAAGTAAATTACGCTAGCAACTCTTTATAAATCCGAGAATATCAACATTTGAATTTTCTTTAAGGCCCCGGTCCCATAGTTACGTACGGATGCGGACGGATACGGACGCGAATTGCAACTCTAGTAACATCACTAAAAATATCTAGTTCGATTATTTAGTACCAACACTACCGGTAGTGAGTAAAAGTGACTGTTGTTTAAAACTGTTGCGCCGAACGTACCACACTTAATGTTCAAATGTTTGGTCTACAATTTACTTTTCAAATTTTTATGAATATTGATTATTGATGAGTATGCTAATGTAAAAAAAGTTTTTGGGATGATTAATACATATCATTTATATTTATTTTCTTCTTCTTCTCATATATTCAAGTACTTCCATAAAATTAAGGCCTAATTCCATTAATTGTAGTTGAAAGTCTATCAATTCTCTATCATTTGCCATCTTATAGACTACAATAATGTAAAGATTAGATAGGTGATCATTAAATGTGGTACGTTCGGCGCTACAGTTTTAAACAACAGTCACTTTTGCTCACTACCGTTAGTGTTGGTACTAAATAATCGAACTACATATTTTTAGTGATGTTACTAGAATTGCGATTCGCGTCCGTATCCGTCCGCATCTGTACGTACCTATGGGACCGGGGCCTAATGGTTCTGTCTGACCCAATTGATTTCAACTACTTACCAGAAAATTTGAAATGAAACAATTATCATACTTTTAATAACACGTTGTTTTCTGGAAAAAATATTAATTGCCGCCTCATCAATGAAAAGAATGTCAAAGCAACTGCGATATAAACGGTGCTGACTTGGGTCGAGATGTGGTGCGTCTACGCAGTATGCTAGATGCATTCCCACGATTCGCAGAAGCTGGCATCATCGTTGGACCTGACATTGTTTCTTGGAGAACCAAACAAGAGCAACAATATCTACAAGAATATTTCAGTGTAGCTGCTACTGGACTTAGTGCCTTGACATGGCATCCGTAAATTTCTTTTTTACATTTTTATATATTTGTCGCGCAGTCGTTATTATTGAAAGCAAGTTTTCCTCAATTTTAGTGATTTCGCTGGAGTGACCCTCGAAGATGACGGTGTATCAATGCACTATGATAATCTTGCTACTGAAAAAGATTCACTTTATAAAGTTGTTGGACGTCAAGTCGCCAAAAAACCATTGTGGCTTGGTACGTTAAAATACTTTTTTTTACATTGATTTACATAAATATTGACAAAATGTCGAAGTATGACGTTCCTGTTTAATTAACAGCTGAGTCGAAGTCTGAAGACTGCAAACGAAATTTTTTGGGAGCACTTGTATGGGCAAGACGTTTAGGAAATTCTGCTAAACTTGGAGCTCAAGTTCTTATGAGGCAGCTCGAAAACTCGATTTTATTCAGACCGACACCAGTAACTTTATTTTCTTACAAATATTTTTTCTTTGCTCAAATAACTATATGCATTGTGATACTCCTATTGAAATTTTCAAAAACTAATTATAAATATAATTCCAGGACTTTTGGGTGTCATTATTGCACAAAATGCTAGTTGGTCGCGAAGTTCTTGATACGAAGATCTCATCGGGAAACCGTACACATATACACTTTTACGCTCAGTGTACCAAACCATCATCGAAATACGAAAAAGGATCCATCACTATTTTTGGTCTTAATCTTACGCCAACTAAAGTTGCAGCTAGCCTGAAAGGGCTTAAAATTAAAACTGTACATAAATATGTGCTACTACCTGGATATGATTCCCCAAATCGAATGTTTGCCGAGTAAGTCAATAGATTGACAAATATTACTTTATGAATACGTATTCAAATTCATACAAATTTATACTTTTTACTTACAGATCTGTACTTTTGAACAATGATTTGCTGAGCCTTATTAATGGAAGAGAAATTCCTGAAATAAAACCAATCATTTACAACATAGATAGGGACGTAAAATTAAAATTACCCTCTGGAGGTATTGGTTTTTGGGTAGTTCCTGGTCTCAAAGTAAATATTCCAATTGTTATTAAAAAAGTATACTATTTTTGTATCTATAGCTCGATTAAACAAAAAGAAAATGTCATTTATAGGCTAAATCCTGCATGGGATCTGAAGATGACATTGCCGATAGAAACGTCGTAAAAAGAGGAAATAAGCGTCACGAAGAGTTGGAAGTCGAAGACGACGTAGAACCAGGTGACGACAACACCCGCGAAGTCCCAGATGTTCCTGATTCACTTGAGGATAGAAGATCGTTTCTGAGACATCAGCTGCAAAGACGGCTAACAACTCGACGCAATATACGACACAGGGACATAGATAGGGACGACGAGAGAAATTTACGTAGAGGTGATGGAATTAAACGTGACGTTCGCAAGTACGAAAAGATCGGAATAAAAAAAGAACAGTACGATGATGACAAAGTACGTTATTGTCTTTCATTTTGCTTACTTTGAAGTTCTTATTTAGTTAAAAGATTTTATTTTACAGAGTGGTGCATATATAACAAGTGACGAAAAAGGTGAGAACTTGAAAGAGGCAGTCGAGCGAAAGATGTTGGACAGTCAACCGCTCGATTCCGGGGAGGAGATACGAGCCAAGCTACACGAGTACAAGAGACGCCTCGCTGACCACGAATATCACAAGAAGCAACGTCGAAAAATAATGGCTTTAACAAAGGAACGCGTTCACAATGAACCAAGCAGCGTATTGAACAAAGTAATATTATAGCCTTTATTATTCATTGTTATTCGAAAAAAAAATTTTTTCCTGGCATAATTTGTTCGTATTTATAAATAGAGTTTAGACACCGGAAAAGTAATTGAGGCATTAACGCTGATAACAAAAGTTGAAAGTACGATGAAAGGTCTTGAAAAAAACAATGATGCACAACAGAAGCTGTCTCTTTCGGCGATACTAGATTCTCATAATGCCAGCGATGTTAACTCTGAACTAAAAGAAAATTTCAGGAATGATGAATTATTAGACGAAGTTTTAAATACCGAAAAAGCCAAAAGAACGGCAATTCCCACAAAAATTGAAGACCAACTGAAAGCGTTATACCAATTGCTTTCCGAAGAGAAAAAAGATGGTAAACGATAAAAGATTATCACGAAAACATGTATACGGCATAAATGTAATCAAATCGATTTACAGCGTCATTATCTTCGAGACATCGACGTGATTTGGATAAGCGAATAGGAGATGATCCACTAGGCCTTCGTCGTGACAGTATCTTCTTACAGAGACGTACAGAAGCAAAGGAACGACGTAACGAGCGTAGACAACGTATTCGTGAGAGAATTGAAGAGCATCGGCGCGAAAGAGAAAATACAAAGAAAATGCAGCGAGATGATAGCGGTGAAAACAACTTTTATGGGTTCCAGTACCGCACGCCTCTTAAAAACTTCCCAGAAGGCGATTTGTACTTGAAAGATACAACGCCACTCGCTGAACATGGCAACGCCCCAACTAAATCAGTAAGAGCAGCTGATGAAAATGCGGATGTGTGGCTAATAGAAGCCGACGGTAATCACATGCCCAATGAATTCTATGAGAATGTTAATCAGCCAGGGTACAACGCCAAGGAAAAAGAGTTTGGTGAACTGTGGGAAGCTGAAGCGCTCTATAAAGATGACGATAATGAAAAGAACATTAACGGAGCTGGTAAATTGATTATTATACAAATGATATATTTCTTTTTATTGTGAAATTAATTATTTTTTCAAAATGTAGCTGAGTATGAAATCGTCACAGAGAGACAGTTAACAGAAGCAGAAGATCGCAAAGCTAAAGAAAAAGCTGTTCAACAGCTTATCAATTATTATGAAACTGCTCCTCAAGAGCAGACTTACGATTTCGAACAAGTGAGACAGAAGTATATACAAGGACAACGACAACAACCACCACAGGTGCAACAACTACAAAGCTTAACGCAGATGCAGTCACAACAATCTATATCACAAACACAGCAACCTCAACCACAGATATATTATCAACCTCAACTACCTGTAAACTATCAACAAGTTATTGCAGCAGGTAACAATCTTCACCACGGTAGTTACTACTATCCGAATCAGTATCCACAGCAAAATCGTAGAGCAAAAAGGGACACTAATGATATAGAAAATTTACTTCACCAAGAAATGATCGACGAAGACGATAATAACTTGAAAGATTGTCAATGTCGAGTTATTCGGGGGATAGAAAATTGCAAAGATTGTCAAATTCAAACAGCACAGCAGCAAATAGGAATGCCACTACTTATGCAAGGTCAAATTTATCGAAATCCTAATATTCCCGTTAATGGCCAAAAGGTTCGAACTCGAAGGGATGCTGAAGAATTCGTAATACCTAGTGTGGAGGTTAAAGAAGTCATAGTTGATAATCCAGAGATGATCGCAGTTATTCCAGAAGGTGTTCCTGAAATATCGGAAACAGTTTCTGAAACTCTTGAAATTAAACCCGGAGTCAATGTTAAAGATGAAATCGACAAAGCAATTGCGCCTACAACTCTAGATGTAGAAGTAGAGCCATCGGCTTTAGTAGAACGTAGTGCAGTTGATGTCGAATTAACTATAGGTTCTTCTAAAGAGGATATACCTGATGTAGTTTTATCTGAACCTGTCACAATTGAGATGAATTTGGAAGCAGAAGAAGACGAGCCACTTGGAAGTAGAGTGACACGCAAAACAGACTCAGCCAAGTTTTTTCGAAAGAAAAGCAAAGTCTCAACAACGACTGTGGCGCCTAAAAAGAAAACTAAGACAAATCAGGAGGAAAATACCGCAATTGGATCTACCACAGACGTCGAAGGCGCTAAACGTGCTTGTTCCGCTGGTGAGGGAGCTAATGACGCCTGTTCCACTACCCTTAAAACTACCGATCCTGCCATTGCGTCCTTTAATGCCAGTAATCAACCCTTCAATTCCACGTTCTTTGCCGCTACAAACCAACCTACTGCTACCATCGCTGCGAACCAAGCCATTACTTCCGCGGCTACAAACCAAGCAACTGCTCCCGCCGATACGAATCAAGCCACTGCTACCAGCTTCATCACTACTGCTAACCAACCACTTACAAATATCTTCACCGGATTTACCAATCAAGCCACCATTACTTCGATTACCGGAGCCACCAATCAATCCCCTACAACTGGATTCCTTAACGCCAAAAATCAGCCCTTCACAACCACATTTACTAGGGTTACCACTCAACCTGAATTCATCAACACAGCTCGACAGCCCCTTACAATTGCGTTTGCCAGCGCTGCCAACCAACCCGAACTTATCAACACAGCTAACCAGCCCTTTAAGGTTACATTTACCGGTAATATCAACCCACCCCCTATTACCGAATTTATCAGCACTGAAAACCAGACGTTTACAGTTCCATTCACCAGCGCCAACGCTGAACCCTCCATTGTTTCAGTTACCGAAAACAAAAACAGGTTTAATGCCCAGAGCTACGATTCAATTACCACCAAAACTGATAAACCTAGCGCAAAAACCGCTGAATCAATTACAAAAAATAAAGACAGATTTAATATCAAGACCGTCACTACGACTGCCACCACAGCTGATAAGCTTAACACCAAACTTGTTGGAACCAAAGCCACTGTCCCAATATCCAATGAGTCAAATCAATCTAATTTCCAAGCCACTGCTGCAGTGGCCAAAAGACAAAGTACAATCAAAACGGAAACCACAGAACCCGAAAAAATGCCGAGTAATCAAACTGCCAAATCTTCGTTTCTAAATAATTCAACTACTACGGAAAGAGATGTTGAGATTAAAAATAATACCTCACTCCAAATAAAAAAATTAACTACTTTACCGAAAACTAATAATACTGCAAAATTAGATGAGCTGATAAAAGCTAGACACGCTCGATTGACGACAAGAACGGAAGCATTGGCAGCGCTTCGTAAGGAAAACGAAAACAGACGAGCAAAAAAGATGATTGAAGCGTCTTTGAAACTGCTCGAAAGCGAAAGCGCAAGATTTGCTGAGTATGAGAAAAGACGGCGAGAGCAACTTGACAGATTAAAAGATAAACTGAGAGCCAAGCGTGAGAAAATGTTAAATCAGTACAAAGATGAATTGATTGAAGCAATCAATAACGGTGATCAGAAGCAAAGTAATTTACGAAGACGTGATTTGGTCGATGGATATACGAGAATCGATGAAGAATCTGAATTCTTCAATTATTCACCAATTATTGAGATGAGATCGCTCCATGATAATCTTGATTCTAGACAAACGAGGAACGAAGAAAAATACTTTTTCAATAGCAATAATAATGAATATGAAAAAAGTGGAAAAGCTAAGCGAAGTATGCCACTATATCATTCGGTAGAAGACGAAGAAGAGATATACCATACAAGTGCAGGCGACATCAGAGAAGCTTTCAAGAGATCACCGATGATAGTGCTTGAAATGAACAATAAGCCTCAGATTATGGAAGGAGATAGTGGTGAGTATTATACGCCAGAACAACAAAGACTACTGGAACAAAGAGTGACAGAAGCCCAAAGGAGAATCCAACAACGTCAAGAAGAAGCTAAGTTGCATCAGCACTCTGGAGCACAAGAGCAGTATCCGCAAGTACAATATCCATATTTTTCGCAAATGCAATATCCGTATCCATCGCATATGCAACAACCGTATCCATCGCATGTGCACCAATCATATCTACTACAAGCAAACCAAATTTATCCTCCACACATGCAGTCACCGTACCCAACAACATCAAGACCATATATGTCAGGACTGTATCATACTCAACATTATCCACAAAGCCATCATGATAATAAAAATTCTGTACCTCTCAATGCACAATACAATCAACCACCGCAAGCTATGCTTCAGCAAACACCTGTGTACCCTCCACCACCAATAAGTACACTAAAACTTATCATTCCACCGACGATAGTTACTCAACAGCAGACTGACTCTAAACAACACAGTCTAGAACTTTCAGATACCCAACAACAGCAACCATTTATCCAACAACCTAGTGCAGTTCTTCATAATCAACAGTCATCAGCTCTGCAACAAGCGAGTATGGATTACTACAATCAATATCCAGAAGAAATGACACAACAACCTGATACAACGTATTATAATTACACCCCAACAAATACTCAACAAGAAGAATTCGATGTTAATTATACAAATCAAGCTTATATACCTTCTCAGAAACAACTACAAAAAATCGACTATTACAATCTCTCACCAACAGGAGATCAACAATATTACTATCCATCTACGTCAATGAATTCAGATTACTACAAACAGTTTTCAACCACTTCTCAACAACAAGTTGATACAGATAATAAAAATTTAGCAAATACTCAACAGGTGACTACTGCTGGAATGCTAGAACAAACAGCTATTCCTCAAAGATCATTGAATCCTCAACCAATAGTTCTCTATCAGCAAAGTAATGTTGGAGTTAGCTATACCCAACAACCAACACGGTCAAATACTGCTACTGATCAAAGCAAACAGACCACAGCTATACAAAAAGTACCAGGTGCTCACCTTTACGAACAAATAGAAAATACTGAAAATTTGCAGGATTTGAAAGTGTACCAACCAGCTCCAGCAGCTGAGGAGTCAGTAGCACCGTATATGAATAGCTACTACCAGTATTATCAAAATTTGAATCAACAACCGCCTGATGTTAATCAATATGAAGTAAGCCCAACTACTTACAAAAGTATTCAACAAGTATCAGCATCTCAACCATACAAAAAAGCAAAGAGGTCGAATTTAAAAGTTCTGGAAATCAATCCATCGATCTATGATGACGACGACTCGGATTATAACTTGCATGAGTTGTTTATGAAACCATCGTCTAGATTCTCTTCAAGAAGTTCTCGAAGCCCTTTAAGTCTGACAGATAACAAAAGGCACAAAAGAGATGTTTCAGTAGACAAAGAGGAGGATGGGCCTTTATCGATTCCTTTGGATTTGGATCTTTTGAACATGATGCTAAGGGAAAATAATCCTGCAAGTGAGTATTTCATATTTTTCATTTAGTTATTTTTATTAATAATTATATAATTCGATATTAATCTGTGGGAAATTTTTTTATTTTAGACTCTGATATATTCATTCGAAAAAAACGACAAACTAAAAATTCGGAGATTTACCAAGGCAGATTATCAGTCAATAAGAACATCAAAAAAGTGTATAAATCGGACAATAACGAAAAACACAAAAATGCTTTAAAAAGATTAACGCGATTGAAACGAATTGACAATGTAGAAGTAACTGAAAAATTTCCTATGGTTAGAAAATTACAACTGGTTGAGGATCACGCTGATTACTTTCCATCTATTAAAGAATTTACATACAATAACCTTGACGAAAATAAAGACATAGACACTATGTTGACAAGACGAAAACGATCACCTAACCCTGCATACGATTATGGTGTAAAATATAATCACATTAATCGTAACGAAGACTCTGACATGAATGAGATTTGGAATGATATTATTGAAATGAAACACGATGAAGCACTTGATGAATACGATAAAAGCAAAGACGAACTGTTTTCTGATTTTATAAAAGATCAAAAACTTGATAATTTATCGATAGATGATAAAAAAGACTCAAAGATTCAAAAAGTTGCCGAGTCTACAACAAAGGTGAATATAGAATCGATGATAGTGGAGGCCATCCCGAAACTTGAAAATGTCATAACTGGGAGTATAGAGAAGGCACAAAATCTGACAGGCAACTTCGAGGACTTCATTGAGAATTTTGACGAGCAATTTGACGAAACCACGGCAAATATAGAAGAAACCTCGGAATTGCCGGAAGATATAAATAACGGGAGACTGTCACATGGTGTCTTCAAAAGTATGATTGGTGGTGTAAAAAAGTTTTTCAATTTCATTTCGGGTATTACTAAGATTTTTCATAATTATTGACTAATTAATATTTGCATATGACTAATTAATTTTTACATCTACTTTATGTGCGACTATTTTTTTTAATTAAAGTATAGTTGATATTGCAATATTTATTTTTCAAGTGTCATATAAATATTTGTAAAATAAAATGTTAAATATATGTAAATAACTGTGTACTTTTAATAAATCAGTAAAAATTTATATTGATTGATATTCTTTTTCACTTTCATTTCAATATTTTTATAAAACACACAGAAGATAATAGACATATCATCATTAATAAATATCTAATTAATATCAGAAAATGTTCTACATTTATTAAAGCAACAATTTTATTTCCGATAATTAATATTAATATGCTTTTTAAAACTTCAAAATTGTTTGAAAAACAAACATTTCTATTCTTGCCTAAAATACTTTATAGCAACGTTTTGAAATAACAAAATAAGGAGTTCATTTTCTTTCTTAACACGACTATTCAAAACAATTAAAAAAGTCATTGTACACTTTCAAGTTCATCGCTTTCGGATATACCTAAATAATAACAATATTTTATTTACTCACTAGTTTCAGTAGACAATGTAACTACAATAAAATCGAATTATCATAAACTTTCTGAGAAGTCAATTGTAACGACTTTTTTCCTCTTTTGTATTCTTAATTTCCTTGTTTAACATCAATCCATTGATCGAGTTATTAAGTTTACGTACACATGTTTCACCAGGGACTTTGTCTTTCGCAACAACCAAGACGCGATGCGTATCAAAGCATGACAGTCGGTTTATGCGCTCAGTCGTTAACGTGAAACAGCGTTGTTGATGTGATTGTTTGTGAAAAGTGTTGCTACCATTTAGTAAAATTTAATAATAAAGTCTACTTTGACACTGTTAAAATACAATTGGAAAGACGAACGATTTTTGACGATACCGCTATATTTTTTAGGAATTTATGTAAATTATGAATTGAACTATTTTCTATGAAGATGAGAAGAGTTCATTTACTTTGTTTGATTATCACTGGAATCACAGCTAGCAATCTTTACAATGTCAGTTCCTGTAAAACTCTTCGGTGAGTATTCGTTTATTTACGGGATCGATATTTCAGATTTTTAAAGTCAGTACAGAGAACTGCGTAGATTTACTATACATTCAACGTTCTCTGAGAAAATACCAATGCATCTATTAAATGTATTCTTCCTTCGTTTTTTCAATAACTTTTTGTTTCAATTTTTTAAATTCGAATTACATTAAGTATCAAATTAAAGCGAAACCGTACGTTGATCAATTAAACAAGGCCACGTTAAAATGTGATGCAATCTGGCATTCTGTCATTTTACAAAACGATGACATGCGTGAACGTTGTTAGTAGAAATCAGTGTTCTAAATGAGTGCGAAAAATTACGCGAAAGATAAAAATTAATATTTTAGCCTTTAAATACATACCTATATTATTTTACCTGTAATATTTTGTAAAAATAATTAATTATATACTGCAAAAATTCTCTTTAAATTTTCTTCTCTGATTTGATTTGAAAAATAATGTTTTGAAATTATCAAAATGAAAATAAATAATAAAAATTCTTTGCAGATCGCGTAGAGAGCAGAAAGCAGTAACTGCAATAACTACCTTCAATGAAAAAAATAAAATAAATGAAGAATTTTTACCATACCATAACACGAGAGTTTCTGACTGTACCATCCACAAAGCTGAGTACGTAAAAACATTGCCAGATTTCACGAATGGCATCATATTAGAGACATCTAAAAAAATTAAACGAGACACGCCAATTATTCCTCTGCATTCTTCTGAAAACGATGTGAAAGAGACTCCGCGTACTTTAATAGCGACCATTGGTGATGACACCCTCGGCACACTGTTAAACAATCAAAAAACTAAAAGAAATCTATCCGGTAATAATCCTCTCAAATCGCGTCATACACGTGACAAAAAATTCATGTGCCTATGCGAAGAAACAAAGTGTCACAATAAAAATTGCCTTCAAGCTCAATCTTCACGTGAAAAGACCGAAGAAGTTGAAAACAATGCAGCTGAAGTGTTAATTGACGACATGAACGTGATTGACAAATCATCCAATGGACCGAAAAAGTTTAACATTCCATTTGTCAACAACGTAAATTTCGATCAACGTGTGATTCTTGATGGTAAAAATGTACAATCAAAGTCACCTCCAATTTATCCCATCTACGCTAATCCGCTAGTTTATCACTACACTCCATATACATTGAATCGGCCAGAATTAATTTACACAGGCATAGCACCTTTACAACAGAATTATGCTCCTGCAGTTGCGTATAATAAATTCCCAAATCCTTCCCCCATTCCGGCACACTTGCTAAAGTTGTGGAAAAACGGCGCTCAAAATATGTTTCCTGTTGCTGACGACCCGAAACCAAAATCCACTCCAGCGTACATCCCGAAATATTCATCAGGAGAAAACGCGAAGAGGGAACCTACAATAGATTCAAGTAAAGTAACAACACCGAGGCAAGTTAATAGTAAACTATACCCGCACAATTATCTTTCTCGAGGAGGTAGTAATATCGAAGATTTGAGGCCAGCTTACAGATATTCGACCGACTTTTTATACTATAATCAACCTTATACTACTGAAATAGTCAGTGCTGATGAGTTTAATTTTATTACGGAAACATCAAATGAAATGAAACATCTGCCATTTGGCGATCCTACAACAACGAATTACGCACCGAGTTATTATAAGCCACAACGAAATTCCGGTAACAATAACAATAATAATGCAATCAACAATGAGCACTCATCTAACTTTCAAACTGCTTTACCAAATCAATATCCAAATGAAAATATTCCCATTCAGGTAAATAGCTTTGAGAATTTCAATGACGCACATTCAATTAACAATCAAAATATCCCTCGGTACGATTACAATGATATGCTTGTTTCGACTTTGTCACCTGCTGGTCACATTAACATTCCTACTGTTGTTAAAAATAGATATCCGGCTCAAGAAGATACATACGATCCAGATAATGATGACGGTCTAAACATAGAAGTCGATAAAATGATTAACGAACACAGAAATAATGATCCAACAATGAGTGTTCCAACCGATTCTGACTTGAAAGCTTACAACTCACTTCATAACCGACCTCAAAAAAAACTTGTTCCATCTCAAGCGTTCAATCAACAAAGTAATTTTGTAACACAAGCACCACCGTCATATAACATAAAAAATATGAAGCCATCTAAACAACAACAAAGCAATGCTGCATCACAACCTGTCACGACACTTGATGACGTGAATAACGGTTATACGAGTGATTACAATCCGCAAAGACTGACGACTATGAGAAATACTAACGGATACAAGCCAAATTGGAACGTTGCAGCTACTAACACTGAGTCAACTGATAGAGAAAATGAAAATCTCTTCAAAGAATTGAAAAATATAATTCTACACAACGGTGATGTTAGTGATGTACCACCAATTCAAGCAATTGACGAAAGGCCGTTGACGACTTATGAGAATACATTTCGAAATGTCGACAACACAATCGTGCAAAACGCTGTAAAAAAGGTTTTGAATAATTTGGTGCCTGGCAAAGCTGATGATTTATTGGCGAATTATGATAGTGAAAAATCACGAGAATTGGCAAGAAAGAATGGGGAACGTCTGTTGCCAGATTTAGCGAAAACTCAGATATTGAAAAACTTACTGAACGTACCAGAAGTGGAGAATATGATTGTTGATACGACGAACAATCTTATTAATCAAGTAATAGGTTCGCCAGTGTCTGAAAATATCATCAAGGATACGTTAAGAAATGTAATGCGTGAGATTCCACGACCAACAACTCCTCCAAAAAACAATTTAAAACTTAAGAACAAGACGATGAAGCGTGTGTCAAGAAATGACGAGTTAGTAAATAGAGAGGTTTTTGAAAAGATTAAGAGTATTATTGACAAGTCTGAGCTTGATGATGAAGTGGCAACTCAACCGTTGGCACAAAATGTGATTGTCAAAACTGTCAAATACTCGCTTGACAAAGAAAAAGGAGTTGCTGATGAAGCAACTATTCGACGAGCTTTCAATCAGCTCGTCAAGTCCACTGATAATAGTTTGCAGTCTGCCAATAGTAAGCCTTTGATTGTACAGCCAAAAGAAAATTATAACAGAGTTACTACACAAGATACGGGATACAAATTTGTACCAGTAGTTCCCGTTAACGAGAGACGTTTACAAGGTGGAACATGGATCGAAGGTTTAAAGAATCTGATCGAAAATAAAACTCAATCAAATTATTTGGAAAACAAGAAAAGAATAGAATTGGAAAAGCAACTTGACTTGCTACGAAAGAATAATTCTACTGTTATTGCGAATGACGAGAGAACTGATACACCGTATCGCTCTACCATGTCGCAAAATGTCGATCATAAGAGCGACGTGTCTACGAGAGAAGCACTTTCAAAATATTATGACATAATAGGCACAACAGTAAATTCTAAACTTCGTCCATTGGATAACGGGTATAATGTCTATCAAACTAGTCCAATAGTTACGACGCTTCATTATCAGAACTATCGAGATCCAAGTTACGTTACGCAGCAGCTAAATAACAATCGATTGAAACTGCCGGTTACCTCGAGTACACAGCGTTCTAATAACAATCGATTGAATCTTCTTGTCGATTCCACACCGTCGGATAAAGATTTGGTCGGAGTAACAAATGAACCTACTTATATGGGTAAGCTTATGCCGGTAACTTCTATCACAGGAAATTTGGACAATTCTAATTTAGTCTGGCTCGGCGATGGAGTAAAACTGCCACTCACGATGAGAAAAATGTCAGATGGAAGTTACGCTCTCACGTTGGCTGACGAAGTCTGCCAGATGTTTGCGCATAAGAAATGTCCGTGCTGCTTACCTGCTGACGGACAGGGTGTTATCACTAGAGATAGACGCAATGACGAGCAAGATTACTCAGGTAAATCATTGGATTCTTTGTTTTCATTAAAACATACATTTTTAATACGATATATATTATTGTTTATCCAGATGATGTAGAAAAACTGCTGTCGAAGAAAGCATCAGGTAACTACAGAGTTCGAAGAGAATCGGGTAAAGTAGCAACGATAACGTCGAACGCGAAATCATTAAAAACATTTTCAAATACATTAGGCAAGCACGAGGAGTTCAATGACAAGGACTACGAAGATTCAGAAGAAAGTAATTCCATTTCTAATGGAGGACCGTACAAGTACCAACGATACGCTAATTTGGATAAACTAATAAGTGGAAGTACGAGGGCAATTGGTCATATGTTAAGATTAGTGAAGGATGTTGTAACTGAAGCCCACGAGAAAAGTCTAAGGCGACGTCGTAATTCATCCAAGCAGCAAGTTCTTTTATTCTGATGATATCTTTTTATTTTAAACGGACATTTATTTCTAAATATAGAAACGTATTGCTGTTTTGCGGTTTATCGAATATGCCTACTAACTTATATTTATTTATTTATTTCCAGAGTACTATACATAAATTACATTATTATATTATAAAATATATATAATATATTACAAAAGTTGCAATCTAACAGAGGATAATTATTAATGTGTAATTACTAATTGCATTACTTTTTTATAATAACAGAATTTGTATTATTTTAGTTTATAATTATTGGATGTTTAAATGTATTATAAAAATTACTTATCACTAATAATATTAATATATTTTTTATTATAGTTGACTGATGGGTACACTATAGTAAAAATAAATTTAAATATATATTTTGTATTTAATAATAATTCATATAAAAATCTAGAACGCTGTATCTCTAGATCTAAAATTAATAATAAAAAATAAATTGAACTCTTTTTATATTTCAAATTCAATGACATATAATAATAATTATTATATTGATTTTTTTTTGCACAAGTAGTAAAAGTTGATTTAATCGAACATTTGAATGATGACTGACCATACGATTTTTCACTTCTTAAATATATTAAAATAAAATTTAAAATGTGTTGAACAATTTTTCAACATAATATAGATTACAAAATTAGATTTTTATAAATTTCTTGATGTAATTTTGCACCATTAACTTAAAATTAACCAAATTTATTGTTCAAGCGCACAACAAAAGCAATATATTATATTTTCATATAATATATTGCTTTTGTTTTGTGTGTGTGTGTGTGTGTGTGTATTCATGTGATATATTTAAAATAATCAAAAATATATATAGATATACGAATATATATATATATATATATATATATATATATATATATATATATATATATATATATGTTGCTGTTAATAAAAAAACTCAACCATATCTCTCATTTAAACATCCTAGTCTATTTTCTTACGAAATAAATTTTCGTATGTAAAAATTTAAGACACTCGAGACACGATATATCGCTCGCCAAAGCAAAATCGATTTGCGTTGAAAGTTTATTTTGACGAAAAGTATAGCCAATCCAGGTAACGAAATGGGTCTCTTTGGGAAATCCCAGGATAAAAATCCAAAAGATATGGTAATTTATCCCTTACCGTGAAAATGTTTGTTCAAACAACGAGTATCTATTTGTTTACTAAATTTTTAGGTTAATGAGTGGGCACATAAACTAAGAAAAGAAGGTTATCAGATTGATAGACAGGTTAGAGGTGAGTCATAAAATTCAGTTGATAAGTATAAGGTGATGTTAAGTTATTCTATTGATAAGTTTTTCTGTTATGAAGAAAATTATTATTTCTTTGGTCATGTTTGCTTTTAAAGCATTGGTGTGAATGTTTATTGCATTCTCTTGATTTTAATTGAAATTCATTGAAATTTATAATTGTATGTATGACAACTATAGCAATCCAAAGAGAAGAAGAAAAAGTCAAAAAGACATTGAAAGAAGCTGCTAAGAAAGGTGATAAAGATGTCTGCAAGATTTTAGCCAAAGAAGTCATTAGAGCAAGAAAAGCTTGTCAGAAGTTACATACCTCAAAAGCCCACCTGAATTCAGTTACCTTACAAATGAAAAATCAGTTAGCAACAATCAGAGTAGCTGGCTCTCTATCAAAATCAACAGAAGTGATGCAAGCTATGCAAGCACTTGTTAAAGTTCCAGAGGTTGCTACAACAATGCGAGATCTGTCCAAAGAAATGATGAAAGCTGGTATTATCGAGGAAATGATGGATGAAACTATGGATTCTATGGAGGATTCTGAGGAAGTAGAAGAAGCCGCTGATGAAGAAGTTGATAAAGTAACTACTTGATTTTGTTTCTTTTTGCAATATTTAAAAATCCAAATTTGATACTGAATAAATAATCTGATGCCTTGACAGATTTTGTGGGAAGTTACTGCTGGACAAATGGGAAGGGCACCAGATGTTATCACAGAAATACCTGGAGCTTCTGCTTCAAAAGAAGAAGAGCCAGCAGAAGAATTGAGTGATGACAACGAATTAGAAGAAATGAAAAATAGGTTACAAAGTCTTAGGAGTTAGACAGTCTTTCCTAAGTAGCCTAACTACTTAATTTGTCTGTCACCTTTCAAAAAGTATCTTCACAGTTTTGAGAGATTTAGAATAACTAAAGCTTTGCAATATGTTGAACGAAGTATTAAATGCTTATACAAAGATAGCTTTATGATCTTGTCTAATCGATGATTACATTTTTCATGTTTATTGTTTTTAACATTTATATTGATTTGAAGGTACTGTTGAAATATAAAATAACAAATTACCTGAATTTATAGATGATGTTTGAATATTTAACAGTTATTAATACTTGAGATCGATAAGATTTTCTAATTTTATGTATTAATTAATCAGCAAAAAGACAAATAAGTATTCATAGCTTTGATATGTGCATGAACTTTGTACACTAATGTAAAGTGCTATGCAGCAACTTGTTGAGTAACTCACAAATGTAAATATTGTATGTATACTGGCCTTTTCTGGCATAACAAAACAATTTTGAAAAATTTATTAATTTTGAAATATTTCTGATTCAATTGATTAATCATGAAAATATTCAGGTGATATTTGATTTAAAGATCATCCATTCTGTATGTACATTGTACAAATTATATAAAGTAGTTCTATCACTGAATCATAAGTCGGTAATTTATTACTATAATTGCTGTGACATGATATATTTATATATAAATGATAAGTCATAAGCAATTTAATTTTTAATAAGAATTTATTTATTTTCAAGCAATGTTTTGAATGTGTTTTACATTATACACAATAATTATAATAAATTCCAATAACGAACCTTCCAAGGCCTCCATTGCATTTAAATCTATGATACCTAAAGTATTTTAAAATATGTAGGTATAGTTTTTCGCAAAATTAACAATTTTATATTTTAATTACTTAACTGTACGATGGAAAATTTTCCTAATTACTTTTTGAAATGTTATAATTTAATAAACTTTTCTTCTACCTACAAAATGTATAAATCAACTTAACTTTAAAATAAAACAAGGATTGCAAGTTGTATTACATTTGTATCTATATATCAAATACCAATTTATTAGTTGCAATTTGTCACTGGCACTGAACAACATTTGAAAGTTTAATGAACTTACATTTTTAGTCGAATTCAAGTTTTTTTTTATAGATATTATAAATAATAATTATATAAAACACATGCATACTGAACTTTAATTTTAAAAATTTTCAAGGGATATTTATAAAATATTATATAGAATATTTATTATAAGCTAAAATGATATATACAGCTTTTAAACTTGTAAAATTTAATTACACATACAATCAATACGTATAAAATAGAATACATGTTTCACAACTGATCAATAACCATATTAACAATGGCAAGTTTTACCTTGGCTTTTGTTTTCTTGGGTAGCCTCTTAACATGAGGTTTAAGTCTATTAAGAAATTGTTTTATTTCACATTGAATAGGAATAAGAGTTCTACGACACTTTGCTGACATTTTAATTTTTGGTTTTGTCTCTTCAACATACCCATTCTTTTGTATTTTCTCTATATAATTTTCTTCACCAATCTCATTAAAATTATTAAAGCTTTCATCATTAATAAATTGTTCATCAATATCTTCAGCCATATCATTGTCAGGTACACATTCAATAATTTCACTTTGTTCATTTCCACATTTAAGTGTATTTTGCACTTCGATATACTCAAATGGAATAGTTTGTGGTTGTTGCTCAACTACTTTTCTTCTAATTTTCTTTCTTGCAGTTTTGTCAACAGTCTTTTCACTTTCAGGCAAATCAATCTTTATTAATAGTCCAGGAGGTATACTTGACAAACTATCAACTAGGATTGGAGCACCTAAATCTGAAATATTTCCTGAGAATGGTAGAATAACTTTTTTTATATTTGGAGCAACATTAGTTAAAATATTGTTGGATATTGTCATTGGTTGAAATTGATTAGATATCAATTTCCATTTATTAGCAGTAAGAATAGGAAGTTTTTTCACTGGGAAGTTATTCATTCTTGAATCAATTTTAGGTATAGTGATACGTGTAGGCCTTTTAGATTTTCCTCGCTTCTTTGCCAAAGGAGCTGGTTTATATTTTGGATCCATCTTGGGCTTCTTACTTGATACTGATGGTCTGACAATTTTATTAGCATCTCCTAAATCTACACTCACATTTGATTTTTTAATTATCTCATTATTACTCTTACAATTATAAATTGTAGGAACTGCATCACAAGGGCCATTTCCATTGTTAAAATTTTGTCCAGCCTGAAAATGTCCTGAACATAGTACTAGTCTACGAATTTGATTGGGAGACATTTTGAGAATATCTTCTCTTCCTAAAAATTGACACCATTTCAGGCATCTTCCAATTTCATAAGCAGGAAAAGGATGAAACTTATATTTTTGTGACTTATTTCTTGGATCTGCTTTTAGTCGTCCACAAGCTGCACATGCTTGACTTTCCAAAACAGCAACAGGTAATGGATTAATTCGTTTTTCACCTTTATCACAAAAATTGAACAATTCTACATCTGTCATTATACTTTCATCGTCTTTATCTTCTAGTTTCCATTGTATATTCTCATTATCAGGATTTCTTATATTTGGCACTGCAGTATCAATGAGTCTATTATGAAAACCTAGAATAAATTGATCCCTATCAAAATGCTTGGAGCATATAAAACAAAACATTATCTCTTTTCTGGTCAATCTATAGTAAGAATCAACACCGACAAAGTCCAACCATTTAAGACATCTAAATTCTTCTCCAGGAAAATGATGGAAAGTTGCACCATCATTTTCCAAGCCAGGTGGGTCTTTACGAAAGCGGCCACACAGCACGCAACTAATATTGTACAAGCTTTGTTTTGGATCATAAATACTTGGTACTGCTGTATTATTTAACCGATCATAAAAATCATTAACAAAATCTGATGACACAAAGTGTTTAGAACAAATCATACGTTGCAAAAGTTGTTTCTTTGTTAGTTTATAAAGTTCTTCGCGACAACAAAATTCTAACCATTTTTTACATCTGACCTCATCATTGACAGGAAATCCAAAAAAAATATACTCTTCTACCCTATTATTAGGATTCATACGAGAACGTCCACAAACAACACAAGGATGTGGCATCTTTATAAAATTTAAAAACAAATCAACCATACAAACAGTGCAGCCTTTTAGAATATAAATTCATTCCCTGCAAAAGAACAAATAATAAAATTTTTGAAAAAACAGTTAGATAAGTAATAGATAATCAATAGTATGTATTTTGATCTCCACTTGAAAGACAGTCACAATACATGTAAAATCGTATGTCAAATGTACGTAGGTGATGATATATATTATATTATTGTAAACAACTTAACCAATAAATTATTGTGTACTTACTCAACAATTTTATGAGTACTGACAAATTTAAAATATTTATGTTTTAAACAGCGATCGATTTCCAAATCACCGCCGTTCTTTTAATAAATAATAAACGATACATTGCACATTGCAAATTCGATAAATTTTATAAAATTGATCAAAGTATATATTCCTTAAATTTATATAGAATTAATGAATTACACTTATAACAATGAGATTAAATTTAAATTAGAGGGATGGAATTATTACCCTCAACAAACACTAATAAAGATTATACCTTTACGATATAAATTGATAATGTTGAGTTCGCGCAGTCTACATTCCTGCATGTTCGTATACATGCATACATATACACACACACACACACACACACATATATATATATATATATATATTACAAACTCAATTGGTAAAAAAACTGAATGTAAGTGAGCAATTTATTCAAAATATATGTTGATAATTGAAACATAAAAATAAAATACAAAAATAGTTAATAATAAAAACTATCTAATTGTTATAAAATATTTATAGCATAATTTAAAAGATTATTAATAGAAATCCAATAAATTGAAAGCAATAGTAATTTATTTTTTTCAATTATTACCACTTGTTTACAATAGATTATTTAGAAAAACAACATACATTAAAAATCATATAAAATTATGAATTTATAAGCAATAACACAATAATGTCTTGAAAATATTTTGAATTACGTATTTTGAATTGATTTTCATTTTAATTTTTTTTTTTGTTTTGCTCACTGTTGATTGCACTGGGAACCTCATCAATTGTTGAAGAATCTATGCGACTCTTATCAACTGGATACAACCTGTAATATGATTTAAAATAATTATAATAAAAACACCAAAACATTACATGTAATTTATTTATATTTATGGCACTTACCATCTCTGATAAAGATAAACGAGAAAAACAGCATCATCCCTAAAGCAAGCCACTCTATGTGCCACTGGCATAGTAATAATAAATGCAAACACATCATCTATAAAGGTATTAAATGCCTTATACATGAATGATCGCCAAGGTAAATGTGCAATCGATTTCAGTTTGTAATTAACAAATAACTGTGGAAGCATGAAAAGAAACCCAAATGCATATACGCCATTGGCCATAGAATGAATGCACCATGAATACCAGCTACAATTATAATGATGCTGTATAAAATAAACTTTGTTATGCAAATAAATGAAATTGTATATTACCTCTTGTGAGGCAAATATAGAAGAGAATAAATTGCACCAAGACCCACTAGAGGATAAAGTAAATAACTAAAATATTTCATACATTCAGCATCAAATTCTCTTGTTTTAGTTTCCGCTGATGTGCATTGACTCCAGTCAAATTTTATTTTAGGAACAATACTTTCAGACCAAATAAATCTAGCTCGTAAAATCTTTTTCACTTTCCAAAGCTATTGAAAAAAATATAATTAAAATTTCATTTCACAGCTATTTATTTCAATAGTAGTAATGCAGACATACTTCAATAATAGTTCCAATACCAGCAGGTATCAAAACTAACAATGAAGAATCTTCATCTAATAAATAGAGAAATATCACAGCTTGACTAAAGGCACGCCAAAGTACGGTTTGTGTACTAAGACCTGCTAAATTATTTTTCCTTCTCCAGAAACTAATATCATTTTTGAAAGCAAGGAAGTCAAACAGCAACTAAAATTACAAAAAAGTATGTAAATAAATCTTGACCCCAAACACGAAAAATAAATGTGTTATACTTACATGCATTGCTGAAATGAACACAGTTCCAGCTAAAAGATACAAATTGGTATCTGCAAAGATGCCTTTGACTTCATCAATATCTTTATCAGTAAAACCTAATTGCTTAAAACTTTGCATTGCAGCCTCAACATGCAAAATTAATCTTAATTTTCCAAATGAGATAGGAGTGTATTGTACAGTTACATTCATTTCATGGGTTTTTAGAGTAATTCTTTTTAAATCTCTATATCTTGTGTATAAAAAGTTGTAATTCAAAAGTGGTAAAAATGTCTTTTGAGGACTTATTCTGAAAAAAATTTTTGAAATATTAAATCTAAGAACTCACAAATGTTTAAGTATTACTAAATTCTATTTACAGCATTTATTTACTTTATATCGTAAAGCAGTTCAAAAGGAATATTATTTCTTGGAAGTTGAATATTATCTGTCATTATTGTAAAAGTAATTTTACTTTTCATGTGTGAAACTGGCTTAGAAGTTGGTCTCTTTTTCATTGTTTTATCATTATCTTCATCTTCACCTAATAAATTGAATGTTTTTGCTTGAGGAACTGCATACTCTGTCATTTTAATTATTTTATATACTGTATAGACATCCTGTAATTAAAAAGTTTAGACTATGAATATATGAATATATGAAATTATGAAATATTTTATTTACTTCTTTTACTGCATTGAAAGATTCATCCATTTTTAATGATTTCGGTGATAACAAAACATGTAAAAATAATGTACCATTTTGTCTTGTTTTATAAGGTACATCTATTACTAATGGACTGAAAAATGTATTAAAACATTCAAATATCTACTTTGAATTGAAACCATCCAATTTTATCATGTATAATACTCACATGTTTTGTTCATTTTTGTAATCAAAATCTTTATCCATGTAGATTTTAGAAATTTCAGACTTCAAAGGACGTCTCATTGAAGACATAAATAAGCTTAATTGTAATTTTGGCTGATCTGCCAAATATGATGTAATACAATTGTTTGATTTTAAACATTTTGGTGGAGTAAATAACAATGATACTGTATAAATAGAATAACAAATATATCCTAAAAACACTCCTGACACTATAAAACTGAATAAAGGGAACTGCATTTTCAATTTCTAACTATTTTCACAGCGAAAACGTTTCTTAGGTTTCTTTTCAATGAATTATCGAAAGAGTATTATACAAAAATACCATTTTAAAGTTAATAGTTTTAATGTGGATCTGTTACAGCTATTTTCCATAAACATTCTTTTTGTATACTATCAACTTGAATGAAAAACAATTAATATGCTGCAGAGTTAAAATTAATATCTATTTTTTTCATCTATTTGTTTAACAACTAGATGTTTACAATTTTATTACTTTGTTACTAACAGTGTTATATGCATGTGCCACATAGCCACATGTATACTTTCGATAACGGTAAAATGATACTTTTTGTCACGTCACTGACACAGTTAAAAACCGCTGTTACATAACTAGAAAAGAATTAGCGGTAAACATAAAAGTAAAATTGGCAAATGTAGATTTATTTCAAATCATACTTTGTACAAATAATTAATGACTAGATTTTCATTTATACAAGGCCGTAATAGCTTTAACTGTATTTTTCACTTGCTGTTTTTCCTCTCTAAAAAATAAATAGGTACATACAGCGTAAGAATTTTATATAAAATTATATAAAAAAATATTGGTTTTATATAAAGTAATACCCACTCTTTATTACTCCGACTGGACCATGGCCATTTTACTCCAGAATTTTCAAGACCTTTCTGAAGCCTCACAAGTAAATCGATATCGTATGATTCCATTGGCAATTTTTCTGTAGCATGTAATAAACATTGCAAGCCGATTACATATTTATTTGGATGATCTGAAAGAAACCCATTAAGATATCATCATCAAAATTGATAATATTACAAATTTATATTAAACGTATATTACCAGATTTTAAAGCACGCTCTATCAATGATGTAAAGTTATTCGACATTGTCGATTTTTTAATTTCACTGTCTTTTAAAAGTTCAGCTACTTTTACATATATTTCAGGAGTAGTCTGTTGAAAATTTTTAACTTCCATCCAAATGGAGATCTTTGATTTTTTTATAAACTGTGACCATAATTTTTCAGATTTAGATTCATTAGTGAAAAAATAGTAAATCCAAAGAACATGAATAGGGCCAGGAATATTATTTTCATTACACCTGTGAGCTACTAATTCATCTAGAAGAAATAGCTTATTATGAAAATGTTCATAAAACTCTACAATCTCTAAAAAATAAAAAACAAAACAATTACATTGTTCCAACAGCTCAGGATGTTGAAACAAACATTCTACTGTAGTCCTAACATGCATATTCAGATTCAGCCAGTTAACAGTTCCTTCATCAAGTCTTTTTTCAATATCTTTCAGATACAAATTCCACGATCCGGACATTAGATACACACGATTTAAATAGAAATTATATTTTATTTGATTTTTCAAATTCTATAAGTAAAAATAATTTTATATTAATTAAAATAAGTTATTTATATGCAAATTAAGCATAATTTCAATACTTGTTTATTAAAGATACAATACTAACTTACACGACTCATATATATTCCAATTTTCTCAACGCTATCTACATCTTTATTTTTTACCATAACATCCAATATGAATTCTGCATCAAATGAATGTATATCCAAATTGAATTGATTTTTTAGCTCCTTACAAAGTTCTATGGTTTCCGAAAAATTCTCTTTCTGACAAGCTTTTTTACACAATCTCGAATAACCATCACTTTTGTATAATATAGGTAATCTAAAAGTATTTTTCCGCGTTAAACAAAATAGATACGTAAATTATTTTTTTTATAGTAACTAACAGACTTATCTAAAAGCTCTCGATTTTTCATTTCATCGCTTCCCTCTGTGGCTTCTAAAAATTCTTGTAACATTGAATTACCATTATCTTTCGTATTCATGACTAAATTAAAATAATCAAAAAAAGTATTTGAAAACTTGATGTTATCTTTCATTTTCATCCACAGTTTATACCCTCTTTCCCATTCGTTATAATATCCTAAATTAAATTACTCAATTCAATTAGATAATGTTCTCTTAATATTCGTTGTTTCGTGTACATCACTTTACTTACCAAAAGCTTTCAATAGGACTACACAGAGTTTTTCAACATCATAATTCAAATTATTCAATATCTCAAGAAGGTTTTCCAAATAGTCAATTTGCCCATTGTTACAATAAAATACAGCTTGTTCGAAAACAATTGTCTCTAGTAAATGTGGTATATGTTTCTATAAATACATCTGATTTTAATTAATATTATAAAAATAATAAAAAATTCTCTACATTCTTCAGTAATTACCTCAATCACGTTTTTCGCTTCGGACAACTGAGAATTTTCAAGGTAAGCTAAAGCAAGATTGAAATAACACGTCAACGATCCATCGACCTCTTCACTGACGGTTATAACCTGATTTAATGAATTTTTATCTTCCGTCTTTATAAATGTTTTCATAAGCTGTATTTGACACGGAGCAAGATCGTAAACTTTGTAAACCCATTTGAATTTTTCGAGTGCAACTTCATTATTACCTCTGTTGAAAAACTAGGTATTTATTAGTAAATTCGATTAAATTTAAACCAAGATAATTTTAAAACCTTACCTGTGTAGATAAAGTAAAACTAAAGGTATAAATAGATGACTTTTTAATACAGTAATATAGCCGTTTTCATTGAGTACATCAAAAGCTTGCAGTAAATAATTTTCGTCGTCAAACTGCATGACAGCTGTTAAGAACTTTGTGCAAGTTCTAAGCGATCGAATATTAGAAGAAACTGTTGGCTGATTCAGACAATCCAATGCTCCTAAAATAATTGAAAAAAGTAATAAAATCATCCATAATTTTTATAGAAATTCTAAATGCATACATACGTTTAAAATGCCCTTGTTCGGCAATAGCTGTCGCTAATTTTAAAAGTATAATTTTGCTCACGTGAAAGTCTGGTATCATTCCTCTGGCTCTTAACAACCAAGCCTCGGCTTCATCAATTTTATTCATACGTAAAAAAGCGTCAATCGCAGTGGCGTATGTAGATGGAAAATGTTGAATACAATTTATTTCAAGTTCCTTTTGAGAATAATGTAATTATTTTATTAATGTCGATTCATTTTAACGGAAAGATTAAATAATTACCTGTAATACTTGATACATTTTGTCGTAATTCAATATACTACAATAATAGTATAACAATTGCTTTTGATATTTTAGTGAATTTATTTTATTGGACACTGATGATACTTTGGCCAATTTTTCCAATTTTCCTATGTTCTATAAAACAACAAGTTTATCAATTGTAAAGAAAGCGCTTAAAAATCAGTGTTAAATAGAAAATAATGTACTGTTAGTTTTGTTTTCAAACACATATTTTGAAGCTGCCTTAAAATAGGTTTAGGAACAAGATTTTCAGATTTCAAATTTGTTAAAGCTTTTTCAATTTGTGGCGTCATTTCATTGCTTAATTTTATTCTTATATCATCTGTCACTGCAGGTGATAAATGAATACCTTTGTCAATTAAATTTCTGAAAAGCTGATATACATTTTAAACAAAAAAACCGAAAAAACAACATTAATTAATATCATATAATAATAATCACCGAAATAATTAGATACTTGTTGATTGTTGAAGGAGCAGATTCATTTTTCGACAGTATAGTATCAACTGTCTCTGAAATGAACGAATCAATAAATTTTTGAGAATAAACTACTTTATTGATATTATCTTCGGCTATATGATTTTCATAATTGAATTTGTGCATGTATAAATGATGTAAAATACTAACGAAACTTGGAACGTCTTCTGTATTTATAAATGCATTCAGAAGATTAGATTTCACGATTTCTGCTCTATACTGCATCGAAAAATTACTCACTGAAATGATCAATCAATTGCGACTTAAACATTCTTGGTAAAACAATTTTATAAAATAACTTACTAAATTTTACTGCTTTGCGAATCTCGTTTTTTTTGAGTAAGTATATAAGAACAGAATTTGCGGCATGTACATGATTAACTTGATATCCGAATAATACAAATAATATCTCATCATCATCACATTGCATATATGGTAGAACAGAATTTATCAACATATAAACACTAGGTTGCAATTCAAACTCCGATGTCATTTTTTGCAAAACATTCATGATTTCTTAAATGAAACATTTATTAATTACTTTGTAATCGAATATTCGTCAAGAATTAATATAAACCTTTATTTTGTCCAGCCTCTCCATAAGCTTTCAAAATAGGAAAAAAATAATCCGCTCTTATTACTCCACCTAATTGTTTCCATGCCTTCAACAGTTTTATACTTGAGTGATACACATCATTTGCATTTTTTTGTACAGCTAATAGAAAAGCTTTATGATTCAATTTTTTGATTTCCATTAATCTACAATATTCTACGCTTCTTTCCAGCGGCTGAAATAGAGAATAATGTTATTTATTATATTTAACAACTAGCAATTATCAAGAAGAATAGAAATAAAGGAGCCTACGGCGTCTGAATTGATTAAGGCTTGCAAAAATATATTTCCGCCAGTAATCTTCCGGTTCTCCGGTAGTGTTTGATATATTTTGAAGGCGGGCTCGTAATGATGTTCCTCAATAAGCTTGTAGATGATTTTAGTTGCTTCACTGAGATAAACATTACCCCTACGTGTCAATGCCAAAATCTGAAAAAAATATATAGATATGAAAATTAGTCTGATATATTCAATATTAAACAAATTGTGTACACCTCATCTATATATTGTGGAAAACCATGTATGCTAAGATTATGAATTATCCTTAAAAGTGCTTTGTCAGGAACCCATACATCTTTAGCTTCGCATTCTTTTAGAGTTTTTCTTATATTGTCGATTTCTCCTCTATTTGCATAAATATATAGTAAAATAGAATAAGTTTTGACAGTGAGTTGTACACCATTTTTTTCCATATCTTTTAAATATTCAAATGCAACTTCGTCATTGCTAGAAAAAATATAATGAGTACATAATCAATTAATAGCAACGGTTTTCTAATACACACAAGAAACTCACTTGTTTACAAAATTACCATAAATTAGTGAACTTAACATGTCTTCATTTACATGAATGCCTTCACTTTTTACGTGATTTAAAATTTGAGAAGCTTCAATCACTTGTCCCTCATTACAATATTGTGCAACCAGCTTTTGATATGTTACCCTATTGGGTTTAATGCCTGCTTTAACCATTTCTTCCAAAAAATCAATAGGTGAATATAGATGATTAGTTTCAGCATATACATTCAACAATGCATTATAATGAGACACATCTAATTGAACATCTGAAATGAATATGCACAATTTAAATTATATTATTTCTTATAGGAACATTTTTATCAAGCGTTAACTTGAAATACCAAGTCCTTTCAATGTTTTCCAAATCTCATCAGCCAATAATCTTCTTGATAATGTCGATTTATTCGATATTAATTCACTGCAACATTTTAATAAGAATAGCCCTTGTAAATTTGAAACAGCACCTAAATTATGTCAACAATAAAAATTAGTCCAATAATCCTAAATTATTCATATCATATATTTCTACATCTCAGAATCAGCGAAAAAACTATAAAAAACCAAACAAAGTTACCTAATTCTTTAACATTTTCTAATAATTTATCAACGTCAATTTTACGTAACCGCCCGTAATTTTGAATCTCATGTTGAAATAAATTTATCAGTTTGTGATTCTTACTAACCTCTTCTTTCCGTTGTGCTTGAATGACAGTTATAAGTTCATTTTTTCTAAAATCATAAGAGAATTGTTATTGCAGTAAAACTATAATTCATGAATTCAAATAAAAATACAAATACTTACTGATTTGTGAAAAATAACGCTTGTGAGTGCAATAATCTTGGAAATGCTACATATTTCAATGTATTTCTGCTCGTTGACCTTGTTTTGGGAGATATATTTAGACAACGAAAAACTTTTAGTAAACGTATGAATATCATCATGATGACGTTAAGTTAATGAAATTGTTGAAAAACATTTATCAAATTAAAAGACAAGATATATTTATCATTTGAATTCTGGTATACCTAACCTATATGATTTTTAAGCACTACAGCACTGACCCGCGTAGATCATACTACAGCAGCCGAAATAATAATATGCTATTTCTTTATTAACTTATGTCTGTTATAGGGAAAAAATTGTATTTTTTACTTATCGCACTGTCTTAGTAGTTAATGAAACATTAATAAAAACTACGACATTTTTGGTAATTTTGAAAATATTTGTAAGGTTAAATTAAATTGATTTCCATGTTTCACTGTATTTTACATTTCCAAAATATGTGTGTATATATATATATATATATATATATATATTTTTTTTTTTTTTTTTTTCAAATTGTTACTGACATTTTTACTGGCGTAATAAAAATTTAATAGATTCTCAATGTATTCTTAACATAGGCCTTGCTAAAAGCGTTCAAACTAAATATTTCTTTATCTATATTTCGTCAAAGTACAAAACTTATGTAGACTGGTAAACTTTATGTTGCATACAATAAACTCACACCAATAAATACAATGAGCACCATGCGCGATAAGTAGGAAACAAAAAAAAATAATTAGACAACGGAGCTTTAGTAGGTCATCATGGATCTGAGAGTGCAATAAAAAGTTTATACTCTCTGCTTAGACACAGTTATCTTTTGAAAGCCATATTGCACCAACACACGCTAAACAAATTTTTAAACTGCCAATATATAAATACATAATTAATTTAGCAATATAAAAAAATAATACCGCACCAATACTAATGATTTAAGCATACTTGCTTCGTTTCATTAGAATTCACTCCAAGCATTGAAAAATCAAAAGCAAATAAATAAAGTAGTACATAATTATTATCATTGTCAGCCTAACAATTCCCGGTTGCTTAACTACTGAGCGCCAAATAAAGCCGTTCCCAGTCTGGAGTTACGTTCAAATAGAATCCACCCGTACCGATGCAGCGCTCGCGCTCTCGATCTTTTGCACATACGTCCCACGTGTTGCGCTCACGGCTCGCGGATCTCGAACCTATCTACTTTCAAGTAGACCGAACCTACAATTAGCGAGACATTGGTGCATTCGCGGAGGGTTGATAGGCTTTCAAGTAGTCACCCATGTGATTGATCAGATTGTCAAAATATGTTTTTAATGCTAATCGAATGTTAGAGTTATGTATTATTTGAAGCGTTTGATTGTAATTTGCGTTTGAAGCGTAGTGGTTTCATATGATTGTTGATCATATTAGCCACATGACAGTAGTTTTGATTGTGTTCATCCAAAATCACAACTAATTGACAGACATAAGAGTAGACGAGTAAGTTTGGAACTAAAAATCTCGCGAGCATATTTGATCGGAAATACATTGAATCGAATTGATCGGAAAGCCCAAAGATATCGAAACGCGGAATAAGCGTCGGCAATTCTAAAATCGAAGCGAGAGAGCATCTGCTAAAAAAGGCCAGCGAAAGAGAAAAAAATTTGTATGGAATAATAGGCGCACACAACGCAGAGTGCGGCGCCGGTATAGGCACAGACCAGAAAGCCACTTTCACCCGCACAACACGAAAAAAGCGCGTCGGGGCAATTTTCGCGCTCGGACTCGATATAACGGTCGCTCCGGTTCGCGGTTTTCCCGCTATCATCGGTCTCTCCCTCCTCCGCGCTCTTTCTTTTTCGACGCGGCGCGCGCGTGCACAATACACAACAACAACAGCCAAAGAGAGGAGAGGAAAAACAGTGTAAGTGCGCGCGCAGCCTGTTATCAGAGAGTCAGTGCACGTCGGCCAACGAAGCTATACACGCACAGCTACCTGCCCGCGCCTGTGTAAAGAAGCGGGCGCGCTGTGTGTGTGGGTGGCTGACTGGCAAAGCGGTAGCGGCCTTTAACGCCGACGTAGTAGGCTTTCCGTCGTCGTCCGTGCGCTTCGGTGCTTCAATATGGCGCACCAACTGCCCACAACACGCAGGTGAGCAGCTTTTTCTTGACCGCCGACGGGTGAGTTTTCTTGAGTGTCGCGGGCTCTCGACGATCGCTCCCGCGGCGATCCTATCCAATTTTGTGCGCGACCGTGGCTTGCCGATCGTCCTCGTCCTGGTCCTCGTCGTCGTCGTCGTCGTCGCAATCGTCGTCGCGGTACGTGCGCCGAGCAGAGCTGTCACACTACAGCGCCGTGCGCTCGAAATATGTCAGCGCGAGTGAAGCATCATACGCAATACGCGAGAGGCGAATAACGACGCGCTGCCGCGTTCCCGTGCGAGTTGCTCGATTCGTCAGTGCGTCGTCGGGCTAATCGCGCGAGCGGTTGGTTACCGATTGATTATCGGACGTTGCTATTCGCGCATCCGAAAGGGGGTGGGCGACGAGGCGGCCAAGCTTCGTCAATAAATGCCGAGCGCGCGTTTTATGGGACAGACCGCGCGAGCTCTCCACGCCAAGCTCTCTCCCGCGTGGCTATAGAGCTTTCGATGTCCACACTCGACTGCTGTCACTCGGCGCAGCAACTTCTTTTTTCGTCGCTCAGTTGAGCCGTGTGCTTTCTTCGCCACACCAGTTCCTCATTCTCCCTTCGTTTTGCCAGAGTGTGCGAACGATTTGTGTCAGACATAACGTCCAAGTGTGAGTGTACGTGTGTGGTCGCGACGCTCGCGTTTTATCGATTAACGAGAAAAATAAACATTCATATGCGAGTGTATAAGTGTTCGCGTTTCTTTCATCGCGAACTGTTGAAACTGCGGTTGTCGGTGCTTTTGGCGGGTTGACTGGACGCGCACGTGAAATACCGCCAGTAGCGATCACTCGAAAAACCCCCTGTTCATGAAGTGAGCGTGAAGCATATAATATCTTGCTTTTTTCGTGGAAGCTTGATTAAAGAAATGAAAAAAGAACTAGTAGTCATTTAACGTTGAAATTTGTGACGCTTATACACTCAGCGCAAATAACATTTCCCACACACACGTGGACCTGCAATAGGCCAATAGCGCATGAAGCTGGCTAATTACAGTTTTTTTCTTCGTCGTCGACATTCCTAATACGTAACACCAAGTGAACGAGTAAGTGACGGCAAAGAGAAACGGAAACGTCGCACGTAAAACGCGTCAGGAATTACACCGTAAAAAAATTCCTTTCCAATATTTCTTTAACCTTGATATGATTCTTCCCGCAATGGAAACGTACGATATTGAGCCCGTAAACGACTTGTTGTATTAATAACCATCCGATTCCAATACAACTAATTAATCGTTTCGCGTGCGCATGAAAATTTTCGTTGGCATGGCGCACTCGATGTCAGTATGTCGCGTTCGCGAGCAGCAGCAATATGTCAAAGTAAATAACATAAAATTTCTCATCAAGTCACTCGAATGGAAGATAAGCGATTAGATAAGCGATCGATATGAATGCAATTTGGAATAAATATGTATTAGCGAGGCCTAGATACGTAATACAGAGCGATCGTGAGTACCACTTTTGTGTGTGTGCGTGCGTGTGTACGTGGTATGCATGTGTATGTCTATAGAAAAAATCGAAAAGGATGTATGTGCTTATCGTAAAAATTACTTTTCTCTCGATGTACAATTCACTTGTGTCCAAGTGGTAGAGCTAAATTGGATTGTATAAAAAATACATCTAAGTGAAACTAAAAAGGAAGAATCGTGCAGCTGCAATGGCAAATTCAAAGTACAACGTTGATATCACAATAAAGTTGCGGTTCTTAATAATTTGATAAATAAATTCGAACAGTATGGCTTTCGTCCTTTTTCTTCAATTTTTAACTAGATATATAATTAAAGTTAATTGACTGGTATAACAGTAGGTTTGCTGAGATGGTACCCAACAAACAAATTTTGATATATCAATACATACTTGTTGATCGTAAAACGAGATTACGTGAGATCACGATGACAGTGAAAGATAGAAAGAATTAACAGATACTTCATTTTGTTTTCTCTCTTTTAAATCGATAAGCGCTAACAGGATGTTAGGAAGCAGAAGAAAAGAAAACAACGACTTTTACGCACTACTCGGAAAACACGCGGATAACATTTTAATAACTCACGCGTGAGCGGAAATTAACAATTTATGGACATATATTTTTCAATTGGGTAATAATTAATTTGCGCACAAATATAAGACAAGAAATAAAAGTAATTCAATTTTAATTAAAAAGATAAACCCACGCGCACGTAAGAAACCGATTTTTCCAGCCTATTGTCTCGTTATAAATGAATACCCAACAATCGCAATACCATTCGTCTTTACACCGAATCAATTCAGATTTTCTCTTGAGCCACTGACACTTACTCGTCATAGGCAAATGAAGAAAAATGAAGACCTGTGAAGCCTGAAAAATTGCATAGGATTACAAGTACATTTTGAATTCCGTCGTAGCGAGCGATTGCCACATAAATATCAATACTCACACGTGGGGGCTTTTCTTCTAGAAATAAAGCTAGTGAAGAAGAAAACGAAAAACGCACATGTGTGTGTGTGTGTAGCATTGCTACGCAATGATGTTTTAATGGAGATATACATATATGGCTGTTTTCAAGAAATTATTTTATTTTACAGTTACAAACTAAAGGCGACGGCAACCTTGACTCAGTCTTGAATATTCCTTAAAACAAAACTTTTTTCGCCGCATTCGCGCACTCGTATGCTAACATTACACAATTTATTTCGCTTAATCAAATCAATCTTTCGATAAGCTATTCCCATCGCCAGTTATCCAAACATACCTAAATAAAAAAAATTGACCTTGCGAAAAATCGAAAAAAGGAAAAATTGCCCAATAACTTCTCGGGGCATGCGTGTGTGTATGCAACGGTCGTTTTTTCGGATCGTACAGCGTAGCTTCATAATACAGCAAACGCCTCTACTATTGCGCTTATCTTATCGCGCAGTAGCCAGGCAATGGCGGGAGTACGTATATAGTCGTATATAATGTTGAACTTGAATACTCTAGACGCAAGTGGTCCAGATTCTAAACTGTTTGAGCGCTTTAATATATCTGGCGAATTGGATTCGTTCAGAAGAATGTTTGTCTGATTGACACTGAAAGCTACTCATTAATGTTGAGAAGGAGAGTAAAAGTATTGGATGGTAGAGCTAATTAGATTGTTAGAGAATGAGAAGAAATAGTAGGATTTGTTTTCCTGATTATGTATTTTATCCGGTAATTATTACAGATATGATGTCATTGGCAATTTTGCATTTACAACTCGAAATCGGACGTCCGACTTTTTCCAACTCAGTTAATTAATCATATCGAAGCGATATATCTTTACAAGCACAACATCATGAATTAAACTACACGATGACATTATTCACTTGGAACAACATTGGTCGCTGCAATAGAGAGACGATAACGCGAGGGAAAAGTAAAAATGATCGATGTCACAATTTTTCTCAAGCTGAGTGAAAAAAATCTTTATCTATGCACACGCACAAATGCTAAGTTTAGCATTGCAGTTTATACAAGCGTTAGCCGATCGGTATTTGTGCAATGAGAAGGAAAATTTTCATCGGAATTCAATGACTTCTCTCTCTCTCTCTCTCTCTCTCTCTGCTTGCTGCGTTACATAAACTGCACATCATGTTAAACAGTTGTAAATATCATACTCGTTTATTTTTCTCCTCGCTTTTTTCCATTCAGTGCGCGATCTACTTTTCTTTTTTGGGCATGATAATCACGCGCACTAATTTCCATAAAACACGAAATAGTCAAGCGGTAAAAGAACAGCGAAAAGCCGAAACTTCTTCGATATCTCTCATTAACCGCAATTCAGCCATCCATTGGTGGTGATATTATGTAGAAACGCTAGCAAAAAGAAAAGGAAAAAGAAATGCACGCTCCGTGATAAAAGCGAAACCGACTAGCTTTGTTTGGCGTAGTGTCGCCGCGCGCCACGTATATAGGAGCGAGCAGCAGGTGGTATGACACACAGGCAGTCACACAGTAGTGGTACTAGTCTCTGTGCTTATCAGTAAATTGTCGAGCTGAAAAAAGGAGGAAGGTAGTAAGGTGGTGGGGGGTATTCGTTCCCCCCGCTACTATACTTGCGCGCGCGACGCAAATGCTGCCAACAGCGATCGAACGATTATCGCGGAGCGGACGCTCGGAGCGTGGAGTCAGTAGTGGTCGTGCGCGCGCGACGTGACTAACAGCTCGAAAGGATAGAGACGAGCGCTCGTGTTTTTCGGAGTCGCGCTTCGTATACAGCATACACACGGTTGACAGTGAGAGATAATGAATGGGCCAGCGCTAGGCTGGCCCAACGCTTGACGTTACGCAAAGCATTACGAGCACAGTCGAGCGACTGACTCTTCGTTGAAGCTTGATGACGAGCGCACAAATTGCCATCACGGGTTTCGTCAACGTTCGCTTCCTTCTTTTCGCGTAAGACTGAAAGTGTTTCTCCGTAAACAAATGTTCTGATAGCAAGCGTATCTGCGGGCTTCTTTTTGTCTGTGTGTGCGTGTCAGTGTGTGTGTGTGTGTTCTAATTCCACAGACGCGCCAGTGCGAACAAACGACGAGTGCTTAATTGTGATACTTTAATGATTTTTATTTGTACTTAAGTACTACGGCTATTTTCGGAAGTTCGTTTAATAATTGACTGGTTTTACGGTCAATTTTTAATTGGGGTGTCTTTCTCCAGTAAGTTAATGTAATATACTAGATGGCATTTGATCTATCGGCGATCTATGTAATGAACTTACATTTCTTCTTCTTTCCTAGGGTTTTAATTGATAAGTTTTTAAAGCGCCTGGAATACTTGCACACAATTTCTCTCTCTCTCTCTCTCTCTCTCTCTCTCTCTCTCTCTCTCTCTCTCTCTCTCTCTCTCTCTCTCTCTCTCTCTCTCTCTCTCTCTCTCTTTCTCTCTTTCTCTCTCTTCTCTCTCTCTCTCTCTCTCTCTCTCTCTCTCTCTTTCTTTCTCTCTCTCTCTCTCTCTCTCTCTCTCTCTCTCTGTATTATTTATCATTAAAATTTCACTTCTCTTTTTTTATCACACCTTGAATATTACGCCTGTGCGTACACTTTGTCGAATCGATACAACAAAAAAGTGCTGTTGATTGTTTAATTAACTGCATTGTGGAGCTTGTTCCATCGATGCACACCACCAATACTGATAAATGCCTGTGTGTGCACACTGACGCACGTTTTTATATTCTAACTAATTAAAGCTTACGTGTGTGCACTTTTTTCGGGCTTATAATATAGTCCGATGGGGTGAAGTTTCTGCCGGTCAGGAATCCAACCTATACTTTGCATAACGCGAGCATTTGTTTATTTTTTTTCCTCTTCACGCTAAAAGAATCCGACGGTAATATGCTCATGGAAAATATGACACTCGGCTTCATCATTATTACCGTCTTCCTGTCAGTGAGTGCGCGCTCACGGAGGAAGAAGGAGAAGAGGCAAAAAACGCAACAGAAAAAATCACGTGCTCGTCGTCATTAAAAGGCAAATCGACTTAAATCGAATTTATTCAACTACCCGTGTCGGCATCTATTCTCAGGTCTCTCGCCTCTTTATTCAAATCAATCCCGATAGCAAGGCAATCAAAACGATGCAGCGAGTCGGCAATTAGGCTCAACGTACACATACACGTATACGCACTACAATTATCCTATAACACCGAGCATCAATGAGCTATCGCTCTGCTCATCTAGGGGAAGGGACTCAGTGACATTGTTCATTCAGAAAAATGGGTACACTGGCCCCGACTGATTTCAATCTGGCGGTTGTATAGTTCTGTTGCCACGTGTGCGAGGCGGTTTCTTTTTTGGGAAATGTGCATGAATAAGTTGGTTTCATTGTAGAAAAGTAGACGTGGCGTTACCTCGAAATAAGTTTCACCATTTACAGCTACGCCATTTGAGTTTCATCTATCACATTATGCAATTAAGTTTATTCAATTAACCGAAAATTAAAAATTCATCCAGAAAACAATTGTGTTGTTATCCTTGCGATTCGATTTACACGGCGGCGCATAGGTCAAAGTCAAACATGGTAAATTATATTGATTGTTTGTGACAAAAAAGTTTGAATGCCGTTACATGTTACGATTCTGTCGTATTAACCTTATACAAATGGAAGCACCGTTGCTGAGGTAAAATTATCATTTCGTACGCTTTCCATTCATTCACAAATCAATAGTAAACGAGAAGTCGAAACAATAGTGCACAATATGAAGTTATAATGCGAAAGATACATTATACAACCATCAGTCTGTAATTTGTTCCATTTAGTACAAGTAAATAGGTCTCGCATTGTTGATATTTTTATAGTGAATTTCCAACGTAATTCCATACATAAGCTATTAATTTTGTCACCCGTGCCGACGATATTTCTTATCCGATTACTAAAAGCAGCAAATCCATGTGTGTAGTAGAAAAAAAGTTCAATTACTAGTTGGAAAAATCAATTGGTACTGGCTTTCACACGTTAGTAAAGTAGACAGTCAAGGGTGCGCTTATAATATCGATATTCGCTATCGATCTGCATGCCTCTTGCACTTTCCGCGGATTATGTGCAGTATTAAAGAACTCGACCGACAACTTCTCTCCATCTCTCTCTCTCTCTCTCTCTCTCTCTCTCTCTCTCTGTTTTTTTGAGAAGCCGCTCGCGTGCGTGCAAGTATCGGATTTAATGAAAAAATCGAGCATATAGTATTTCCCAAGTCTGTCCTTATATACGCACTAGCACCAAATAAACAATGGGGTGTGCAAGCGTATGTCGAGTCGCATTTCCCCTTTCGCTCCCATCGACTGTCACACTTCGAATGATAATAAAAAAGAGGGGCAAGGGAAAAATGTATTCATTTATGCTTAATCGAACTCTCTCAAGCACGGTCGGATTTATAACTACTGTATCGAAGACATTGAGGTTTTGTTTATCATTCTTACTTTGTCAAAACTCAATTAAAATTTGTAATATTTAAATAAAAAAAAATTTGTAATATATTTTTAGAAGAAATTTTGCTTTCATGCCGTGCCAAACAACTTATGTCAAACAGCATTTTACTGAATAAGTCGTGCGAAACACAGCATATTGAGTAATTTTTCGATTTATCAGTCATAAACCATTGTTGTCTTTACGGTTTATCAAAATGAAAAATGGATTGTTGACACTTGAGATTAAAACTCAGTTATCTGTGTTAAATATAGGTAGCATTGAAAATCCCCGAGTACACAAAATAGCCGATGAATCCTTTTTTGGAAAAAAAATGAAAACGGTGATGTAATCATGACGTTCACAATAAAAAAAGACTCTAATCTCCTATGCCTAAGAAATCAAAAGAGCGTGCCATAGAGATTTATGTGTTGTGGGAAAATGTAGGGCTGATAAAAGACATTGTTGCGATTACAAATTCTAGAGTGCTTCTCTCCCATTGCGTTTTCTGCATTCTGTTTAACGCTTAATATGTTTCTCGTTTCTATACTATACTTTATACTTAGTATATTAGTATATACTTTTATATTAAGTATATACTTAATATAAGTATATTAAGTATATACTTTTATATTAATTACAAGTTCATTACATACCTCTCATAGTTTCTTAATGATCTTGTTGATAAAAGATAACGATTATATTTCCAATATCAAAAGAAGTTTTTATACATCTTGCATCTTAAAAAAAGTCTCAAGATGGATCACATTGTATATGCATGGGTATACTGAAACAAAATTAAAAAATGGAATAATTATAACGTGCTAACTATTGAACGGTTTACTGTGGTTACACTAATATACTATAAAATTTCAAAAATAAATAATAGCAACTATAATAAAAGTGCTTAAAGTGCGTTGTTCAATTTTAAAGTTTTCAATAAAGATTACGGGATAATCACGCGGTGAACAATTCTGAAAAAATTTACTATAATTTCATATTACGAAGTAGCTATATTTGTTTATTCGACTTGATCATAATACTGCTCAGATAATTATAATAAAAGAGATTACTGATGTACCAGGGTCATTGCTCCCATGAAAAATTAGCAAAGTTTAATGAGCAAAAAAGAAGAAAAAAAAATCTTGATATATGCAAGAATATGACCATTAAATATGCAACAAATGTAAAAACTTTTTTTCGCACCAAGTTGTATAGAATCTTTAAAAATGTAATGATCACACTATTCAGATCTCTCATTGAACACCCTTTGCCACCTGTTTGTAGGTAAATCCAAGAGAAGCGTAAGAGAGATCGAGAAGCCGCAAGAGTGATCGTCATGTAAAAGCCTATTATGAAAGTGTTCGTGCGTGCAGGCAAAAACAATGATTTGCTGAACGCAATGTACAATGAGCTACGTGGGCAACATGCCAGCCGACTGGCAACAATATAGTGCATTGCAGTCTGGCGAAACCGATCGTCAGCAGCAGCAGCAGCAGCAGCAGCAAATATCACCGAGTACAAGTAGTAGCAGCACGGGCAGTAATCTCTACAACTTAGACTGTCTGAGTAAACAACAGACGCAGTCGCAAAATGACGGTTACTACACAACCGCAAGCAGCACGCGACTGCATCATCATGTTGGGTCATATGCTATGGAAGCCACCGTAGGTGATGACTTACAGCAGCAGCAGCAACAACAACAGCAGCAACAGCGTCAAGTTCAAATGCCGATGAGTAGTCCAAGTACTGTGGGGAGAATACCGTCGACGACGATGACGGTCAACAGTGCCATGGGTAGTGTCAGTCAGATGATACCTGGTCCTATTCAACCACCTCCAGTTGCTAGTTCAGCGACTAGCTCGAGGCAAAGCTCGTATGCTTGCAAAGGACCGTGTTGCCAAGCTGTTGCGTACAGGTTAGTAGGCTTTCTTATCTTATCGAAAAAAATGATCGCGCGCACACACACGTGTTACATTCAACTAGAAGTTTCATATAGAAAAAGAAGAACGATAATAATTATTAAACGCGTGTGTGGAGAATTTTCAATAGATAAAAACTAATCATTGACGTAGCGTATATTTCTAATTAACTCTCTGCCTCGCGAAAATGAGTTGCCCCCCTCCCCTCCTCTTTCTCAGCAAGCACGAATAAAAAATTATATCAACTTATTTGAAGAATGAACGATTAAAAAAAAAAAAAAATTCACGTGTAATATGTTTCTCGTTTCCGCTGTAGATAGCGCTTTTTATTTTGATAAAGCTACATATAGTTTTTCTGTACGGTTCTTTTGTACTTCATGTTAAAGGCATGTTCAAAAAACATACAATCTTTGTTTGGCTAATTTCAGATGGGACAAAATGAGTCCGTTTGCGACGAACAACGCCTACGCACCGGCAGCAACAGCATCCCCATACACATCACGTTACCGTCCTGATTTGTACACCCAACATCCGTCAGCAGTAGCACCACCATCGATACCACCACAACAGTCACCAGCACAACGAAGGTTTCGCAGTAGCAAAGAATCAAGTCACGCGATACCACCACCACGCGCCTATCAACAACCACCTAATTATTCTGGGATGCAACCGTACAATTATCCACCCACGGATTATCATCATCAAAAATACTACGCGAGAGCAATACCAACTCAACCACAAAATCACGCAATGATCAATCCTGGTATACCTACTAACATGCAAGACAAGTACTTGGCAAGTAAACAGTCACATTATCAAGCTGCTATACAGAACGGTACGATAATGCCGAATCCTGCTGCTATGCCACCGGCAAATTTACCTAGTCCATACTACAATCATCAGATGGGTAAGTGGACACACTTTTTTCGCTGCATGCACGGTTTTTTTTTCGATGAAATATTTGATGACGTTGGCGCGAATTTATATAAAGTAGGTTAGTCGGTGTATAAAGCGTGACATTAAATTTATATGTACGTGAGATATTTACACAATGTGCTCAATGGACATGTCGTGTAAAAAAATGAGCCGCTGAATTAATTAGTCGCCACTGTTTGTTTTTAGTAATATAGAATCGCCTCAGCGGCTTTGCAGAGCTGAATAAAAATGTTTCACTTATGTATTATTTTTTCACATTACTCGTGTACCGGTCGGTTAATCGATTAAGCATGAGTAATTTTTTTCTATCCTATCGCCTCAAATGAAATACGCACAATATTACATTTTTCAGAATGATAACTAAGACATTGAAATAGTATTCAAACAAGCGTTGTTCAAATAATATTATTCTATTCACGATCAATTATATCTATTTTCAGCGCGAGACTTGCCTGGCGAATATTCTTGCAAGCCAGCAGATCCAAAGGACCAAGTGCCACCACCTCCAACGATGTCGTCTTTGCAAACGAAACACATGTTTCAGCAAAAATTACAAAGCCTAGCGATACAAAGGCTAAATCTGGAAAAACATTTACGCGAATTTTCACACATGGTCGGCTATCAAAATTACCCAAAGTATCAGGAATTGGTGATGAAGCATCGCGAAATCGTTCGAATGCAGCAAGCTGTCGAACATCAAAGTAGCTTGCAATCAGCGGCTGCAACTGCGCCAGTGCCTTCGACAATACCACCGATCAATCTGCAATTCGATCAAAATGGCGTGCTCATCAATTCCAGTCTTATACCAAGTTACAATCATAGTGTACAGACGTCGATGCCTGGAATGCCGAACCCTTTGAGTCCTGGTGCTAAAGAAACAACGAGGAGTCATCCGTACGACAGTGAGTTTTGTTTTTACCACCATTACACTCTTTTAACACTTTTTAAGCATAGCTGACATAACTTACATTTGACGGTAATTATAATTGGCCCGAGTTACTTTCTCTGAAATTTGAATTCGCTTACCTCTCTAACGACATATATATATGTTGAAATCGCGCGCAGAAAAGAATTCAAACTGACCTCCCTAAAAAAGTGTTGAACTCGTGCGCAGACAAAGCGATGCAAGCGATGGAGCATGCGCTACAGCAGCAACATCATCAACAACCGCATTCACAACCTCAACTTCCACCACCGGCGCATCAAATACAACATGCGATGATGCAACCGAGTCCTGAACAACATCATCCACATTATATACCTCAAGAGTATCATCATCAGCCGGTACATGAACATCATCCACCGCATCATCCACATCCTCCACCACAGCCTACTATCGATGAAGAAGTGGTGAATGTCGAGGCACAACAGCATCAAAAAACAAGTAAGGATTTCGCCGACAAACCCGAGCTCGATGTCAGGCAGTTCTTGGCTACTTGGGCTGAGACTGAAGAGGATGATGGTGTTAATGCTGGTTTACAAAATGTAAGTAATTTTAATTGTTAAATTTTTTTCATGAATGCATCGACTTCTTGCTATCGTTTGATCTACATTACACACGATGATCTTATAAGAAAAAAAAATATGTTTGCCTATGCTCGACCAAAATGCAATGTGAATTCATCGCGTTCGTTAATCGGTAATTTTAATCGTGTTGTAATTAAAAACAAGATAATTGTATAATCAACATTTCGTAATTACATACTCTGTTACGTCATGTGCTCATTTTTAATTTCTCGATCGTATGACAGCTCGTCTGACTCACGCGAACAAAACTACCACTATAGACAAAAATAACGCAAAAGTAAAACAATTTTCACGCAAACTCGACAGGTGATACTGACGGAAGACACGCCGATAGTGGTACTGGAGTACAACGAAAATTTGAATCTGACAACGGCCAACAATCTAACTGCCCAAGCAATTTGCGTATCAGCGCCAGCAGCAGCAGCAGAGAAGGAAGCCACAGTGTTGAGCAAAGATCAAATTTCCACGGCAAACGTGAGCACTGGTAGTTCAGAACAACAGCAGTCAGTTCCTGCGACCGTTAACATAATACATTGCATAACGAGCACGGGCGAGGTGTGCGAAGAAGTGCCAACGATACATATAGTCGATACTCTCGAGAACGAGGCTGTTGTGAAGAAAATCGAGGGAGCATTGCACAGTTTAAATCCAACGGATATCAAGAGTATCGAAGAGATTGTTAATAAGAATAATGTGAATAATGCCACGACGACAACAGCCAAGGAAGTGTCGCTTGAATTTCTAACCACTGTTAGTTCGACGCAACCGGCAACGACGATGACGGCTTCAGTAGTGCAGACGAAGATGCAACCGACACAGCAGCAACAGAAGAATGCCGACGAGGCTAATGCTGGTAATTATGACGTTTACTCATCGCTAATGAGCCGCGGACGACGCTTAGGTTCATGGGCACATGTATTCGCGTAGACCGGTTTTCTCTTTTGGCTGCAGTGCTGACTTTTAGTCGTGCGTGTTTTCTCTCAATTACGAAAAATGGCCTTATTTGCATGAACGTTTTGTTTTTCGGAGAAATCTCGTTCCGGTCCCTTTGATTATTAGTAAAGTGCGAGAGCTCAGGTCTACTTAAAAATGTGAAAAATTAAAAATTTTATGATTACCTCCATTGACTGCAAGATAACGCAGAATCTCTAAAGATATTCGGAAAAATCAGCGTATGTGTATATGTTTATGAATTGCACTATTTAATAAAACTAGTTTTCAATTTTTGTATAAAAAGCTACACTGCATCTGAACGGCTTTATCATTAAAGTGAATACGCACAGAAAAAAAAAACAAGAAAAAAATCAATATAGAATTCAATGCAATAAAATATTTTCTCAGTTGTCTTGTCGCCGAGTATGAATACCGAGCAAACTCCAGCAGCAGCGAGTGGCAAAAAAGACGAAACGCCGGAAAAGACCACAGCAAGCAGTGAAAATAATCTGACCAATTTCGTGATCGATGATACTCGCAATCAAGATGACTTGAGTCTACCGGACCTACCAACTTCGGAGTGCACGACGACACTAAATACGCCAAATCAATCGGATAATGAAGAATCATCGTCAGAGCGAGTTCGCGCGATGAATATCAGTCCGATAATAAGTTTTGCACACTCCCCTATCAAGTTCCAGAAATCCGGAGACGACTTGCATTTCGACTTTCAAAGTTCAAACGAGGCGATGGTTCTCAAGGACGCTAATACCTCAACGACCACGACAGTGCAAAGTAGCCGTGTTGATATGAAGACGCATAACAAAGGTGAGCGCGCGAAAAGTGGAAGTTTATTGATGAGCGAGATCGTAGGTGTAAAGTCGTTGCTTCTTTGTTTTCTTATTGTTACGTGACAATGAACTTAATCAGGTCCACTACAGTAGTGTAGCTGAAAAAAAAATTATTTTTTCTTCGACTTGTCAAGTATGAAAACGAGCTTTCAATGTATGGATTTTTTGTCGAATTACTCGAAAAATTGTTAATAACAAAAATAGTTGCTTGCTTACCTTATTCAAACAAGGAAAACAATGTATTAACGAGCTTACACGTACATGTCGAATGACGATTCATTCTCTATTTTTACTTTTTTAAACTATTTCGAATCGTTAACTTTTTATACGATACCTGCAAAGACTGAGCATAAAATAATTCTGCAGCAGTGACAAGTGTGCAGCGTTCACGCGGATTTTCAAACGTGAATCATTAAGAGAATCACACGCTTACAATAGATACTTTTGAACTGAAGTATGAAATGGCGAAAAGGAAAAAAAAACGAATTACTTTGTTTAAATATGTTCATGAAGAAGAACTGAGACAACACAGCTGCTAGTACCAAAAAAAATATGTTCGGCTAAAGAGTAATTTTTCTGAAGCGCACGATTCTTTGCCAAGCAAATGTTTACACAGTAAAATGTACGTTTTTGTTTTGTCGGGGTTATAAATTGGAAACACGCTTCTGACTAAAATGTTCAATGTTTGATCTGCCTGTTACAGATGCAAATAATGTTTGTACGAATTTTTCAATTGTTTTTTTTTCATATACGTTAATGATAAGAGTTATTCCATGTTCTCTGCGTAAAAAGAGGAAATTAATCTTATTTTAACGAGGAAAGCGAGAGAATAAATGTTAGTTTCGAAATACAAGATCACAATTTTGAATAAACACTTGTTCTGAAAATTTTTTGTCAATCGTAACTTTTCACAGACTTTTTAACTATACGATGCATCCTTTTCAGGTACAACCGAGCTAAAGTCGCAAGTCCTGCAAGCCGAGACCGAGAACGCAGTGTCAACACCGTCCACGCAGACGCAAGAGCAGCAAGTTGCCTCGGTCATCGACTCGTTCGAATTCGCGGAATTCTCCAACTCATCGACATTGCCACTCGGCGAAGAGCCAAAAATGCCTGTGCCTCCAATGGAAGGCAATTGTTTGACGAAGATTATTAAAGACACACCACCAATAACAAATTTACGAGTGTTGGATTCCGATGACGAGTTGACTGATAAAGTAAACGACATTTGGATGGATATTAACCTTGACAATGCACTGTGCAACAGCGTGAACAAATTGATCGAAGAGAAACAAGTGCAAACTAAGCTAAAATCAAGTTTGAGGCACGTACGCAAGAATAAAGGCGTCGTATCTATCGTCGGGAAACTTATCGACGAGAAGAGTAATGACGACAAAGCCAGCGATGATTCGAATCCGGTTCGAGAATCTAAGCAGAAAGAAAGAATTACGAGAAGATCATTAGATTCGTCGATGAAAAATAGCGGATTAGAGAGACCAAGAAAGAGAGCAAGATCTGTGGAAGTTGATTACAACAGTAGTCAGGATCAGGAAGATCTGCTGAAAGAGTTTAAGAATTTGAAAAGGAAACGAAGTATCGGACAGTTGCAGGACGACATTGAGATGCTCAAGACAAGCATTGATAAGCTTAAAAATCACAACGCGAATAATACGGTTCCAATTACGGAGAATAACGTTTGCAAAAATAATTCATTGCCAATCCTGCCTGACACGAAGGTCGCACATCCGCCTAAACGTAGATTTTCATCAATCTTCGATCCCGACACAGTTTTAAATAAACGAACCGAAGATACCAGTCTAAAGAATAACTGCGTCGATTCGAATATCAAAATCCAGCTGCCAAACGTTAATCTACAGATTCAAGATAAAAAGGAGACAAATAGCAATGCATACAACACTTCCGCCAACGAAGCAATCAAAATAGAGATCAACGTGTCGAGGGTTGAGAGCCAACGTAACTCGAACGACAACGAAATCGTTAGTAAATCAAACCAGCAATTGAATATTTCATTACCACCTGCAAATCCTATGAGTTACAAAGTCGACTGTCGCAAATCGATAACAGCATTCGAAGATGAAATAACGAGCTGCGCTTTACCTGCAAAGGAAACGATAGAGGAGAAGTCAATTGTGTTTGTGGAAGAAAAATCTATTACTAAGGAGACCGAAGAAGATGACAATATCATTACCTTCGAGAATAAAAATGCTGAGATCGAAGATAGCAAGTGCCTTATCATAGAAAACAAAGAGAATATGTTGCTAAAGAAAAAGGAAATTGACATTGAGAACGCCATGAAGAAGCTCGAGGAAGCAAAGGAAGACTGTTTCAAGAATAAAACCTTTGTCGAAGCTCCTGGGTGCTCGAAGGATTTCGATTTCGATAATTTCGATGTGGAGCCTTTTGACGACAAGTCTGATGATTATATGAAGGACCTCTTAGGTCGCAAAAGTAATAGTAATAGTGTAGGTTACCTCAATCCCCTGTTCCACCTCAACGAACTTGAAAATCTAAATAACGTTCCTGTTTACACAACCAAGGACGGCAAAATTACCTACAGTCCAAATCCTAATTACACTTACCGTGCGTTGATTATTGAGTCGAGGCAACGTGAGAGTCATGCCTTATTTCGTGAATTTCACAATAAAAAAAATAAACACTCTAGACACAAGAACAAGCGAGAACGTGAAACCATCAGCTTTGAGAATTGTCTTACGAATGATCAGAATAACCAGAGTGACAATAAGGAAAGAATAGAAAAGGTTATGAGATCGACGATACTCGATAGTACTGACAACGAGAAGAGTGGCATTCGACTATCACCAGTGCCTTCAACACCGCCGTCCATGGTGTTTGAATCCTCGAGAAGCATGCCACTATTAGACGAAGAAACTGCTTCAAATTCTAAGGGTTCGATGACTAGATGCATTGTTGATTTACAGAATCTTAAGGAGGACATTCTAAAAAAATTGAACGACCAAACGTCATCGATATTTAGCGTTCAAACAAACCTAGAAAGCAATAGTGATAAGGAGGATGATAAGTGTACTGCTGATGAGATTCTAAAAGCAAACGTAGAAGATAATGCCGTGGAAAAGAAAGATAAGTCGAAATTAGAACAGGATAATGTGGACGAGAATGTACCAGATAAGAATGGCAATTTGAGAAAGTACGAAATTGAGATTGATGAGACTGTGGATGTTGATAGAGTTGTTCGGGATAATCAAGAATCAGTGAAAGATGATTCAAATGACAAAATTACAGTTCAAGAATTTATCAAAGACAATATCGATAAAGTAGAAGCGAATGTAGCGAATAATTTTGAGTCAAATACAACTATAGAAAAGGAATCGAGTTCAAGAGATATTAAACAAGTTGAAGAATTTGCAAATTCAATTGAGGAAACTGACAATGTGAAGAGTGATAATCATGGAGAAAATAAAGAAACACCGGTAAAAATTCCTGAAAAATCAGTAGATGAGATAGATATAGTCATAGTACTAGAGAAAACATCTCTCGATTTTCAAACAAAACTAGATAAATCTAAACAAGACACTGCATCAATTGAGGACAGCGATGATAATACTACAAAAGTTATCAAATCAGTTGAGCCAGAAAAAGAACCGCAAGAATCTGTTAACGCAAATGAAGAAGTACAATCAGAATCATTGGAAAGTATCAAAGAACAAAATCCGATATTAGAGGTGACCGCACTGATAAAACCTAAAATAACACAAGAACATGTACCAGCAGTTGAAATGACAGCGAAGAAGCCTAGGACTACGCCGAAAACTAACATGGGATCAAAATCACCTAAGCATACAATGGAAGTTGAATCAATAAAAGTGAAAACACTAGAACATATATCTACTGTCGAAAGAATGCCAGAGCTCACCCCTATTGCTAAACTGATCGAAAAAATGCCAGAACTTACGAGAATCGTAAACCAATCAATAAAAACCCCAGAACATACATCGACAATCGAGTTTGGACAAGAAGAAAACTCATTCGAAATCGAACTTGTTTCAAAACTAAAAATAGTGCCAAACAAAGAAGAAATCGCCGTGCCTCCGTATAGTCAAAAATCTACGAGTCCACCAAAATCATCAAGCTTAAGTCTGCCTTGCTCGATTGACAAAAGTAGCTTTTCATCTGAACTATGCGATAGCTTCATCAATCAAGAAAAACTACACGACTCGCAAGGAAGAATTGTCCCAAAATTGGTGATAAGGAAAACCGATCCAAAGTACTTCACAAAGTCCAAGACAATTGATACAAATAATACTTCTGATGATCAAAAGAAAGATGAAAGCATGAAGAGTCTAATACACCCAAAAATTCCTAAAATGATCATTCGCAATGCAAAGTCTCGTCCCTCAACGCCTAGTATCGAGGAGATTTCTGAAAGTTCAGATAGCGAATCGAAACCTTTACTAATGAGATTAAAACGAGAAGAGCATTCGGAGGCGAAGATACCCAAAATGAAGATCAAGCTAGAGGAGAAACAGCCGAGAGTTGTAATTGAGAATATTGCGAGTGAAGTGAAAACAGTGCCTAAAATGAAAATCACCAATGTAAAGAGTTGCCAGCCTAAGATTATTGATACCGAAGATGACTCATCCGACAGTGACAGAAGATCAAGAGCAAAACGCAGTAGCTCAGCCGCTTCATCACAATCTAAAAGGACCAAACGATCCCCTAAAGAGGAAGTCAACCTCGATCCCAACCACGAAGACACTCAATTTCCACTGGAAAACGAATATCGTCGAAAGAACAGTAACAACAGTAAAGTGCCGAAAGTCATAATTAAAAGAACTTCACCGACCGCGGAATTTAAATGCGAATTAAGCAAGGATGCGATAGTCAACTCTCAACCAAAAGTCGTCCTCAACAGATCCTGGGTGCTCGATTGTATGGCTAAAGATCTAAGGCATATGAAGGTTGTTGTAAAAGTTTCAAATAACGGCAAGGAGGAGGTGAAGAAAGAAAAGAAAACGACAAATCCCAATGAGCTTCAGTGGCGCAGGTTTGTAAATAAATAAAAGAAACAACATTTTCCACTTGAACAACTACATTGCGAAACTTCATGTAATATAGTTACATAAACAAGCCTCTGTCTATTTTAATAATCGCGTTCGCGTGGAATGATTGGACGCACCGTGCGGGACTACACTACTTCGTTTGAGCGCTAAAATATTCATGGATTATAATCGATTTACCTACATTTTTGTTTTTTGAAGTTCAGATTCGAAATTTTTACTAGTTATCGACACTCGCATCGAATGGCCTGAAATATTTTAAAAGAGAACAAAATGTATTTATCACAAATATTCAATTGTTAAACAATTGAAAACTTATAACATACACACACGCGGGCGCACACAAACACACACATGCGCGCGCGCGCACAAAAAACTTATTACTTTTATAAAATTAGCATCGTTTTAAATATAAAAATGGGTAGTACATATGCCAGCATTTACTTTTTAATTGCATAGATAAAAAATAATGCTCGGGAATACTCAATTAACAGATTGTCACTATCTAATCTCGTATGTGCGCAATTAAATGTTTATATCGTATCAAATGACTATAAATTTAACTTACATTTTTATCACGTGAAACGTTGAAAATTATGAGGGAATTAAGAAATTTATATTTAAGTGCACAAAAACATATTTTTAAAAACCATGAATTTTCATTTTTAAAATAACCCGTAAGTACTTTCTTTTTCTACTTTTTTTTTATCTATACTATGAAGTATTTTCAATGTCATCGTTTATATTAAATATGATGAATTTTCATTGTGCCAAGTGGAAAAACCGTTGTACGATGCAACATATGAATAAAACTTGTTCGTTTGTAGGTTTATCTCCGGCTTAAAAAAGCGTCGCGAACTGTCAAGATCCAATAGCACGCCCGACCTTCATCAGCTCTCGCCAAAAATCAAACGTCGTCGAACTTCAGACTATTGTTTAGACAGTAATATCGAGTATTCAGATTCAGATTCTGGTACAAGATTCGCTTTCAAAAAGACGAAATTCAATACCGAAGCAAGGAAGCTTCCAACAACAGACGTTTTCGACGAGAACATGAACAGTCGAAGTAAAATGGATTTGGAAGAGATACCACCGCGATTGGAAACGATAATGGAAGCGAGTAACTCTTATAGTTCGGAATACGTACCAACGGAACTTCTCGATAGAGATGTGGATGTTCATGAAGAAGAAGTCGACTTTGAATGCTCGGTTATCAAAGTTGACTCATCCGACGAAAGTGAAACGACCATTGAGATTTTACCAGCGTCGCCGAATCTTAGTTTCGAGAAGGATGTCGTTGACGAAGAACAGATTTATAGCGAGGATGCTGTACCGATGCAGGTTGAATACGAAGTTGAAATCGGTGAACAAACTCCTGATCCGGTGAATCTGCCATTACCAAGCTCGGAAATCTGCACTGATAAGTCCAGCTCCGGGGAGGTTAAACAGATTCCCGGGATCATGATTACCGAGCAATTGGGTAAGTTTTGTTACATTAATTTTTAGTTTTTATTCTATGCCATTTTTTTTCGAGACTGTAATATTTTGTATATACATATATTTACGATAAGAACAACTATCTATATATTTATACACATGCAATATTTGTATGATAAGACTTCTAAAAAGTGCATACTTTATCAAGTGCAAACTCGGGAAAAAACACAATTGTATCAGTCGGTAAACATTTCCGTAATTGAAAAACTGTTAAGGTCAGAGCTTATCTCAAGTCGAGAGGGAAAAAATATTGGAATTTTTACAATACAATCGTAAAGACGTTTAACCATAATTACTTGGAGTGTATTCTTTTATTAGAAAGAAACAAGGATATTTGTCTATAGGTAAAGTCGATAAAGACGATAGTTTCTTTTGATTTCGAACAGTTATAGAAGACACATCAGGCAATACAAGTATCGGTGAAGAAATCATACCACCAATATCATCCGACGTAGAAGTAGTCGAGACGTGTCTATCGAAATCATCCGAATCAACACACAATCCAATAACACCAGTAACAGATGATATCGAGACCTCGTTATCCAAATTATCGGAATCTCCCACCCCGAAAGCTGCTGAAAATTTGTTGTCGAAATCGTCTAGTAATCAAGTTCTATTGAACGAGGAAGCATCGTCGACGAGTACGATAATGAACAATGAGAATGCAAATTCACGTGAAACGGAGGAAGAGGAAGACAGCGGTACTACTGCTATTGCATCGTGTTCCTCGTCTGATTTACTAGTCAAGGAAGTACTCGCCGCTAAAGAGATGCTCAAGAAATATCTTGGTTGTCTCACGAGTTCGAGTACCAAAGATACCGAGATTGATAAGTCGACTAGCTTTACGACGAAGAACGGCAGGTCCGTCAGTCATTCGTCTAACTTTAGGCATAGGTAAGAACGATTATCCATTCATTGGAAAACGAATAATATTGCAATACTAAAATGAACCACTTGTTTCTTCGTTTCACAGCGAAAAACGGAAAAAACTGAACCGAATAAAGTCACGAAACAGTAGTGAGTCGCGGAGTCTGCGTACATCTTCTTCCAATCGTCACATGTCCTCCAATAATCGTCTGCCCTCGAAACAACATCACAGGGATAACAATGAGCACAAAAACTCGAGATCTCATCAAATAAAGTACAAATCCACAATGAAATCCTGTTCGCAAACGAACAACGTCGATCCATTGACTCGAGCGGTCGAGGAAAATTTAAAACATTTGAAGCAACATGAGAAACCTGAAATTTCTGTTGATGAGACTCGAGCTAAGAGGGTGGATAATGTGATTTCGAGGCTCGATGAAGCTAATCTAAAAGCCAAGGCGCTACAACTTAGTCCCGAAATGACTATATCAAGTATCGTCAGAGAATTGGTCTTTCACGATAAGGTAAAAAAAAGGAAATATATCTACCTTGTGAAGGTGAAAGTCTTTGAAAATCAATAATTTTATTCTCAAGATCAAAATTACTACATCAGTAGTTTTACATCAGTTCTTTTTCACGTAACATCGGTAACACATATTCGCCCACGGATATCGGTATTAAAAATTTAAGCAACAATTTCGAACGAATTTAAACTGAAATATGTTACATGCGTAAAATACTCTGTGGACAGTCCATTACAATGTTTATGTTAGCCTACGTAACTTGCGAATTATCTCGGTCAATTTATGAATGAACTAACTCTTAATTTTCATAATACAGACTTTCTATTAAAAATGAAACGTTCGTTGAATTGTAGGCGACAATAAGGCATCGAAGGTACTGCATGCTTTGCGAAAGGTGGTTTCCGACGACGTTAAGGCATCGTCGGCATTTGGCTGGCTATCAGCATAGGCACACAGAATTGACGCAACGACGAGCCATACATATGCTGTTTCTCATATTCACTGGCAAATTGTGTCCGAAACTCTTGCCGCCTAATATTGTGAGGACAGATTGCGTCCCAGGTGAACTCACACCACTACAGATTGCCGTCCAGGTAAGATACATATTTTCTTGCATTTTGTGCGACTATATAGACACACACATACGCGCGGTTATTACATTGTAGATTAGTTAACCAAAAGAATACTTTAGACCCAGGAAACTAAGATAAGATTTTAAATTATCGCAAATATTATCATAGTGATAGTTTTGGCATAAATGATAACCATGAAGAAGCCTTTAATTAAATGTAGTATTTTTTCAGGATTTCGCAACAGTCTTTGATGGTATACAACAAGTCACGGAAAAGCAAGAGAACGGGAGTAAGAAATGAAACAAAAAGCTATTCGCCGTAAAAAGATACGAAAGAAAAAAAATTGAAGTAGACGCGGACTTTAGTTTCTTGAAAGTATTCGCTATTGATTTTCGCAACGTGAGAATATTGCAGGACAAGAAGGTGAAAAAATTGGTGTATGGATACAACGCTATTCGTAATATAGGACAGGGTAAGCCAATTTTATAGACCGTTGCGAATCACACTCAACGTTAGTTTCTTTAGCCAAAGACATTCTAGCATCAGAATGAGGAATTTAGCTACTGTATATGTATAGAAAAAGGATATATATTATGATAATTCGTTACATTTAGATTTTTATCTTTTATTTTCAAACGCTCCTTTGAAGGCGTTTTTTTAATTGTACAAAAAGACGAATTTTAGTAAATGAATATATGCTTTAAAGAGAAACTGAATGGGGTAAAAAAAGAAACAAATAAGCTTTTATTTATATTGTAAAAGAGACTTATACATTGTATACATAGAAAAAAGAAAAACCGAGAAATATAGATATATTTATTATATTCCAATTTTCGGAATTGTTCCACGCATATACTGTCGCAATATGTAAATACAAAAACACATATATCGTATATAGAAGCTCGGATGTATTTGTACAAAGCAAACTGAAATGAAAATATATAGAACATATCTCTGTAAAAAAATAACAGTCGGTGGTTAACAATGAATAAAAAGAAATTCGCGACGATTGATGCGTTTCCTCTTCTTATTTTTGTAACAAATCTTAATTTTTTAATTCATTGTCACTAAGAAAACAAGATAATTTTCTTTAAAAAACAGACCTATATAATTCGATGTTTTTAGATCGGCGTGTAAACATTTATTTTTACTGAGTTGTTACGTTATTGATAAGTGCAGATTTTTTCTTTTGGAAAAAGAAAGGTCTATAATACATTATAACGTTCAAAGTATTTTGCGATGAATATTTATTAAAAAATGTTTCTTTTTCAAAATACTTGAAATGATCAATCAAAATTTTCGTAACTACTGAATTTTTGTCAATACTTGTACGATCTTTATCTTGGAAGTTTTTTAACGATAAATAAGCAAACACCGATAAATGTATTTACCGCACGAGTGCCTTAAAAATACACCTAACAGTATTCATTCGACCGAGTTTGTGCATATGCATATAAATAATGATACTTGTAAATGTAAAGTTCTAAATATTTAAAAAAATGTTAACACGATTGATTAAAGCGTGCAGTGTTAGTGTACATGAAAAGGGCTAGTTGCAAAAAATGTGTAGATCAGCTCGTGATCGAAAAACATGTTTTTCGAAATTACAAATGCATAATGGAATTAAAGGTGTCAAAGTAACCAAGTCCTACCTAAAAGCAAACATACATATTGCTATAAAAGTGTTTTCTCTTTGCAAAAGGAATGCTTAAAATGAAGATTACTATATGTATATCAGTATACGAAAGTGCAGAATATGATGTGTGTTCTATGTGCCTAACATTTGAAGTGTTTTAGTATGCTTAGCAGATTTTTCATATGAAATATATATGAACATTTTATATGTACATACATACATGTGTGTGTGTGTGTGTGTGTGTGTGTGTGTGTGTGTGTGTATGTGTGTGTGTTGGAAAAATAGTTAATATGTCTGTTGTATACATTGTTATAGAAATTTAGCGACGCGCTATCCATTGGTAAATGAAAATTGTTATTTGAATTTTTCTTTAAATTACTCGATTGACTCTCTGAATTTGAAAATTTTATATAGGTATTTCGAGTAAATGATGAATTGAAAGTACTAATAATATTAGAGTGAAAGATAAAAAATCAGGGTTCAACGTGGAATTCATATCTGTAGTTTAAGTGCAAAAAATTACAACTTTGACTTCCAATATAATGTAATTGTTTAAAATGCATTTTATCTATATTATCTCTTGATTCCAATCTTAGGTGATTTCGAAAAAAATATAGCATGCGTGTATGTTTGTGTGGCACTAAATGGTTTTGTAAATGTTATGCAATTTTGGCGTGCAAAATTTTATTAATCATAGATTTTTATTGTTTCCGTACAAAAAGAAAATAGAGGAACTCTGATGAACAACGTCAATGGATGGTAATGGTTTTTATACATTTTTTAATATCTTGAGGGAGCAATTTAAATGTTTATTGATAACATGTAATTGATTCAGTAACATTTTTATATAATACAATAACGTTTTTTAATGACCATAAAATGTACCAAAATACAAACTTAAACCATGCTATTAATTATTTTAGTACACATACACACATATCAGATTTTATTATTCAAAAATTACTGTGTATCAAGCAATTGAATTTTTTTAAAAGCAATATTTTCAATCAGTATTTCCATTCCAAGCCATGAAATCATGAATATTCATTGTCGTTGTTCCTCTTATAAAAAATCAGAGCTGTGAGATCTGAATACATTTGAACAAAATTAATTACAACTGAAAATGATAACTTATAAATCGTGAAAATCGCGAATTTTACAACACATACTGTTCTAGTTTTTAACTAGATGAAATCTACGCGTTACCTATCATTTGTTAAGTTTTTTCCTTTCATTTTTTAATATTTCTTATAATTAGTATTTATTAGTCTACCGAAGCATTATCAGTTAAATTCTGGTCGTAAAAAGTCCGTTTCGTTCTCATGGCAACTTCCTTTGAAATTTCGACAAAAATTTACGCAATACAATGTTCGTGCATTACTTTTAAAAGTACTATGACTTTTTAAAAAATTGTAAATTACATTCTTTCGCAAATAATTTACACACACACACACATATATCAATAACTAATTATGAGTGACCTACCGTCAGAAAAATCAATGAATTTAAAAAACGACTGAGAATAACTAAAACGTTAAATATTTTTTGAATTAGAATTGTTTTTTCTACTTATTATGACATTGTATTTTAATCACACGTGCTTCGTTTTAAGTTATTATTGTATATTATTATATTGAATTGTACTATTATGACAATCCTGTTATGTTTTAGTCACATATTGCGTTTTATTTCCATTCAAGAGAATGATATTATGTTTTTGCCTCTAAGAAAAACAAAAAAGTTATCGATGGCATTTCAACCACAAATTATTATACATAATACCTCTATGAGAAAGAAATAACGCATATTAATACGAGTAAAGCGCGTCGCTCAAAACTTGTTGAGTATAAATAATAATACATGCGCCAAAAAAAGAAAGTAAAATTTCAATCTTCGCTCTAAGTCAGTTAAAAGTGAAGTTTGAAGATTTCCGTTATAAGTAATATTTGTTTCCCTCATGGTAATAATTTGCCGAACTGTGATTTAATCTTTGCCAAGTGCAAACGGGAAACTAAACGATTCGTTCAATGGGATAATTCAGTTTTTTTATTTTCTGTTTACTTAATGAAGCAAAATTGAAGAAAAATTTTCGTCTATTTGTACATATATTTTAGCTGAACTATATAGCTGAGATTAAATGTGCAAGAGAAAAAAATTATTACAAATGTACTTATTATCCTCAAAGCCGAACACACACACAAAGCCGCTACAGAATTGAGTTTTGTTTTTTAGTCGCTGGTAATTGTAAGCATTCATTTAAGGGCTTACAGTCTCTTTCTAAAAATCTTATTGTATCTTTGTAAACGTTATGTTATAAATTTGTTTTTGTATATTTTATGGTGGAAATATTGATAAGTATATATAAAAAAGAAATTCTTGATATAATCAAATATGTAATATACTTTAACATGCCTGCATTCTTATGTGCGTTTTCGAAAAACAACAAAATATTCTTGGCATAAATTTTCTATACATCATATCAATGATTCATTTCATATTCATGAAATCATTACTGTATACGTTACAAGAATATTTCCACTATTTGAAACATTTTTTTCCATATTCTCATTCTATATCAGTCTCAATTTTTAGCAATTATGTGTGCGATGAAAATCCAACATTCATTTTTTTCTTATAATACACGTTGAACGTTTAGTTTTAAAGTGCAATTTTTTGTCAGTCGAGAAAACAAAGAATCTGCATATTACACGTTGTGCCTATCACGTTTCGGAACATTTACAACTCGATCAACTACTAATTTTCTTTTATTCTTGGGCTATATAATAATAATTGTGTCGTTAGTTTTTAAAGAAAAGTTTTAAAAAGCGTAGTTTCAGTGTCTTCTTTTTTTTTAAAGTGCACGGTGGAAAGGTAAACGCACTCGAGGCATTTCTTGTCACATTTACTGTAATTTGTTAACATTTTTTTAATGCGAGAATAATTAGAAATAATGAAAAATAAACGTGTGATGATTTCTTCTGTATTTTAATTTGTCTTTCGATGATGTTTATCGAGATTGATGCGTTTTTTGTTCGTGTGATGAATAAGACTTGTATTTGTTAATGTCGGCTTGTCGCGTTATTAAACAAATATAAAATAAAAATATTGACGAAATGAACTTATTTTTCTTTCTTTTCTCCTGTTTTCTCATTTATGTTATATTTATTCAATAAACTTTTAAACGATCAATTATTTAAGAACATTAAATTAACAAAAGTTTTTTTCATTGTAATGTAATCAACGTAGAAAAGTAAATAGCTATCAATCATGAAAAAAAAACTAATGTAGTTATTTCATATTTTTAATCAATAAGGTAACCAACAATGAAAATACTACACGTTAATCTTTTAAATGAAACTAGAACTTCAATGAATTTTCTCTTCTAAGAGGCTTTCTACATATAAGGAGACATCGGACGTTGGATAACGGACATATCGGACATTTACTGTACATATCAAGATTATCAAGTTAAAAAACAAATGATTTGTTTTGCATCTGGATATGTCCGTGATTGCGCAGGATACGAGCACAATGATAAAAAATACAAATCTACTATATTAACATTATTAATACAATGATGTATCATTCGACTATCATTTTTCACCATGGTAAACGTTTGATGACCGATATCCAATGTCTTCTTATGTAAAAAGTCCCTTAATCCATTTTTTATGTGGTGACACAATTTCAAATGAGAGTAGTTGCTGGCAGTTACCAACGTTTGGACTTGCACGAGCCAACATGATAGAGCGAAATTCAAAACAAACGGTGTATATGCTGATGTGGGTGGAAATTGTCAGTTATATTACTGAGATGAGGACGTTATCTTCGCTAAAATTTTGATAACCCCGTGTGGTTAAGTAAAAATCGAATGTTAAAGTAGTACTTAGAAAAAAATGGCACCTCCGCCAGTTGTCACCGGGATTTCTCCGAAGGAAGGACCACCAGGTACTCGGATTACCATTCGAGGGGAGTTTCTTGGCACCAGAGCGCAGGATCTTATAGGTTAGTGCAAATTGTTATTTTTAATTTTTACAAGGATATTACGCAATTGCATTACCAAAAGTCTTTTGTAACTTTTTTAGTTCTTATCTAAGTTTTCCAGCTGATTGTAAATATATCTTTATTTATCACCTTTCTTAAAAAGTTGCTCACAGTTTTGTAAAAAAACTTTTAGAAACTTAATTAATTATCGATTTTCCTTTCAATGTTTTTGTGAAATATTATTTTGGACCTACATAAACTTTATAATACTTTAATTTAATAGTTCATTTGAATTTTCACCTCCAAATTAATTTTAACATTTCATTTTTTTATTCTATATAATTAATCAAAATATTTATTTATATTTCGCAAAAGTTTGAAAGACTTCTTATTTAAAAAATATTTGCAGGTCTGAAAATATGTGAATGCGAATGTTTACTATCAGCAGAATGGAAGTCACAAAACAAAATAATTGCAAGATCTGGGCCATGCAAAGGCAGAGGTGACATAATAGTAACAACTCAAAGTGGTGGACAAGGTACATCAACAGTTCAGTTCAGAGGATATCATGAAACTATTGGTCCTATGAAAGAATCTGCAGTATGGGTTGAAGAGGCACCTGTTTTAAGTTTTGTTTGGGGTAGGAGAGCATTATCACCAACCAATTATCAACAAGAAGATCCATTAGGTCTTAGTGTAGAGGGAAATGAGTAGGTTATCTTTTTGAAATATTTTAATATGTATAATAGTATAATTGAGAAATTTCTCTTGAAATTTTATATATATGTTTTCTTAGAAAAAAGTTTCCAGAGGATGAACTAATTGAACATTTTGGTGAAGCTAGTGGGGAACTTACTAGTGACAAATTTCATCCAGGCATGTTTCTGCTACAACACCATCACGCAACTACATTTGATGATCTCAAAGCAGGTTTGTCTTACTTACAGAGAAAAGTCAACTCTCAAAAAGAAGGTCAACTGTCATTTTTAAAGGTATAAAATATTCAAGTATTTACATATGTATAAATTATGAATCAATAAATATAGTTATAAAACAACAAAATGTATCTATAGGCAAATGTTGGATCTGTGATGGAACAATTAGAAACAATTATGCTGTTAAAAGAACAATTTGAAGCAGATTTGAAAAATTATGGTGAAAATCCAATGGAAAAATTAGAAGCTGCCATTAAACAATCTATGTTAGAAGCTAATAAATTGTTTGACGACGTTTTGGCCAGAAGAGATAGAGCAGATGCAACAAGAAATGCATTATCAGTCATGCAGAGGTATAAATTTCTGTTTTGCATGCCTGTCAACATCGAGAAAAATATGAAGAATGGAAACTATGATCTTGTGATTAATGATTATGCTCGTGTTAAAAATTTGTTTAAAAATACTGATGTAGATATTTTTAAAAAAGTGCTTAGAGAGATTGAATATAGAATAGAGACCCTACGAGAAGTTCTGAGAAAAAAATTAGAGGAGCCATGCTCTTTAGAGGAACAAAAGAAAATTATTAGACATCTCATTAATCTTGAAGCTGAAGGAGATCCAGCTTGGGATGCTATAGGTAAATTATTATTGTATTTTTATATTCAAGTTGATTGTGGATTTAAAAATACTAATATTCAATTTTAGTTTCCCATGCAAATCACTTGGAAAAAAGTATAAAAGCTTCTACGAATGAATATTTAGATAATGAAAATAGAGATGACAATTATAGAGGTGGAACAGTTATAAAATCTAATGCTTCGACTCCGATGTCTATAAAACAATTCAAGCTGACAAGGGCTGATGAAAACAATGCTCCTTTTAGAGTTCAGTGTATAGAAGAATTGTGTGAAATAGTTATGGAGCAGTTGCCTGATCTGTGGAGATTAGGTCAAAGCTACTTTACAGGACAATTACATGTTGCTGTAGATACTGAAAAACAAGGACCATTTAAAGTAAGTACACGAATTATCTAAATAACGTTTTTTTTATTTATATTATGCTTCAAAAGATTATTTCTTTATAGAGTTTGGTACTTTCAAGTATCCAACATGCTGTTGATGCCATGAACGCTACTTGTGATTCGGAGTTGGACGCTTCTTGGCTTTTGCAAAATCTTAAATGCATAAGGCATATGTACGCTTCACTCATCCATTTAGACTTACCAAGTGACGCATTAGATTTATTTGAAAATTTTATTTTTGACTTGAGGTACAGTATTAAATTTAAATTAAAGTATGTTTAATTTATAATGCAAGATAAAATGACATTAAACTCTGTTTCTGTGATTTTTTTTTCAGATTACAATGTTTACTGGGCCTTTTTAAGGAAACAGCCGATAACGTAATAATGCTGAATCGCAAAGAAACGTGGAATATTGAGTACACTGACGATGAAGAAGGAATAACTTTATTGGTTCGTATGAACCATATTTGATTAAAGTAATCACATTATAACTCATATTATTAATTTTTTTATTACTTCAAAATAGCCATCAATGTTCGAAGATATGGTAGAAGACGTAGTGAAATTAGGGCGCGAAACAGCAATGACTTGTGGACCAAGAGAATCTCCTCTACTCGCGGATTTTAATCAACAGTCTATGTACCATGAAGCCGTTAAATCATTGTTTTCTTCGTTTGCTCGATGTTTGCAGCAATTGGCCTTCAGTGGTAGTGAAGATACTTTTGACGACGAAGTCACGACGGTTTCGCAGCTCACAGGTTCACCTGCAGCTTATAGAATCAGGGATAGCAAAATGCACGGCCCAGTGAGTGTTGGGCAAAACTTTTAAGTTTGTACCTTATAGATAATTTGAATTAGCCTGATGATGGATATTTACTTTTCTAGACTTGGGAGCAGTGCCTTCTAATATCGTTGAGCAACATTCGCTATACACTAAAAGTGGTACTACCGCGAATCGAAGAAAATCTGAAAACTCATGGTTATCCTGATCTGTCGTCTGCTATTGGTTATAAGTCTGACTGGACGCAGTTAGAAACTTTGGATAATGCAGTATTAGAAGCTTATTTAGAACGTCGCTGTGATCCGCTTGTAGGGACGATTGAGCCAAATATGTATGTAGGAAATCTGGATTGGACGATCGATCTTTTGCCTACGCACGTGAAACCTTATGCTCAAGAGATTTTAGATAATTTAATAACTGTTCATGCAGAGGTAATTTTTATCATTGATTTATTGCTATCGAAAAATGAGACTAGAGAGGAATACATTTTTTTTACTACTTAAGGTCCGTCGGATCTCGCCACGCTTACTGCAGAGAGTTTTGTCGCACATGATTGAAACTATTTCCGAAGAATTAGCAAGATTGATCACTTGCGTAAACGGTCGATTCAGTTCTGCTGGTATCATACAAGCAAGAACGGATATATTTTTCTTGAAGAAGGCTTTAAATAGTTATTGCACTCCAAAAGCGAGGTAAGTTAATCAACAGAAGTTGTGAAAATAGAAATAGAATTCAAGTAATATAAAATACATTTACTTTTTTTAGAAATTTTTTTGAAGAAGCCTCAAAAGCCATACCACAGCCAGCAAGTCAAGGTGATGCTGAAAGAATCGAAATACTCTTAACCAAAGTTAATTCGCGAATGCGACTTCAATTATCTTGTTTGATAACCGATGCGGATTCCAATGTTGATAACGTAGAATACGGCTCCGACGATTCTATGACTGTGTAGTCTGGTTCTACGGCAGTCTTGCTATGTGAATTGTACAATTTCTATGAATGGCAATATGTTATTTCCAATTTATATAAATATAAGATTATTTTATATTGTTAAAATGTACTAAAAACGTGCAGGAAGGTTCATATTTATTTTATAAATAAAAGTGTTACTTTTTCTAAAATTGTAAGTATTACGTTTTATACTTTTATAGTAATCATTGTTTTTCTACGTGAACTTTTAATATATTAACGTTATAGGATGTCAATTTTTTATTTTCGTAGTTTGCTCGTTGAAATTGTAAATAAACTTTAGATGAGAAGAGATAACTTCAAGTCAATTTTACTATCGTATAAAAAAATAAACTTTTCTTAATGACTGCAGAAACTTCGTAATTTCATCTATATCGAGTTCACAAAGTCATAAATTTAACATGCGTAAGTTTTTACAAACTAATAGCAGTATTACTGCGTCTATCGAGGAAATTCTTAAGACATATTTCGATCTATCGATTGTCATACCGATCAGAAGTCTAACTGTACTGAATTGGAGATTTGGAACAGCACAGAATTGGAAGGTTATTTAAATTATCACTAACTGTAGACATAGACAAGAAGCGTTAAACGAGCTCCGAGTTGAAACAACTATTATAATATATTACGATATTGCTGGATATACCAATAGAAAAGCAAATGCAGTTTTATTTTTACAATTAAAACCATTCATCAAAACTTAACAATATTGATACTAACGATCAACAAAACAGTGCTTCATAACAATATTAATTAAGGTTTTTCACGGTGCATTGCTTCCGAAAATTCTATCGTGCCTGCATATCCGTTCAGCGTGACAGTGTCACCTGCAATGCAAAAATAACTCTTCAATAGCCATCCTTTTTTCTTAAAGGAAAAAGCTAATATTACCAGTTGTAAAGATCCTCGTGGCATTTTCAGCACTAACTATACATGGTAAGCCATATTCCCTAGCAACTACGGCACCATGGCTAATCAGACCACCAAGTTCGGTGACGACACCTGCGAGCAATGGGAAATACGGACTCCAGCCGATGTCGGTTGCCTGAGTTATAAGAATATCTCCGGATCGAATAAGTGCTGCTTCTTTAAGGCTTAAAGCCACACAAGCTCGACCTGTTGCCACACCGTTACACACCGAGGTCCCTTGAATACGGGCTCCGCCACTAAATGTTGACAGTTTCGTTAGCTGTGACCAAAATTAAATAATTTTCTAGTTAGTTGAATGGTCAAACGTCATATATAATTAATAACGATAAAATCCGGATGAAGATATGATTTCGGTACAAATAAAATTAGACCAACCTTGATAGGTTTTGGCATTCCATAACTAATTTCATTATATTTGTATTTTTGCAGCTTAGGTCTGAGCTTTCTGCGTCTCACAGCCTTTCTTATTAAGCTAGGACAAGGAGTGCGAACGATCTTGGCAAGCTCTTCGCGCGTGAGGAAAAATACGAGTTCTTGTTCGGGTAGAGTGCCTTCTTGCACGAGCATTTCCGCCAATTTACGATAACCCATACGCATTATATGCACCAATTCAATTAGAAGGCACTTGGTGTGCTCTCTCTGTGAAACTGTGCGTCGCATCCATGGTAGCAACATCGCCATCACCCACCGTGTGCTCGACTTACGAGGTGTTTTGAGAAGAGCTACTGTTTCTCTCGGGCTGAGCTCACTGGTTTTAGTGTTGTTGTCGGTAGGGGAATCTAACATCGACTGTATAAGACAGAAATATTATCACTTTCCAAGGACAACCACTTTCATCTGTATCATTTACCTGGACGATTAACAGAAACTTTTCGGGTTTCATACCCCAAGTTTCCGTGATGAGTTCGAACTCTTCGATTCCTCGATGGCCATGGATTTCGATGAATTTCTGGACTTGGTTGTGAACTTTCGGGCAGTGGGTTAGTAGCCAGGAAAGTGCTTCCGAGGGATTGACTTGTTTAAAGTCCTCGCTCAAATCGTTCTCCTTGATTGTCTGCGTTATCTGTTTGAGTGTCAATGGCACTTGCGCGCTGTGAGCCATCGCTCGAATCAGTGAATTGCATTGTTTTTTAGTCATTGCGTATACTACTCACCTAATAACGTCGCTACACGAGCCAAGCAACACAGCGATATCTGAGTAGTGCTCCATCGAAAGTTGCTCATTGCCCTCGGAGAGTATCGACAGCATTAATACTTGACTGAAGACACTGCACCTGGTGGTATGGGTATGAAGCATTGTAAGGTTAACGTGCTCAGACATTATGTCACCCAACAGTTTATGTAATTGGTTGGCTGATAGGCCTGGCATCGTTTTTGAAATCATTCTACATCGTTCGATGGTCTCGTTGGCTTGTCTGACAGCTCGCGAGTTATTCCAAAGATCGGCACCCATTTCACACAGAAGTTTTAGTCGATCTCGTTTTCCCGCAGGACCACCGTTTCGCTTTAATCCTAATTCATTGAGTTCCGGCGTAATCACAGTGTGACCGCACACCGCGATTTCCATCACTTTACTACCGAGCGTTATCCTCTCCTCAACGTATCGCAAGAAAAACTGCACAATTTTTACACGTGTGTAGAGTTTTGAGATAAAATGTTTTTTTTTCAAATAAATGAGTAATCATACTCACATTCGCATAATTAAGAAAGCATTTGGAATTAACAATAAACATGCCATGTTTATAGTTATCGCTCATAAGACGCCTTTCTATACTACTTTCTACGGAAATGTTAAGAGCGTGAATAATAGTACTAATGGTCAAGGGCGTCGCAACCATTGGTAAAACTTCGCCTACATTAGCGAGAGTCAGAATATCGCTATCACTTGGGACACCTCCACCTAGTCAAAAAACAAGGCATTCCTTATGTCGCCCCGCTACTTCAGCTCCAAAATTCGTACCTAACTCGTGTATAAGCTCAAATTCTGTCCAAGCGTCCAATGCAGTCACAGGTCTGCACTGCAACAAGTAGATCTGGCCTTTTGAGACAGCCCATTCAATATCTCGCGGTGCATTGTACAACTTATCAAGCATCACTCCGATCTCAGCCAGTTTCAAAGACAATTCGTCGTTAATCGATAGCTTGGATTTTGCACTTTCGGACACGTCTGCGTGAACTGTACCACCGATGTCGCTATTTACAGTAACCTTTCGTGATTTTTTCCCAATCGTCGATGACTTGATGGTCAGTGAATTCTTCTTGTCTCGCTGGACGATTATCGTGTCTGGATCTGCGAGGGCGGACACAACACTCTGAAAAAACAGCGTGAGAGATATTCAGATAAAGTTAAACTTATTGAAAATTGAGCGAGTACCTCTCCCAAACCGTAATTCGAGGTAATTAATATTTCTTTGGGATTTCCGGTGATTGGATGCCTCGTGAACATTACTCCGGCAGCCTCTGCATCGACCATTTGTTGCACACAAACACCCATCGACGCTTTTATCGGAAGTCCATGCTGTCGCCTGTGCTGGTACATAATATCACGGCAATAAAAAAGTTTTTAAAATAAGAACAAAAGTTTTCTTCATTCTAGATGGTCTTCATTGGTCTTCATCCGAATTTAGTGAAAGGAAAAAAAAGTGACTCGATTTCAAAACTATATCGAATTGCAAATATATTTAAAAGTATAGTCGTTCCGTATTTTTTAAATGTTTTTACTCAAAATAACAGATGCTCAAAATAAAATTGCTGACCTGTATTCGACACTTTGATGAGTATACAGACTAGCCCAGCAGTGAGTGACGTACATAATGGCTTTGTCGACACTTTCGATACCAAGATACGTCGAGTTTTGTCCAGCTGCAGACGTGTCATCACTGTCTTCACCCACCGCGCTTGATCTCACCGCGTATGTAGACTTGGAATCTAACATTTCAAATGTTCTTAAAATTTCAGCTTGGACTGCGTGCAGCATCGGAGTACTTTGCAATACAGCTATCACTCTGTAAAATGAGATATATAGTCACCTCCATAGATTTTTACAATTATTTATTTTTATTTCAACGTACTTCTGAGTGCGTTCTTTTGTATCTCCTGCTTTTTCCTCACAACAAACTTTGACGAATTCGTCAATCGTTTCCGTCAAGTTTGCGTGACATTTGATATGCGCATCTAGTGCATTTGTTGTTATGCAAAATCCTTTGGGTACTATAAACTATATATAGAATTCACGATATCGGTCGATGTATGTTGAGCAAATATATTCGTTACAGTTTTGAATGATACCTTTGTGGTTTCGATTGCAGTAAGTTCAGCAAGTGATGCTCCCTTACCACCGACCAGACATTCATTCCGACACCGTTGATCCTCGAAAAGTAGTGTATAGACTTGTTTATCAGCAGCTGGCTTGCTCGTTAGAGTTAATTTTTTGGGAGAGGGAATATTTATAGGACACGGTCCGACAAATGGCTCACATAATTGTATCATTCCGACACCTACAATAATTTTACATATAACGTAGGATATAACAGCACTATTGCATGTACGATTCTGTACCAGAAATATTATTCAGCTTTAATTCGAATCGGCAAAAAATATACTGAGAATCCCAAGGAGAGCCGCCGTAAAAAGTTTTTAGGGTTTCCCTGTGTAATTTAATGAGTGCTTCGTATTTTCTTTTGCCAGCTACAAGTAAATCAGCTTATGAAAAGTTCTATATATTTAATTGAGAGTTTGTTTATTAAAATGACCCACCTGAAAATTGAAATGAGTATTCGTCAAATCCGTTATTGTAACGATTCATGAATTCGTCAACATCAAAATTCATCGATTGGATGGGATGTAAATTATCCTCGTGATTTTTCACATGACCTAAACGTATACTAAAACAGTAGCACGTGCAATCAACATTATTAAATATCATTCAAAAATGAATTTATTACTAGTTTACTTTTTAACGTCATCCTTAAGATTGCTCAATCGCAAATGGAATGAAATTCCCAAGGTGTCAGTACCCGTGATACAAAAGTTTCTTTCAAAATAGATAGCATCAAATTTTCCCCATTGAGAAGTTCTCATTCCTCGCAAATATAGCTGCCTGATAGACGAATCTTCGAATGTTACTTGAGCCATTATCGAACCATATTGGTCGATTTGATCGACGTCCAATTTGTTGCTAAAATAAGTTTATGATAAAAAAGCATTGACAGCTAGAACTGTTAAAAAATCCTCACAGAAAATCGTTCCATTTTGATTTTTTCCAAGAACTATGTGCTAATGTTTCGGTTAATAAATTTGTACTCCAATACTCCTTCTGAAAATACGGCTTGGTATTTGCGATGAAGCTGTACAAAAATGAGTCCAAAACATCTTATAACCGCCTTTTTCGGTGACGCAGGTATGTTAAATATCATCGACTTACATGCAATTCAAACGTATGTGTTGAACGTCAACATCGATATCACAATTAATATCCTTTCGATTACCCAATCTAAGAAGCCCGTTAAATAAAATTCGCGTGCGTTTTGTCGACTGCAGCACGTGTATTTTTAAATCAGTAGCCGACCAAGTTGAGTTTTCTATGTCACTTATGACTGTATTAGGGTGATCTATAATGTTTTATTTCAGTAAGCCGGATTTGCATACATTAATGCAAAATTTTAACAGCTCACCAGGTAATTCATAAGTGCGCCCATCGTCCAGCCTTAAAAAAAGTACCAGCTCACTGGGCTTTTTTAGCCGATGATTAATTCTAATAAACAAGTGATTATGCCTCTGGTCTGTTCCGTAATAGCTTATAATGTTTGTGTCCTGGAAAATGATATTTTTGGCACCATTTAACGCAGTATACTCGAAAAGAAAACGAAAAAAATATTAAACTCACGTGTTTCAGATCAGAGACGTCATCAATAAGCGTTCTCATCATACTACTGGAAGAAGAAGTTGCTCTTGACGCGACCTTCTGCCTCATTAAAATCCATTGGAAAGCCAATTGCCGCCTCAATGCGAACAGCCAACCTTCATAGCACGAACAGCGTAACAATTCTCCGGTTATTATAATAGATATATTTATGCCAACAGCTTAATGATTTTATCTGTACGCGCATCAATTAAAATCGTATCAATCAAAAAAGCTATTGCTTACCAAAGCAATCAAGGCATAGGAAGGTGAATTTATAATTAATCTAATTAGATGATGTTTGATGAACAGGCAGTTAGATTGTAGGAAAAAAAACAAGCAAATAATAAATTATGAATCTAAGTAATTTTTAGTTTCGCGTCTCCAGCATGATTCTATTGTAGAGAGACGAAATTAAGACGATAACAAAAAGGTATTTCCGGACACTGTCGTTCATTTTGAATAATGTTATTTTCACTTTATTAAAGCAAATGAACTATATAATGAGTTTTTTCGAGTCAATTTTACACAACTGAAACATGCTATTTGGCTATATATCAATGTATAAACAGTCACCGATGATATTTATCTAGTGAATTCAAAATAAGTTTATTTTATGTGATATAATGTTCCCGAAAAAAATATCCGGTTCTTATTTGTACATATATGTTACCATCATAAATTATCATTCGAGATAAAGAATGATTAATGGCTATTGTCCTCACTGCATGACCAGGTGAATTGCAAGCGATAATCTCGGAATGATCTCGACTTGAAGCATATAATGATAAGATTAGCGCTTTATTTATCCATACCTGATCCATTGCGGCTCTCGCATAGCCATGTGAAAAACCAGAGAGTCGTTAAGAAAAGCGCGAAAATTTTAAGACTTTCGTAAATCCACTCCATAATAGCGGTCACTCGTTCATCACATTATCATTATTCTCCAAGATAAGTTATTGCCTTCTAAAGAAATTGCATCATGTTAAGTGATCAAGTATATCAATTTATCTCTTCGACCATGATTATTTTGTAAGATTCCAAAGAACGTTCGCTTGGCGCGGATATACACAACTCTGTTCTTTAACTTACAATTATACTCAATTGGAATGGAAACGCCAAGGCTATGCTACGTAATACAAAGGCTTATATTTTGCCGAGAGGTGCTGTTTTTTACACATTATCAATGAACTTATTCAAATATTACTCCCCATTTTTATCTCGGTACTCAAACACGCGCTACTTAAACATATCGTTTGTTGATAATAAAAAAATTGATAGTTTTCCTCTGCAGCGAATCCTTGTATTTGGATGAGATACAAGTTATTTTCGATGTGTGTGTGTGTGCGTGCGTGTGTGTGCGTGTGTGTGTGTGCGCGCGTGTATGTATGGGTGTGAGGGTGTGTGTATGTGTATGCGTGTGTGTGCGTGTATAATGAGACTAGTCTGACAAGTTTTTTTTATGAGCGTACTAAAGAATAGGTTGAAGATCGAAAGAAGAGCATGCAACTTGTTCTTGTGAACTCGTCATCTCGAGTTTCAATGATTTCTAAATTCATATGCATTCTTAAACATCAACAGGCAAAGTTTACCTTTATGAACGTAATTAATTTTCAGTGATCCACGAATCGCTTTGAAATTTCCCAGATGTGAAACACTAGAAAACACAAATGTTTACCCGCTTGACTTTTCCTCCACGCTGATACTTGTCGTACACGATTTGTTTTATTTCTTTTTTCTTCTCGTTGTACACAGAAATCCAAACTGCTCCAAGATTGACTATCTGACTGACTCGTGCACGCTGGACTGACGTTTATAGTTCGACTGGACGCTCGGGTTTGCGGGAGCGCGATAAAGAAGCTCCTTTCTTCGTGAATGAGAAAAAGATTGACGATTGATCGTCCTTAACTGAAACTTAGTTGATTATACGTGAGCAACAGATCGATCATGATGACAATCGCCGACCGTGTGTATATGATTGACTTAGCCATTTTCTTTGTTGGAAATTATTGATCTAGATGTTTATTTATCAAAATCGATTATGTTTGCTGAAATTTACGATGTTTATTATCAAAGTAGTCATTCTCGTTACAATATTGGATGGATAACTTAGTGCACAAGTCAGTAATAGTATATTTTGTCAATTCTACGTATACATATGAGCTCTATGCAAATATAACAGTAGCAAAAGCTTTCAATTAGTTAATATCGCGTTTTTGAAATAAGAATTGAGTCCTCTTTCAACCAAGTATCGCAATTTATTATGTTAATGATTATATAAATTCATAGTATATATTTTATATTTTACAATAGTAATATAGATAAGCTAACGCGTTCAAATTTGACTTAGTGAAATCTTAGATTCCATTATGAAAAATATTTCCGTAATGTAGAGTACTATTCTAGTTCAAAATCTTCGCGCTACCAATAATTAGCAATGATCAGCGCCAACTTCACAACTGACAACCGACTCGATCCACCGCCACTAGCCAGTTCACGTAGTAAGGAAAAAAGCGCTGTTGGCGTGACTGCATTCTGGAAGCGAGACAGAGAAAGAAAAAAGAAAAGCGATACCTATAGCGTGGCTAGAGCAACAACGCGGCCCGGGAAGAAAATTTTCGCGCGTGCCATCCCCTTTGGAGATACTGTACAATACAAAGCATGCGTCAAACTTAACCTCGTCGTCTGCCCTCCTCGTCATTGCACGACTGTGTGTGCAGAACAGAGTAAATAATGGCTAAGACAAGTGTCAGCGGCGATCTGCTGCAGCAAGCCTTTCAGCAGGTGATCGACGAGGACGAGTCACCGCCTGACCTTATGAACATCCTTGGTAATTCCGACGACGATAACCAAGTGATACAACTCAGTGCCGAACAGGCAGCAGCACTTGGTATCACATTTAAAATCGTCGACGAGCCTCAGGAAGTAGAGCAGCAGCAAAGTCTCGTTGAAAATGATTCTCAGAGGATCATCTCCGAGCTCACACAGAGCGGACTATTTAGGCCTAGCAATGAGGATGGAGTTGACTTTGAGTGGACTGTACAGGAGACGTATGTGAAGGCTTTTCATTGTTTTGACTATTATAGTGATGTGTAGCTTTATCCATTTCTATATGCTTTGATCAATGATTCAACAAAAGCTATTACATTGGTATAATTTTATTGTGTTGATCAATAAGTAGCACACCTATTCTTTTTAGTTGTGCTTCTTGTAACTTATGATTATTTGTTTAATTTACTCTCGTTCAAAGCATTTCAATTTACAAAACTGGACCTATTTTCAATGCTACCTGCCATTATTCATTTGCATAAGATAAAATTAACTTATATGTTGTTATTATTCTCATGCACTAATAATAATGTTATTTTTCCAGTGAACCACAAGATATTTATCAAGATGAAACGATTAATGCTAATAATGTATCAGTCAATGATAACCTAAATCAATGTCAGAATAATACAACTTCTCAAGATCTGAATAATATTCAAGCTCAGATTCAATCCAATGAACAGAATAATTTTGGGCAACAAGATTTTATAAGAACTACCATATCACAATGTAACGGAAACGATTTACAAAATACAGTTCAATTGAATATACCTCAAAGCACTTTGCAGACAAATGTTTCAGAAACTCAAGCACAGATTTTACAAAGGTATCCTATTATTCTTCCTTCATCCCAGTTGATTTTCAAACCAGCACAGACAGTTCTTACTCCGGTTAAAAGTATTAGGATATTATCAAATAATAGCTCTAAGACACAGACATCACAGAATTCATTATTATTACCGAAAACTAATGTAATAAATACCATATCACCACAAATAATTAAGGCTATGCCAGTTGGAACACATTTCATGAGCACAGCAAATAACATATCAATGCAAATGTTGAATACATCTAGAATAATCCCCAAAACATGTGATAGTAGTAATAGTAATAAGTTAATCAATGAGCCACACAATACAATAAACATTGGTAATATATCTACATTAGGTCACAATATGGTAAGTTTATGTTTTATTTAATGTTTGATTTATAAACCTAGTGTATTTTATTTTAAAATGTATCATGCTTATGACAATATTCAATTCCAGATTCGTCAGTCTTCTGTACAAAAGTCTGTCCCAGCACAAATACAACAAAAGACCAATCTCCAGCAGTATTTTGGCCCTATTTTGAAAACAAATTGTAATATTGTTGCATCCAAAAATACTTTGCTTCACAGTAATACAATTAAACATACTGTTTCAAATCCACTATTGAAGTCTATTCAATGTCCAGCACAGTCATTCAAAACTACAAATGTAAAAAGTCCATTAATAGCAAAGAATTCAAACACTCCAATTATATTCAGAACAACACCAGTTATGAAGCATGATAATGCTAGGTTAATAACTGAATCAAGCTCAACTACTAAATTGCAGACTGTTTCAAGCCCTGTGTCACTTTTGAAGCCACAAACCAAAGTTGCAAATAATAGTTTGACTACACAGAATATTGTAAATGTATTACAATCTACACAGAAAACTCCACTAGTAAAGCTAGTACAATCTTCTGAAGGATTGAAACCGCTAGTTACTGCAAAACTGAAACAAAATGTCAATTCTCTTATGAAAGCAATGAAAAAGAAGCCTATTTCTCAAAATCCTATTAGCTTAAAATCAGATGCACCTGATCCAAGCAAGCCTTTAGGTTCTAGTGAAAATCCCATCCAAATAGTGCAACAAGGGAATTCATATCACAGGTAATAAATTTTAATATACATCAACTTTACTTGATACTCTATCAATTCATCTTTCACATTGTTTATCCATGGAAATTGTTTATCCATGGTCACATTTTAGCAAATTTCATTGGTTTTATTCATTTATAATGTCACTTTTTTTAATGATAGAAAAGTTTTTCCAATTTTAATTAAAATATATAGAGTCTATGTTTTTTTGAGCTCAAATGGTAAGACAGAGTCATTTATTTTAAAAAAAACTGTCGATGCTATGAAGTTACACTTGAACGAATTCAAACAAAAGAAATACGAATTTGAATTTCTTTTCCAGTATGCAGCGTTTATCACAAGCTCAACTGAAACACATAGCTCAACTGCTGCAGCAACGCAAAGAAGAGACAAACAGTAGTAACGAAAAAGTTGTGTATCGACTGGTATTTCCTGACGATATTGACTCGAAAATGAAAAATTCAAATTCGTTACTCAAAAATAAAGCTGGGAAACGCGGTAGGCCTAAGAAAAGTGCAATAAAAACCTCTATTTCCCAAAACAAACTTTCGACGGAAGAGGAACACGACGATTCAAAGGTATTATCTTTTAAACAGTTTTCAATTTTTATCCGATTAAAATCAATATAAATTCAATTATAATAATATTGATTTTTTTACTTGTAGGACGAGCGAAAAAAAATAGTGGCCCGAACAAGGTCAGGCCGACTGTCCCGACCGCCTCGCCACATGGTACGTGATTACAAGCATCTGCATCACTTAGACTTTACACAGCCAGACTTGGATGATTCTGACGGAGGTTATAGCGATTACAATACAAATGGAAGTGGTAAAACCGAGGAAGAAGATGGCAGTCAGAGAACAGAATTGTTGGCCGGTCTTGAGATGCCCAAACGAAAGATTTCCGACCATTTTAGGTGCCCTACGTGCAACAAAATTTATCTGGGCAGGACGCGCATGTCCAGGCACTTTGAAATGCACCCCGATCACGGGAGTCCGGATCAGTTGCCACCGCCTACTCCCGATCCTGAGTTGAAGGTTTGTCATGATTAAAGTTGCTTACATTATTTACAAATTGTTTTGGATTCTAATTCTCAATTACAATTTTCCCGTTTTATTTTACAGACACCTGCATTGGATACACTCAAACGAAAAGGCAAAAAGCGGGGGCCTTGGGCTTACGTGACACCCGAAGCGAAATCCGAGCGTCGTCAACAAAAACTACAAGAAGCAATTTCGGTATGTGAAGGATCAGAAATAGTGAAAATTGCAGGCAAACCAGTGGCTAACTCACTCTCGCTCTATGATTTACTTCTCCTCAAATCCGATAACAATGTCCATACGTTCTTGTCCGAGATCAAAGAGTTTATCGATAGGATACGTGAAAAGTCGAGAAGTATTTTCTCTCCTGCCAATCACGAGAGCACTTTGACCAATGACGTGATAGATCTCAGCGAAGATGCACTCTGCGAAACTCTGAACATGAGATCTGGATTTTACCAAGTTAACGAAACATTGTCATTTGAAGAATCAGAGACCAATGTTGGTGAAACTTTTGACATTGATAATGGTATGGAGCCACCACTTAAAAGACAAAAGACTGATGATATTTTGGAAGAAGGTAATTGTATTAGATATTAGTGTTAATATTTCGTTGAAAACAAAAAATGTAGATATGTAATTTATATTTTATACTTTATGCTTCTTTTTGTTTTTGAAGGTAAAGAAAATATAGAAGAAAGGTTATCGAGTGGTTTCTCAGAAAGCTCAGATCTTAGCGTGTCGGAGTTCCTTAATGATCGTCGAAACGATCCATCTGCTAACTGTCCAGAAGTATTGAGCGCTCTAACTCTCGTACCAAGAAATAATTGTTCGAATTCACTTAACGATGTAACGAAGGTGAATAACGTATCGAAGGTCTTGAACAGCGGCGCTGAGGTTCAGACAACAGACAATCCTGGATTCCAAAAATTGAGTATCAACGTTGCATCAAACAATAGCTCAAGCTTCTTAAAAGAAGGCGAGTTTACAAAGTTAGGGGATAGTTTAGATTCCAGTTGCACCGACGTGTTCACGAAACTCAATGGCAGCTACGAGCAAGCAAAAATGGATAATATGCAGAACACGTTTATCAAATTAGAGCCAACAGAAGATGGGTTTATCAAGTTGGGCAATGGTATGCTCAACTCTTTCCATCAAGAGATGGAAGATTTTGGAAAGATACAGAGTAATGGTTTCCACTTTATATCTGCTAGTTCTACCGATAGTTTCAATGAAGGATTCAGAAAGTTAATCCCAAAAAAAATGGATTCTAACGAAGAAGAGCTTAAATCTGATGACAGTAATCATCACGAGAATACTATTCAGATAACGACAAACTGCAGCAACCATAGTCCGGATTCAAATATTTTCGATGGCTCACATAATTTGGATATATCGAAAATGGAAAATTACGACCACATCACACACTTGGACATTCTGAACAGTAGTTCTGGCATTGATAAGAATCTCATGATCGATGAGAAACTTGTTGAACACTTACATCTTGTTGACAGTTCTAATATCGATGATATTGTCTCGGAAAGATTAAAGAGTATTTTACCGGAGAATTTACTTGAAAGTAATTTGTTAAATGGCAATAGTCATCTGGATGCTGATCTTGACTTTGACGAGTTGAGCGAAGAATTCAATAGAAACACTAGGAGTTGATAATAGCGGTCCACAATTCTACTTTCGTTAGGAAAGGTAAAGTTCCTAGAGGTGTATTTGCTTTTTTTTTCTTTTATTAAGAGTCAATTATTTGACGTAAGAGAACGTTGATTTTTGAATTGAGCCAATTTTTTTAAGCTATCTCATATGATATTATAATGTATATATTGCTTATGGTTACGCGTTTAATGCTTTATTTTTCAGAAAAGATACCTTTTTGTTTATTTTTCCCAGCGTATCTAATTTTGAAAATGTCTAATGTAGTTATAAGAAAAATTTTTTCGTTATTCACTTTATATTGGCAATTGTTTAATCGAATATTAATAGAATCTATAAAAATTTGGCTACTGATGCAGTTTTTATTTGCAAGTATATTTTTACGCTAGTTAAAGTTGCCATTCATTATTCACCTCTGTATTTTTTATATTCTATCCAACAATTTTTTTCTAAAATACGATTGGTTATTGAAATTTGTCTTATACAACATTATTCTTACCTTTATCTTCTTCACTGAACTTTCTATACAATGTACAGTGTAAAAAAAGATTATAACTGATATTTTATTAAGAAAAAAAATATGTTCTAGTTAACAAAATATTTGTATTGATTATTTGAATAATATCAGCGTGCATATCGTATTTTATTAACTAAATGTATACATTAATAACTGACTGAAGCTCGTGCCCCAGAGCACTTATATTTTTATGTGAAATGACTAATCAATATTCAACTTGTACATACTACTTAGTGTATTCTCGTACAAAAACATTCTGGTATACTTACATTATGATTAAGAGCTAAGTAGATATAAGTATAAAAACTCTATGTAAAAAGAGTCACACTCTAGTCTGCATTAGGATTTTTATAAGCAAAGAAATCGAAAGGGTGCATTTCATTTCAAAAATTATAATATATTGGAATGCAAGCACATAGAAATAATTGAATGTAAACTATTGTTGATATGTGTAATATGTGCATATTTTTTAAAAATAAAAAAAAAACAACATATGTAAAAAAAATATTACATATGTAATATAATAACTTTGAATATTTGGATAAATGATTGTTATAATTTGAAAAACGAAAGTAGATGAATTAGGTAACTTATACCGCTGTGTTCTATAAAACAAAATCTGCGTCATTTAGAACATGTAAAAGTTGTAATTATTAGACACTATCAAGTTTTCAAAAGAATTCTCCAAGTGAACTGTGGTGTAACTTCTGCTAAACTTTGAATGTTATTATTAATATATGCTGTGTATAAAATCTATTACATTTAAGAGTAACATACAAATGGAAAATGTGATTTAAAGCATTTTTTAAGAGTAATAAAATGAAGTCAGCTTGATAATGCAGCTGACAAGATAATTTAAATTAATAACTTATACAAATGTAAGTATTTATAAAGCGATGTAACTTATATTCACTCATTGTAGATTTCTATTTTTCAATGTCGTTTTAAACAATGAAAATAAAATAATTCCAGGTGCTAAAAAATTATGAATTTTATAGCAGCATTTTTTCAATATTAATAGTTTTGAGATGATCTCAAAGGTGTAAGTGTATTATCAAATGTATATTTTTGACAAAATTTGTCATATGTTCAAAAAATTCTAATAAAAATTCTAAATTTAAATTGTATAAAATTTGTATTTCTCATTACTTGTATGTAAAAAATTTTTAAAATATGAGTGATTCAAAAATTGTTAATATGTAATTTCTTCTATACTTCAAGTTTTTCCTTGAAGTTGTCTTAACTTTGTTTCAATTAGCATCGTCTCCAAATCAATATTAATATTGTCTGGTATAAATGGTTGATAGAGCCATGCTGCTATATGTAATACTTTTAAAGATTCTGTATACTCATGAGCTACATTTTCTAGGATAATTCGTTTTACTGTAGCTTCCTTTTTGTGTACATTATAGATTTCATTAGTTATAGAAACTAAAATAATTACAATATAGTTTTATATTTTTGCTAATAACAGCTAATTTTATTAATAAATTGAAGATATTAGAATAATTTGAAACTCACCAAATTTCTTCATGTGCCATGTTGAGAATAAAATTTGATCTGTATCTGGTAATTGTGAAATCTTTTCCATTTTATCAGCAAGTATTCTTAAATTTCCAACAATAGTGTCCTAAAATTTAAATATAATAATGAAAATACATGTAGCTCTCAACTTTGGTTATTTTTATACTTTAAAATAGTTACCATTTCATCACAAATTTTTTCTAAATCCTCACAAAGGCTCACAAGTTCATTTGGATAAGTTTCATCTACTTTCGAAAGTATTATTTTATTAAGAATTTGAACACCATGATGATATAGCGTATTCCACTGCTGGATATTGGCATGTACATCAGCAACATTGTCTCGGACTAATCTTGAAAGACCAGTAAAGTTCTGTCCTAGAGTTATCTTTGATCCTGGTGATGATACAACTGAAATAAAAGAAAGATATACTTTGAAATATTACAATTTTAGTTTATATAAAAGTTTTGACTAAATTTTAAAGAAAAAGGCAGATCGTTATATTCTTACTCTTGGGTAAAGGAAATCCAGATGACTTTTTAGACTGATTATGTACCATTTTACCAAATTTGAAAAAACTACACTTTGTTGATTTGTAAGATTGCAACTTGCAATTTGCAAAATCATATTTGAGGTTAAAAGAATCATAACAGCCAATAAATACATGTGCGATATCAATTTTAGTTCGAATATTTGTTCACAGAGTGCATGATTTAAATTAAAAGCCATATAGATTTTATAATTACTTAATCATTTTACTTCAATTACGAACGTAACTATCATTCAATGCTTGAGTTATCATGATAATTATTTCGACAATATTTGATTAATTATCATAATTTAATTATGAAGCTTTTGTAATGTTTTTGTAATAATTATATTTCAATAAATATTTAATAATATCATTGGAACAAGTTTCAGCTATAGACTGTGTATATTTTTAGATGCAATAAAAAAGCGATGCTTGATCATGGAATTCATCATAACTGTTGTAATGTTATATGCAATTACATGCAATAATACAACGAGAACGACGGTATAATCATAATAAAAATATACTAAAGTGTACATATATGTATCTTGAATGTTGATATACTAATTTATATACTTACTTTTAATTTAGAAAAATGTAAATCGATTTTTATTTTCTTACTCAAGTCTTTGGTTGATAAAATTCAGTTACACAGCTACACTGTGGGTGTATCATATATGAGTTATTAACAAGCAATAAAAAAACGGAGTATTTCGTCGCAAAAATGTATTTTGAAATATAAAACTATAGTCGTAATAAACGCACAAAGGTGCGAGATTTCAAGTGTAGTTCCAAAATTTGCTTGTAGCTGATAATGTGATTTACAAATTCATATTTAGCTATATTACTATAGATTGAAGAGTAATTATGTATGTGCATAAAATTAATTGTATTATATCCCGGGTGGAAATTTAACATTGTATCACTTGAGAAAGAAGAGAATAATTACCATTTAATCAAAAGCAAAATAATATACTATAAGAGGAATCAACATAATTTTTATACAGTTTTAGTCAATACAATCGCTTCAAAAAATGTTTCACCGTAACAGAACAGCAATTTGAATGCCATGCATTAGAAGACTTGTAATAATCACTGCAGCAACAGTCTACACAATAATGGCACTACCACATCATATTATTTCCCAATTCAAAGCCTATATGTCAATTCAAAGCAGTCGAAAACGACAGTAATAATAAAAAACATAACGTCATCTAAATAACGGACACCACGACGAGAGAGAGAGAGAGAGAGAGAGAGAGAGAGAGAGAGAGAAGAAAACAATGGCGCGATATATCCCACGCGCGATGCATGCGATGCAAGTGTAGTGCAAGGAGAGAGGCACGCGGAAGAGGAGTTTTTCTGCGCCCTCGCGCAAAGCCAAGCGAGCGACCGAGCGAGCGAGCGAGTAAGCCTTTCCATAGGCAAGCAGTTGCAGTCAGCCCTCAAGACCAAGAACAAGGTCAGTGCCGTCTTGGCGCTTTGAATTCAACATACGCGTGTGCTTTGAATAGCTCGCCTATATTTTGTTAATATACCTCATTAATCAGAGCCAATCCAAGTTTAATGTGCTCGGGTACGTATTTAGTGCAGGGTGCAACTGAAAAACAGGCCCGTGTATTATTAGAGTGAGAGAAAGAGAGCTACGTGTACCGTTAAACAGTTCTCTATATACACACGTTTATTTCGACCGGTTGATATTGCACGCCAAGGATACGCGTGGCGAAGAACGCGCGAAGGATCTGCCAATTGCTTGCGGGGCAGACGACATGTGTTGTCGTGGCATAGGTAAACACGCGCAGTATCAACGACGACGGAACGGGGAGCATCAGTAAGCGCTAAGCGCGCGACCGCATAAGACAGTCACCGCAGCTACGTGTGTGCGTAACTGGCACACCTGGCGCGTCGGAAATTAACACGGAGCAGCGATGAAGACCACCGAGGTGAGTTGTTGTCCTTTGTTTTCTGATCGGATTACCTGATCTGTGTGTGGGGTTTCGAAAGTCTGCTCTTTGCAAACAATATGTGCAAAGATGGTGCGAGCTTTTCGATGGGTTATCACTGAGGTTGGACGGTATATAGCTGTATTTTTTATCTTACGCAATTGTCAACCTACACAAGTCTGCAATCAGAAAAAGAATAGTTTTATCGATAACGACAGTATGATATTTCAGATAAGATTAGTTGCCAACAGTGATAGCGTCTTTTTTTAAAACTTGAGTAAAAATTTTTAAAATACAAAAATGCAGACCATTAATTTTTTATCGCTGCGTATTTGCACTTATAAATTACTGCACATCATCTCGTTTTCACTGTAAATATACATAATTTATATTTTTTTTAATTTAGGCAAACATAATCTGCTTGAAAGTTATGCGAGAAAAATACATTGTCATTTCAAATGGCCGTGCGCAAATTATCTTATCACAATTAAAGCCAAACTGCCTTTGCAATACTGCTGCCGTTGCGTAAATCACGGCTTTTTGACTTGTAACAATAAAATCTCTTATCGCGATGTATGTTTCAAAAGTTTCTCTAACATACATCGTTTGTTCCGTTACTCATGCATGCGTCTCCGAAAAACTCGTTACGCATTCCACGCTTCATTATACAAATTTCGCCAACAATGAAAACGAAAGAAAAAATACGTCTCCCATCTGAGACTTATTAAATTGTTTGTGGTGCTTGTCCACACGTTTTCGAATTGAGCACACATGCACCCGACATATCACGATATTCCATGGGACATCGTTTCCTCCTCTCTCTCTCTCTCCCTCTCTCCCCAAGTGAAATTTCAATTGAAAACTTGTTAGTTTGGCGCATGGTTATATATATATATATATATATATATATATATATATATATATATATATATATATATATATCTTGAGAAAAAGCTTACTGCACGCTCACGGGTATCTTGCCTTTGTCTGTTTTCTTCCATTTTTTATGCAAAATTTGTTCTCGATTTCAAATGCAATGCGGATTTTTCTTGTTACCTTTTTAAATGCACTTGCATTATTCATTGCCTCTACGAAATATTTTAAGATGGTGGCTTTTGTTTGATAAGATGTACAAACGATAAATAAGAATTTTGTTTTATTTTACGAAAATCGTGTTTTATAAACAATTGTGAATGACTATTAATTTTTAGTAACCCTTTTAGAAAGTCATCATTTTTTCCTGTATTACGTATATTTTTGAAAAAAAACAACTCCAATGCCTAATATCTTTTATGGTAATATCTCGATCCGTTTTTTTTTCTACGCTCTCTTCATTATAGATAGTGCTCACAATTCTCGCTAATCGAGTCTCCATCTTGAATATTCCCCAACTTTGAAATCTAATTAGCTTGAAAAAGATTAAAAAGATAAATAATCTAATGTATCAATTAAGTTTCACTGTGGTTGGGCATCATCACGCGGACGGATGCTTGTATCATATCGGAAATGAATTTCAACAAGTACCAGACAATGTCTTGTTTTGCTAGAGATGAAGCCTTGCCGTTTGATTCGTTGGAGGTGATCGTTGCGTCTACGTGGAGATTAAGTACTCAAATGAAATATCGATTCTTCTTTATGTTATTTGCAAAGCGCAGTATAGTTTCAACAAACCACGGTAATTGGTAATTGAGTTTTGAAATGTACAATTAATTTTAATTATGGTTTGGTAACAATCTTTTGATAATCTTGGAATGTATTTTATTTTTGGAACAGAAATTTTATTGATCATAAGATCAAGTCACAGCATAAAACGATTTGATAAAAAATATAATTCATTATGTAAAATATGATAGGATTATTTGATTTTGTGTTTCTGGAGAACATCAATTGCTTTACAATGCAAGAAATATTAAGGTATTTTATTTTACTGTTACTTGTGCATTTTACAAAATACCGTTGGAATTCGAGCTTTCAAAAACAAGTTTCTTTTTTATGATCTCACTTGAAAAATTACGTGCATGTATTGAAACGAAAAAAGCCTGTGTTCTTTGACACGATCCAGATAAGTTTATGAAAAAAACATTTATAAGGTGCAGGATCAATATTTCACGACCGGAATATTATCGCCGTCAGCAAAGAGAAATCACTCGATAATTTTCCTTTCCATTATAAAATCCATTTATATTCGCGAAGTAAATGCAATTTCGGATTTGATTATTACATGTGAAATGCATAAAATGTCATTGAAATTGTACTACACATCGCACCTACTAAAGCATAAGACGAAAAGTCACTGACCGCGTAGACGTATATTGTCAAAACTATTGAACGCTTTTTTCTCTTTGCCCGTTGATTGTTTTACGATTAGACGCTGAGTATGTCAAACAAAATGCGTAGTTAAACAAGATGACGAGTACATATCCGTGTTTATAATTTCGGAAACTTATCTTTTTCTCGGTCGTCATGCCTGTTGAACTGAAGAATTTTCGGAAACATCAGCTCCGGAAAAATTTAAAGTAGTTTTATTAGTTATGAGAAATTGTAACTTTTATTTTATTTTATAAAACGCCGATCATTCAAAACGTGAGCTCCACAAATCGTTCAATTTCGTTTGAGATTAGTCTCGCAATAAACGCGGTTGATCACAAGAAGATTAATTGGGTTGGAAATCATGTTTACAGTTTACGGGCTTTAGCTTTCCATTTAATATAAGATTATATCTTTTACTGTAAATGTTCTCATGAAGCGTTAGTGAGCAGTATACGTAACTTTCTCTAATTCACCAGAGATTAACAGAAATTTTTTGTTGTACGTAGTTATTATCTATTTCTCTGAGTATACATTTTATTGTGTAAAGAATCATGCCCATAAAGTGTTCTGATTGCCATTGTTCGCTAAATAATAATTACACGCAGTGTTTTCACTTTTCCTCGACTAAAAGCCATAATTTTCCGCTCGATCCTTCCTGGCAGTTACATAAAAACTTCACTGAAATTCATTGAGCCCAATTAAAAATGAACGGCCTATCAATTCAACGACAACTATACATAAAAGGCAAAAATAGAAATCGAGCGAGAGTTCGATAATAAAAATCAATTATTATCGATATCGTGCGCGCGCGTCACGCACCGGCAAGTTATTTTTTTTGCGTGAAATTTCTCGCGCGATTAATCGCCCGTCAGTCGTAGCCTTTTTGCGAGCAAGCGCGCTCTTTATCATGGGCAACTTCCTTTTACTTTACGATTGTCTTCACGCAACTATATCGAGGAGGAAAAAATATTTTCCTCCATGATACTGATTGATTATCGTGCTAGTTTTGTGCCTGAGAGAGTAAGATCGTTTCTGTATTATAACTGCTTGCAATTTAAGATTGTCATTTCAATCTACCTTCTTATATAAATTCACTTATTCAAATACTATAAATATGCGAAGGCTAGATCATAAAGTTTATTCCTTTGATATCAATGAGAAGTGCTTGATTTACTAATTTAGTGGAAATTCTTTGCCTGATACCTACTTAGCAGATCACTCTGTTACTTAACGGAATAAAATTTTTTTTAATTTCAACTAAAAGACTACATAAATAAGTATGAAATCACATATAGAAATTTTAATAAAATAGCTTTTGGTCTTGAACTGAAGTTTAAAATGATTTCTTTTGCTTTTAATCGTCTCGATTTTGTAAAAGAGACTTTAACGCGTATACTTGCTGGGGTAAGTTGTTACTCATGAACTCGTCTCCTGCTCGTAAAACAATTTATATACGTAGTTATCCTGGTTCGAGTTGTACTTTCTGTTTTGTTGTAATAGAAGTGAAAAAAGTTTGTTAATCGTTACTTTAAACCAAGCCGATGACATTTTCGAAAGTACTCAATATCCTTTCAAATTATAACTTATGCACACGTAATTATACGCGTCATCGACATTGTAATTTTCGCATCAACTGTATCTGAATAACTATCGATTGAAAATGATCTTCTATAAACGCACATTCATAATAACAGTCATTTATTTTGCTGCCTAACGTTCAAAGGCACGAAAAGTCTTACTAAACTCGCATATAGGCCTTTTACTTTTTTTCCAAGGTCCGAAAAACACCCACATGATTATCAATGTGATAAAAAGTATCTCGGTTTTAATAGAGTAAAGAAAAGTATATGCATTATACAAATTTCGTTTTCAAAACCTAACGACAGAAACACAACTTTCTCTCTCGCATATATACACGCACCAGATGCGCAAGCGTGCAATGCTCCAATTGTTATCTTTTTCGCAGAGGAAGTCCTTTATATCCTTGGAGGGGTGTGGGGGGGGGGGGGGGAGTTTCCGTTGTGTGGTTATATGCTAGAGATACAAAAATGTTGGTGGTTTCTTTTGTTGGCATATTGAATGTTTCTTTATTCTTTTGTATCATGTGAAGTTGTAATTCGTGCTCAACAGCACCGTCACGGAATAACTATTAGCCGCAAGTCACTTTGCGAACATAGTTATGCGATGAATACATTTTCACTGAATTATTGGATTGATGAATCGCGCATGAATTGGGGATTTAAGTCAGTTCTCTTTGCTTTTAAGGGGAAATCTGTAAATTATTATCTGTGCCAAGATCTCTATAAGAACTAAAAATAACTTGTGTGCATTTTGCCCAATGAATCGATATGTCGTAATTCTTGTTTTTGCTTTCCCCGCGTGCGCGCAGTATCAGCGACTTCCACGCTGAAAATACAAGTGAAGTAAGAAGACGAAAAAAAAGGAGACATGCCGCAGGCTCAGTGAGTAACTCGAGAGAGGTAACGAAAAAAAAGAAAAAGAGAAGCTCGCGAGGCGGTCTCCTTTCGAAACGAACGTTGCCGGCGCACAGTACCAGTCCAGCCACGGAAGCGAAAACACGGCAGTGCTATAAGCGCGCAGAGTCGCCCGGAAGTGTGCGCCCGGAAGCCGCGACACAAGCGTGCGAGTAAGGCCTTTTGTTCTCCTCTGCATATATTATTATATAGCAAGCTGTTTCCCTAAAGTTTTGTGATGTGCTTTTGCGGAAAAGGATTTTTCCTGGTCGACGATATGTATAAGCATTCCGTAGGGAGAATAGTTCGGAACGTATGCTTTGCATACTGATTTTTGTTTTGAAAGGGTTTTCGGTCATAAGATTTTTATCATGGATATTTTGATATTTTTGTCCATTTTTGAACTTGTGTTGTGTATTGAACACGAGCGTGAATGCACTTTTTTTAATCGAAATCAGTGGTATGATCGTGCAGTTAATGTCAATTAAAATTGGTAAGAAATGTAGACAATTGCGATCGAATTACACGTGTAATTGAATATATCAGTTTTATAAAAGAAATCTTTTGTTTTGGTAGCATATTTATTTAAAAATTGTTCAAAACATTTCCGTTATTCCAACGTAAATCACGTGTACCCATGTTTATTATACTTTTGCGTTTAAAAAGCAGTGATTTACCGCGTCAAAGCCGCAAGTAAGTCACAAGGCATGTTTAATTTTTTTATCTACAAGATTGTGTTTCACATTGAGTAATGTTGTTCACCATCTCTCTTAAGTTGTTCTTCAGATTATGTTTTCTTTTGTGACTAGTGACTTTGGGACAATCTATCAACGAATGTTTGTCGTTAATTGGATTGTTGAATTGCACATACTAGTGGCGTTGCTCTGTTGAATACTAAAAACTACTCAATGTAGGAATATCATCGAATTTTTTGAAAAAGACAAACTTATAAACTGTACCAAATAATCTAACTACAAATCATGTATTATCACCAAATTTTTACTTGTGTAAGTATATATGTGTATGTATGTGTACATCACGACTATTGTATTAATCTCACTATACATACGAATAATCTTCTCTACTTTTAATTACTGTACAAATCAACTGTAATAGGTCGCCAATACTAAAAGCGGGTGCAACCTTAAATAAATAAATTAAAAAAATGATTACGTTATAGTGCACGTCAGAGTTAATTTCAACGAATTAAATGCACTGCAAGAATATTGTATTAACGCTAGTATTTAAGGAATGTAGGCAGTACGAAATTGTCGGACTTTCCATTCGAAAATGTCTATAGCTGATAAGAGAGCTTTCGAAATATAAATAACATAAATACGTTGTTGCGCATAAATATAGAAAATATCGGTCAGTAGGCGAGCTTGAAACCAGTCCCATCAATTATAAACCATCTTTTCTCTCTCTTCCGTCGAAATCTTCGCAAAGTGCATTTAGCCGTAAAACCAAAAGAGAACTCGTTACGCATGTAACCGTGTTCTGAAAGGCTGTATGTTATGTTGTAACAAAATAAACTTTACGCGCGTACTCTCATCGTCGATATATTGATGCATTTTGCTTGTTCCCTCGATAGTATCAAGCGAGCATAATTATATTCGACAAGTTTTGCGGAATTCGGTTCCCGTTATGAAGCGCGTGAGTTCGTTGCGCGCCATATAGTAGTCTTCTCTCCAAGTACCTACATATCCACGTTATTCACGTCCTTTTGTACATTTGACGCGCGAAGGTGTTAATGCGCACAAGTGTGGTCGATAAATCTTGTTTGCTTCGTCAGAAGGATTGAGGCATCAAAAGGGGAACAGGTTTTGTACTTTGTCAGTCTAACGCGCGCGAGCGTCTACTCAATTTGTCTGCGGTTTTTCTCGTTCTGTTCGTCTTGATTTATTGGTTATCCACGCTTTTCTTGTTTGCCTTTTGCCCGTTAATATACGAATATTCATTGTTTGAATATTACTGCTGTCGTCGGTATGTCGGCCTTCAAAAATGACATTAGACAATTATATCTCTCAGACTTCTCGATAAATCTTAATTCTAAAGAAAATTAGAGCTTCATTTTTTCTTCGCATCTTATCGTCCTCGGATATAAAATGGAGTTTATTTCCTCGAGCGCGAGCGAGTCGAGTTGGGGACAACTTTAACAGCCGCTCGTTCTACTTCCACTCGTGGAGCAAGAAAGAAAATGCCAAACTATATAACGTACAGCCTCGAAAAAGCGCTATCTTCTTTAAACCAATTTCAAATACTTCAAGTGCAAAGACAAAAAAAATAAGCAAGCGCGTGGTATTGTTCTCGCGACGCATTATTTTCACGGCCATGTACCTTGCGATGATAATTTTTCGAGATTTCTTTCCGCAACTATTGTCAAGATAGGCAACAGATTTTTCATTTGGCTCTGCGTGATGATGATTTTGATTTCTGCGAATGTTAGCTTTCTTCTGATTCTCAAGTGCATTATTAGTATCGGCAGCGCAACTTCGAATCATTTATATGCCTAATTATCGTGTGTTTTTAAGATCCATAATGTCGATCAATTCAATAACGTTGTCTTTTTAATAACGAAATTTCGATTGTTCGAAGTTCCATTTCAGTGCAAACCATCACCTTGAATACAATGCCAATAGCGTGGTTGAAGCCATAACACGTCGACTGATATGTATATTGTTTTTCTCGCCGCACTTGCGTAATAAACTACATATTTTTATATATTTTTAGGAATTCTGTCATTATACGCAGGTGATTCACGTGTACGTGCGCAGATCATCTAGATTAGATTGACAAGCAGCGATATCTACATTTTTTACCTTTCCGTCTGTCACAGGCTCGACTACGAGTGGAACAGTTGAAGAAGGCAACCGATCGGATACAACGTGAGATCGAGGAGGTAACCGAACGTGAACACGAGCTACGTAACGTCGGCAGCATCAAAACTATCTCTCACGAGACCGTTGATTCTAAGGTACGTTCATTATCGACAATTGATTCTCTTCTTTTTCAGTCATAACGGTCTCGGGTCGAAATTAGCCTCGTTCATTATGGTATGATTAACGTTGCGCGCACCAAAGCAGAGCAAAAACCAGTTACAGCGAGAGCAACGGCTTTAAAATGCATCGGCACAGCATCAACCGTTAACTATTCTCAGTATTGTTTATTTACCCTCGCGACCGTTGTGATTGATTGTTTTTTGGCGCGCCTTTCAACACGAAAGTCGCTAGTCGTTTCAGATCGGCAATTCACACGTGCAAAATGCGATTTTCGTTTCTTTCGCGGACCTTTCGCAAGTGAGATGTATTCTGCCCGGACATTGATTGGCGGCCTGCAAAGTTGTAAATGCAAATTATTTTTTACGACAGATCATCAATGGCACTAAACGAGAATAAGTCAATGGCTTATTTTATCAAGTTGTGCTCCCGCAACTTGCCGGAAAAAAATCCATTCGATGCCATCGATGCTCATTCATCGAAAATAATTTGGATTTTGAACTTCGTAGGTTGCGAATGAATGTCCGGACAGTGTATACGATAAAGCTTGTATTGGCAAAAGATTTCAATCGAAAATTATCACCGCCATCACGATTTTGAGAACAAGTAGAAAATGAAAACTCCGTCGATGGTGACCTGAGTGCATACATTATGACACAATCGTGACGACAAAATAATACTTTCAGAACCCTGAATGATGCGGGTGGCACGCACACATACGCAATCGAAAATGACTTACCAATATGAGTTACCCATCACCACAAAAAAAACTCTGCAACTTTAATTTTTTTCCTGATAATTTAGCATACCACGAAAAAGGCCTTCTATTTGAAAGCAAAGACTATCTCTTTACACTGCACCGTTATTAGAGAAAGAAAAAATTGACTTAGTCTGACCCTTGAATTGATTGGCGCTTCTTTCGTCATGTTTCTTGTAATTAAGAAAGCCGTGATGGTAAGAACGACACGCGGAAAACACCATTCACTGGCTGGTACCGTTTAATCTTTTTCTTTTCGTCGCCGGTCTGCGTTAACAATGATTCTCGAGTGCGTGAGAGATTTGTTGGTAATGAGCAGACTGCAGCTTGGCCTCCGTTTTAGCTTGAGACTTACTTCATTTACATTTAAGCACTCTGTCTCTCTCTTTCTCATTGCATACCCTAATGGCGTACGCTAATTTTCATTACTGAAAGCGTTGTAAAAGCTTTTTGTAAGAAAAAAGTGCACGCAATTAACTCACGGTGTAAACTCGATGACATTTCACACAATCAGAAAATTATTTGAAAAAATAATCAATCTTTACGTAAAAAAACATACTCTCTTGAGGAATTTTCAGTATATTCCACGGTCGTTAAACAGTAGCAGCCGTTAACAACAACGAACGATGAAATATATGATATTTCACGTGAGCGAAATGCAAAACAATCGAGCATTTCGAAAGTGTGGCCGGGCGTGAACGAGGAAGTAATAACACGACAACGAACGGATATAATCGAGAGTTCGCTTCGGCGTCTTCGTTTATTGCCTCGACCTTATATAAGTTATTACGATAAAGCTGTACGTGACGGGCTTTTCTCTGCTTTCTGAATATGAAAGAGTTGAATGTTCTTGAAGCTTACTCATCCATGGTGAAAATAAATTATCGTGCATTACACATTCAACCTATTTTCCACGGTACACTCATCAAAAGTTATTTCCATTCAATAATAAATTATTTATTTACGTAGAATCACAAGTTCAATGACCCATCGTTACCTTGCAAACGTTGCAGACTTATTCAAGGCAAAAAAAATAACGAAAAACTGCTAGTTAACCCGCAAACAAATGCTTACATCGCAAGCATTGAATTACGTAAAAGCTTGCGTTTGTAGCCGTCGTCAATGCAATTACCTACATAGCATCAGTCACCAATAACCTAATGAAGCGATGCGCGCTAAGGCGTAATTATTATGATCCACACGCGACATGCCACCGTCGCCGCCTCTAAAGGTGAAATTTTATGACTCGGGGATGAAAAATTTTTGCTCGTGCAGCGGTTCGCTCCTTTTTTTTAACGACAGAGTAAGTTTATCGCGTGCCTGTTTAGATCCGCGGGTTATAGATAGTACCACGTGCGCGCCTGTTATAAAAGTTGTTCGTGCTGGAGTTTTCCTTTCTTTAGACCTAATTGAAATGATATTTATGATAAATGATTTTGTTTCTTGTTTCATCGTTTAAGAACAACGAATCTAGATTTTAAGTTTAGGCCACAATCGTTAATTGTTGTAGTCATCGTCTTAATTACCAACGTAACGGTTCAGGCTCTTTAGACCTCGTTAAACAGTCTAGAAACTTGAAGAAATGATAATCTCGCCAAAAGACACACGGCTTTTAAAAGTTAAGCAGGTAAAATCTGCTAGTACGTGTCGATAACTCGAGCTATATTCACGGAAGAAAAAAATTCAATTTCAAAGTGTGATGACGATGACAGGGTATGTTTACTACTGCGGGCGTCAAATCGTCATTCATTCTCCCACCTTTAGCATTGAACATTGAAAAAATAAATGCATACGTTTATCATTGTTTCTGTGACTCATGCTGTTCTAAGTCGTAAAAAAACGCTATTACCTGTTACAGGTGCGTCGTATACCTCAAGCGCTGAAAGCGAGTACAGGTCGCCTCAAACGTACAACCTCTACGCCACAAATCCTCGAGCCTTTGTCGGCAACATTACTGACGGCACCCAAAATGACGAACGGTGTGATATCGACAACGCGAACGACACCAACACCACTGCGATTCGTCAACTCGCCAAGTCAAAAGGGTTTAATGCATCGTTTCTTAGCTACAAGGGGTAAAATGTTTAAAAGTGGTGAAGTTAATGGACCGACAATTATATTAAATCCGGAGAGTATTAAGGCATTGAATAGAAGTTTGTCGGAGAAAAATGGGGAGAACGGTCGTGAGGATGTTGAACCTAAGAGGCCACCGACGAGGAAAGGCTTCGTTCCGGTCGAGAAAAAGATTCAAAAGGAGCTTAGTGAGATGAAGGAACGAGAGAATGAGCTGAGGTAAGATTTTTTATCAAAATTAATTATGTAGCTGATTTGTTATGAAAAGACATCGTTTCGTCATTACGTGACATGTTTATTTGATCAAAGGATTTATTTGATACGAAGGACGATCAATAATGGAAAGTTATACAGGTTATCGGTTGCAATGGATAAAATCAATGTCGATCAAACGTACGCACGTGCCGGAAAAGGATAAATGGTTTTCAATTAAATAAAATACACGTTTTTTGAATGCAGTCTTGTTTCTTGAAAATTTTTATAAAAAAATGGAATAAAATGATTGACGATTTACAATCATTGCAGATTAATGCGGTCGCAGATGTTGGCAAAATCACAACCTAATCTGGCGGACCTGTCTAACGATAACGACTCGGATATCTATGACGGCGCGAACTCGTTAAGAAGTGGAACGTCGACTAACACTCTAAATGATGATGAACCAGAAAAAGAAAACAAAGGGAGGCACAAGGTAAATGTTACCTGTACGAAATCAATCAATTGATCTTGATCTTTTCATGCTAAAATCCATAATATTTCTTATTTTGCAGCCGCATCCACGACGACGAAGCAATCTGATTGCACAATGGGAAAGTTTGATAGCGGCAAAAAAGGAGGCCAGCGAAAATGGCAACGACAATGCCAACACCGTCTAAGTCAAACGCGCTAACTTTTATTGTTTGACAATAAAATGAATTTTGGGCAATCGCGTATGCTGCCTTAAAACGAGATAACGCACGTGGCGTGTTATATATCACAAGCGGTAGTGATCGTATTTTTTCTCGTTGCATGCAATTTTTTTATGCCGATACTCGATGATTTTTGTAAAAATATTTTGCATTTAAAAGCAGTAACTTTTTGCATCGCTCTTAAACTACAACTATGTATATTCAACGTGTTTATGCAGCCAGTACATACAAGAGAAAAATTTTATAAAAATACCAAAACATGTTGTCAGTGTGTTCTACGTGCGTCAATCAAGATAAATGCGTATTGTGAAAATAAAAAGATTTTTTTATTAAGCAGTGCAAAAACGAAAAGTCAACATAGCGATCAAATTATTTTATCAAGAAGCTTCCGCATCACAATGATTCAGTATTAACATCAAGAGTCCATGCAAAAGTTGGACTAAAGTTTATTTTGGATACTACAATAGTGTATAAAGTCTGAAGGCTAAACCTAGATGCTAAATTTCCTAACAAGTGTATTTCGTATTAAAACAAAAATGTACGTAAATACTAAATTGAGAATCGAACGTTTGTCGCTGAAGTGATAATTGTAAAACTTTAAATCTGTATATAAGTTATAAAAGGAATATCCTGATATATCAAAAAGATTATTATATAAACATATGTATAATTTTATAAGCCATAAATTATTTTTAAATGCATATTTACAACATCATTCTTTATAAATACTATTTGTGTAGATTTTGTAGTGCACGAGGTATCAATTCTTGTAATGAAATCCTAATTAAATGTGTATTGAAGCAGAGTGAATAATGTATTTTACATATTAACACGTATCATCTCTTATAATTTTAAGATAAAATAAATTTTTAAATGAATGCAATCAGTGTTTTTTATTTTTAATTGGATAAAACTAGGATTTAAAAGAAAATTGTTTTTCATAAATTATTTTTCTGCTTAAATCGCTTTGGAATGATATCTAGGTTAGGAAAAAAAATCACTGGCTTCGTGCGAGTGATAATAAATTTGTTATTAATAATTACTATACAGATTTTAGATGCGCTTTGCGCGCTTACACTTTCTTCTTCTTTTCTTGTCATATTGATTAAGATATTTAACGCAATACACCCATTTTTTCTAAATTCATGAATTATCATATCCTAAACTGATATAAACAATCTCTAAAGTTCTTTTCAACTATACGGGTCAAATTACTATTAAACTTTTATCCTTTAATAAAGATTACGATATTACAACATTTTTTTCAATAGTACACGTTTAAATATCAGATTATGAGAATAATTCCAAGCGTAATAACCTCGCGCTTTTACCTAATTTAATCACTGTTTTGGTTTCATTAGATGAATGTAAAAATAATAACATTGCGGCATGTTTTCTTTTTTTTCATTATCTTCATAATTCTCCATATCAATTATGATAAACTAAATTTTTATTACTAAAATCTCAACTTGAAACCATTTTGACACGCGTATTAGCTGCGATAACAGTATATCACATGACTACATCTCAACCAATTAGATCACGAATAAAATGGTTCTGTAAAGGTTCTTGAAAAAAGTTATAATTCAATGTTTTTACAGTTTGAAAAATTCAATTTTATAATAAATTAATAAATTATCTATAAAATAATTATAGGTAAGTATGTTTTTTCAAAATTTTATTATAACAAATATTCATATTATTTTATAATAGACGCATATTATTACAAAAATACTTTATAATCAAACTTATTTATTATTATGGTAGTCAAGTAGTAATATAATAGTAATATTTATTTCTTTTTCGATTTTTTTATTTCGTATTTGAAATAATCACAATTTGTTCAATAAGAATCGTCTGTATCGTCTACAATTAGCGCGTATGCTGGATCAGCGTAATCCGTCAGTTTTTCGCTATCTATATCGCAATCTTTTTTAAATCCTTCGCTATCCGAATCTATGTTCCGTAAATCTTTCTATGTCATTCTCCATTATATCTATTATGTTAATTTCGTCATCATGATTAACTAACGTGTTGCTATTCGAGCAATTTTTTCCTTCACAATACTTACATAACCCTGTGCAGTGAGGACCATTTTTTTCTGCACGAACAATAACTACTACAGCCTTTGATGTATTTTCAGAAAATATGTTTACTTATTGAACTAGGCAAAAAATCGTCTAAAGCGATGATTGGTAATAAACCATTTATGGTTTTTCTCCAACCTTACTTCTCAACATTTAAATTATTTTTAGAGCTTATTCATTGTTCCATTTGGTAAAATGCGCGTAGTCAATGTTGTTTATTTGCCTCAGTCATCGGCGGTAATTTGGCTATAAATTAAAGGTGCTGCTAGCTATACCTGGTTGAAAATATCCATGTGGGATCCCACATAGTTTCCCACGTGGGAATTTCCAACCGCGTATCGATATTTCTTTAAACTTCTGGTAGTGTAATTTATTCAAACCTACTTCATGTTTTGGATTAGCACCATAAAGTATGCAAATAATTTTTTGACCTAAACATGTGTGTATGTGTGTGTGTCTGTGTGAAACGTACTTACTAAAAGCCCCTGCAATAAAAAATTAATGGCACAAAAATTGCATATCTCTATCTTTTAAAATAATATAAATTAGCGATTTAAGTGAAAAAATCATTTATGAAAAAAATTTAAAAAAAAAATTTATTTTGCTCCTAGTTTTACTAGAAGTATATGATATTGAAATATATTACAAACTGAGAGCCAATAATTACAAATTGTGAAAAATCATCAAAGTTACCAAAAAGAAGGCAGAATCTGAAAATAAAAGTTGTATGATTGAGAATATAGTTCGTAATTGTAATGTCATCACGAAGTCAGCTATCAAAGCAATATACCTAGGTATCCGAAGAATAATGTTAATCACCCGTTATTCTGCATATAGAATGGAGAGGGACAAACACTGTTTACGCAACCAGTTTCCGGTCGGCATCTATCTTGCCTATATATCTATACCTACTGTGTTGAAGAAATTTTTATCCTTATCCTTCGATTCCACTTACTCATCGGTACTTACCAGTCATTAGTGTTTCCCAGTAAGATATCGCAGATTTCTTAATTTTATTCATCACCTAATTACGTACTTTTTTGTTTGCAACTACAACAAATCACAAAAATAAGTAAAGACAAAAAGTATGTCGTTCGCGGACAAGGTCGTGTTGATCACTGGAGCCAGTTCTGGTATTGGAGCAGCCACTGCTATACATTTATCCCAATTGGGTGCATTGCTTAGTCTACACGGTCGTAATGTGCAAAATTTGAACAAGGTTGCTGAACAATGCAAGAATCCTAAACCACACCTTGTTACTGGAGAAATTACCAATGAGGCTGATGTACAGAAAATATTGGAGTCTACGTTGCAAAAATACGGTAAACTTGATGTACTTGTAAATAATGCTGGTACTCTGGAATCTGGAAGTATTGAGAATACTAGTTTAGAGCAATACGATAGGTAAACTTCTTTTTATGTTTGTTATTGCAGTGATTCATAGGCGAATTGAAAGTATTGAGAAAATTTTTTTTTATTATTTCAGAGTAATGAATATCAATGTGAGATCTATTTACCACTTAACAATGTTAGCAGTACCACATCTGATAAAAACTCGAGGCAACATTGTTAATGTCTCAAGTGTAACCGGTATGAGAGCATTTCCAGGTGTTTTGTCTTACTGCATCAGTAAAGCTGCTATTGATCAGTTCACTCGATGTGTTGCTTTGGAACTAGCTCCAAAACAGGTATCACAGTCATTTTTAAATATACTTTTTTTCATATCTTTGGACTTATTTTACAAAACTACCTAAAAATTGATTCTATTTTTATTTCACAGATTCGTGTAAACGCTGTCAACCCAGGTGTCGTAGTAACAAACTTACATAGAAGTAGTGGTATGAGTGAAGACAAGCTAAAGGAATTTTTTGAACATAGCAAAGTTACTCATGCACTTGGACGTCCTGGAACACCAGAAGAAGTTGCCAAAACAATTGGCTTTTTGGCCAGTGATTATGCTAGTTTTATCACTGGTCAAACTCTCCCTGTTGATGGTGGTCGCAGTGTCATGTGTCCACGATAAAATTTGTGACAAATATTATAAATATAAATATTATTTTTGTACAATTTGTAATAGCACTATTAATATTCCTATAATTTTTTGTACTCAAATCTGTATCATTAACATTAATTTGTTTGAGTTTCATTAAAGAAAATCTTTTTGACTTTTGGAAAAAGAATATTGAAATTTATATATGAAAATATAAATATTTTATATTTTTTAGTTTCTTTTCGTGTTAGCCCTAAAGGTTTTAAATTATTAATAGTCAATTTGTTATTACGAAAAGACGTAATTTTTTTATCATACAAGAAATTGTAATAAATTTCAAACTTTAGCATTGAGTTAAATTTATAAAATTATGAATTATACTTTGTCCGATCCATATTCTCATTTTGAATGAGTTCTATGTGCACGCGGCTCTGCGTGTGCGCGTTTATATATATATTAAAAAGAGCATCTACGTTATACAAAAATAAGGTTATATCTATATTATTACAAGGCACGCACACAAAAATGGTACATATATATCGTTTACTTCCGTAAATAAAGGCTTTCTATTTTTTATATTTTCTGTTCTTGTTCTGAAAAGAGCCTACTAAAAATATAATAATGGAAAAAACAATAAAAAAAATTGAACATCACTTATTACTAAACATTCCACTGTCAGAAAGTAAGTATTTTTTGACTACTTTGTTTTCTACTTATAAACTCATATTTTAATGTTTATTGCAGGTGGTAATCAGTTGTACAAGGAAAAAGAAATAATTGATGGTGATTATGAATTGGTATTTGGAGAGTTTTTTATAGCAGTTGTTCTTCCTATGATGAACAATGATTTTCAATATTATGTGAATAATTCTATCAATTCAAATAAGAGCAGCCATAATGAGTGGTTTAATATTGGTGTTGGTTCACTTTTATATTTTATTCAAAATAATTGGACTGGCCCTTTCATAAATGAACAATTAGACAATTTATTACCACTCCAAAAATTAGCAATCACAAGTTTGTCATTACAAGATCAGTTGAATGAAAATATTACAAAAATTGAATTATTATACCTTGCTAAGATAATATTGGCCAATGAACAACTCCAAAAATCATTTCCTAGTACTTTTTGGTGGCTATTAAGATCAAATTATATTCACCAACTGATTTTAGAAGAAGCTAGTGCAGTGCTTTTCAATGATTCCGAAAATTTAATAAAACAAATTATTGAATCAAATATTGTAAAAGATGATGCTCTTAAAACACTATTCAATGTTGAAGTAGCTCAATTTTATTCATATTACACAAGAATTCAGACTTCAGAACAATATTTGGAAAATGCATTGGCAACAGCTAAATTAAATTTGAAGCTTTTGGGTGCTTTGGGCAAACGTACTAAGTATCAAGAACAAGAGAAACCACAGTTATATTTGAAACTCAAAGTAGACAAAGAATTTTTTCCATACAGAAAATGTGATAAATTACCAAAAGTGATAAATTTAAGTGATGATTTACGTTTAGAGAAAATAGAATTTTCAGAAAAAGTCAAGGAAGTTGAACTAGGCAGTATTGAAGAAACAGTAATCATGGCAAAATGGTAGTTAATTTTGATTATTAAAATAAAGTATATGCATAAAAATAATTATTCTGATCAAGCTTTCAGTTGAAAGTATCACAACCCAAGGATGAGCTTACAGATGAGGAAATCATAACATACTTAAATGTGAGTTACCATAACTTCTACTATTTACATAATGTTTTTTGTAAGTTTTTAAATTAATTAAAACATATTTCAGAGTATAATAGATAACACTAAAAATTGGTCATTAAAAGTCTCATCATTATACCAGCGCTGCTTAATAGAGTCCACCCACAAAAGAACAATTGAACGTTCTTTATCACAATTAGAATATTTGATTGAACAACTTAAATCTAAGAAAACTCCAGTTTCTTATAGGATGGATCTATTTTTTGCTAGTGGCATGAATTCGATATGGACTTTCAAACAGCAGTTGGCAAATACAATGTTCAATCTTGGCATGATCAAAGGTGCTTTAGATCTATATTTAAATCAGTCTTTATGGGAGGATGTGATTGTTTGCTATACTGTTTTGGAAATGAAACACAAAGTACGGCTTTAATTAACTTTATAATGCTGTAAGAATGCTAAGTTTTTAATTTAACTAATAAAAATATTTTACATTTAAGGCTGCCGAAGTAATTAGACAACAATTAGACAAGAAACCAACAGTTAAACTATGGTGTTTATTAGGTGATGCAACTCAGGAAGTTCAACACTATGAGACAGCCTGGAAGCTTTCAGGAGAAAAAAGTAGTCGAGTTCAAAGACATTTGGGTTTTTATTACTATGCGAAACAACAAGTAAATTTAATAAATACTGTGATTTATTATGCACATATCAGACAATAAACATGCTAATCTTTATTTCTTTAGTATACGGAAGCTATTCCACATTTGAAACTTTCTGTTGAATTGAATCACATGCAAGAAAATGTTTGGATAAGATTGGGGTTTGCTGCTCTGCAAATTGAAGACTGGAAATTAGCTGCTTCATCTTACAGGAAGTACACTAGTCTTGAACAATCAGTTATGTTTACAGAATTTTAGAATGAATATTAACTTCAATTGAAAGTATTAACTTTTTTGTGTATTTTATAGAGTTTTGAAGTTTGGAATAATCTAGCCAAAACCTATATAAAATTAGGTGATAAATCACGAGCTTGGCGAGCTTTACAGGATGCTATCAAATGCAACTTCGATAAATGGGAAATTTGGGATAATCTCATGATCGTCAGTACCGACCTTGGGTATTTTGGAGAGGTATGTTAAAGCAGAATCTTTACTTTTTATCTTGACTGTAACAAATTTTTCTTCAAATTATTTGCAGGTAATCAGATGTTACCACCGTATATTAGATATTAAAGGAGAGCACATAGACATTGAAGTCCTAACCATCCTGTCTAAAGCGATAATAAATAACTTGAACGATGCTGATAGAAATCCATCACAAAGAAATCTTCAAAAAGCTTTAGAACTTTTTGGACGAATAACTGCATCCGTTTCGTCGAATTCGGACATCTGGAGACTGTATGCAGAGCTTACTTTACAGAAAAACAATGAGATCGATAATCAAAAAGCAGCGCAATACTTCCAGCGAGCTTACCGGGCAGCAGTTGCGGATTCAAGGTAAAGAATATATTAATAATATATTTTTTTTACAAATGTTGTTATGCTATTTTAATATTTAATCCAAACTCAGGTGGTTCAAAAATGTCAAAGATGCTAACAATGTTCTGGACACTTGCGTCAGATTAGCTGAAGCAAATTTATATAATTTGCATAACGTTGCAGTTGCCCATAAACGAACAATTCTAGGAAGCGCCAAACTCTCTCTACAATCAGTCGTAAAGAAAATTAAAGACTTGAATTGGGAAGATCAGTCTGGTATTTTAGAAAATTTGGAAAAAGTTGAGAATAAGTTAAAGCTTATTGTTGACGAATTAGAAAAATTGAAAACTACCTAGAGTACAGCTCAAACCATTTTTTTTTCAATTTAATGTACTCTAATTGTAGGAATCAATGTTACAATATTGGATTATTTAAGATCAAAATTTGCTATTGAATATTGTAATATCTAAAATAAACATTTATATTATTTTTTTAATATTCTTGCAAACTTATTTTATCAAAGTTCTATAACTTTCTTTGTAGAGTAAATATGTATTTAAATAAATTTTCAATATATTTCATTATTTTATAGCATAAAACTATTTAAATTTATACAATACAGACATATTTAAAAATATTTTATTAAATTTTCAAACATCAATTAGCTGAGATAATTACTACCGCTTAATTAGCTAGTTATGAAAACTCAAAAATTAAGTGAGTTTGTGGCGGTCTTGTGGTCCACCCATTTCTCACTAGATGATGTCAGTCATCTGCAAGCGGCAGGAAAATTCGCTTATTGAATATACATTACAGCTAGCTCGCTCTCGTGCAATCTTTTTCTCGATCTCTCGTTCCGCATTAAGACTATCTATAACGAAAGTCGACTTCAACTTCTATATCGAAGCGACTCACGCCGATATCTCTTCGAATAGCCAAAAGTTTACCAGGCCCATGGAGATAGTCTCCATGGTCAGGCCGGACCATGCGCGTATGTTTGCGTTGTACACGCGTGCGCATGCGTGTTATGTATGTAGTTTAGCACAGCCATATGGATTATATGGATCCCATGGGGTATGGAGAGAGAGAGCACTAGCGATTGGATCATGGTTGGGCAATTCTGTCAAAAAGCTTCCAGCAGTTGACTTCAGACCTCACAATTATCGTAAAACGGGAGCGAAAATTATGAGGTCTGAAGTCAACTGCTGGAAGCTTTTTGACAGAATCGCCCAACCATGGAGACTGTATACAGAAGGCGAGGCAGAGACCTTTTATCTAGGCAACTTTCTCTTTTTCTTAGCCGATTTTAGCGCCGCGCGCGGTAGTTAGTGAACCACTAGAAGACTTACATAATATGAGCGTAGCTTATCGACCATGGATGGAGATATACAGTCTCCATGTTATCGACCATAATATACAGCTGTAGATGACGAAGATAACCCGCCCTTGCATATCTTTTTGTAAAAAGGAATCCATTAATTTTATAGAAAATTAATACTATTTTACGATGAAAAAGTCTTGCAATATATCGTTTTTGTTATTTTTTTGAAATGATGGAATACGCTTTTCGATCACTCGATTTTAATAATTTTATAGTTTTTTTTGTTTTTATATTTCCTTATTAAATAATATAATGTCTAATAATAAATAACATTCGATATACTTAACTTTAATGATAGTTACGATGATTAATGTGGTCATTGTCAACTATCCACGAAATTTTTACCGTGTAAAATAATTATCTTTTTAATAGAAAAATATTGTTACGAAAGCCATAATTCAATTGTATAAAAAGCATAGATTTTTAACATAAAAATTTACAATAATTATAATTATTTTTTATTTATATTAAATATAGTCTTAATTGTCTTAATAGTTTATATTAAATATATGCATCATCAATCAAACCCCACACATAATACCTCATCTAAACGTAGAATTTCTCGTTATTTCCAAATCCGGAATCAAAAATAGAGGTTCCTATTCAAAAAATCACTGGGACCTTCATATGACCTTGAAAATCATTCTAAGTGTGTGTGCGTGTGTGTAACAATCTCACTTAAACAAACTTCTAAAACTTTTTCGAAAAATTTAGTTATTATATATATATATATATATATATTTTTTTTTTCAAGATAGGAAATTCAACGTTATTCACTCAACTTTGAAAATGTACATTTACGAACAAAATAGCAAGACTTTTTTATCGTAAAACAGTATTCATTTTCTATAAAATTAATTTATCCCTTTTTATAAAAAAAGATATTCACGTGCGGGTTATATCTTCGTCACCTACAGTACCATGGTCGATAACATGGAGACTGTATATATTGTAAGTCTTCTAGTAGTTCACTAACTACCGCACGCAGCGCTAAAATCGGCTAATTACTTTGGAACTGTCGTGACCAGTGCTGGGCATCGATGGTTTATATCGAAAAAAAGAGCTCCCTAGAGCTGACTTCAAATTGTACACTGAAAGAGCTCTTTCCGATTCCACTCGTTCCACGGTTCCGTTCAGTTTTGAATTGAGAAAAAAAAGATTGTCATGCACTTGCATGTAAAAAGTATTAAATTACAATTATTTTCTAATTTTTTTTTGTATATCTTAATTTTTGTATTAATAATTTTATTTACTTTATTTGGATTATTGTTTATATTTTTGTTTTATAAATTACTGAATTGTGTAATGCAGAAAATTTATTACTAGTTATTATTATTGTTATTATAAAAATGTTCTAATTAAAAAAATAAAATGATACTATCAGTTATTATATTTTGTTATAGATTATCTAGAAGAAATTATGATAGGAGTAGTATAATTATAATTTATATAATAATTTATAATAAATACACATTTTTCTTACGTTATTTATTCAACATTGATCAAATTATATATATATATTCTGATAACAATTCCTAAATACTCTTATAAAAAATAATATATATATATATATATATATATATATATATATATATATATATATATATATAATTTATCGAATAACTTAATCTTATTGTATTTAACCGAATATCGAAAATTATGAAAAATACACATAGCTAAATTGCTTAGATGTTTAAATTTATATTTATTATTTGCTTAATTGTTTAAATATACAATATGCAAGTCGGTCCAGACGATCTCCTTGCAATGAAACAATAAAAATACATTTTCAATTATTAGCAGATCATAAATGTTGCATAAAACTAAAGAAATAGTTGATTCAACAGGTTTCCATACTTTTTTTTGAAGAAATATTCGTTTTACAATTATCCTAGAATAAACAGCTGTTGACAGTCTAATAGTCGGCCCAGATGATCTCCGTGCAAAGAGTGCATGAAAAATACATTTGCAATTGTTAGCAGATCATAAATGTTTATTAAACTACGGAAATAGTCCATTAAACAGTTTTCCATACCTTTTTCAGAAGAAATACTCATTCTACAATTTATACCAAAATAAACAGCGATTGACAGTCCAATACTCGGTCCAGATGATCTCCGTGCAAAGAGTACATAAAAAATAAATATGTCAATTTTAGCATATCATAAATGTTTTATAAAACTAAGGAAATAGTCCATTCAATCTAAGATGGAGTTTAGCTAAACATGAATATTAGAGTTATTTTTATTGAGACAAAGGTTACATTAGAAAATATTGCTAAGAAAATAGTATACTCAGCGTGGGTGTAATCACCGCAACTAAAGAAAGTATCAACTTCGAAAAGAAATAATTAAACTTCAAATGAAATTTCGTTTGTGAATGTTACTTAAAATGACAATTTGTGACTACTTTCGTATACTTGCCGAAACATATTCAGATAATGGCTTCAGTAAATGGAAAATCAAAATTAATTTATACTTCGATTGCTGATAGCGCTACCATTTTAACACACGATATAGCTTTTATAGAACGTTTATTGGTACCTAAGCTCGAAACGAACATTCATGCCCTTGATGTGAAAGACATCGCAAATAAAAAGAAACATCGTTGAAGACAAACTATTCATGTAAAATTCGACAGTTTTCATAACCCTGATTTGACAGCTAATTTGTATAACAAACTTCCTCGCTCCTCTCTTTGAAGCATCGATGTTCGATTGAATGCTACAGTGAGCAAAGATAAATTGAATTTAATAAGACGAGAAAAAAAGCTTACTATTAAAACACCATTTACATTATTGGCTTAATTTTTTAAAATTACTCACCACTGTTAGTTTACCTTAAAGTTGAATAAAAATATAAAAGTCTTAAAGAAGCCTTTATGAACGATAGATCGTTTGCAACCTGAAAAATGCATTGATAATATTTTAATATTTACCAATTAATTACGTATTCGTAAAACGCTTGAAAAAAATTTATAAATGAATCTTTCTTTGACTCTGCATTAATTGTATATATAATTATAAATATTATTAAAGAAATGTTTATTACTTACGTGTATTGCAATGTACGTATAACTTTTTAAATATCAAAAAATGGATTTACACAATAATATCAATAATGTCAATTTCTGAAATTAATACAATTTTTATGCACAATAAACACTCTTTATAACCGTTAAAAAAACAACTGATACTAATAGAAGCACGATGTTGCTCTCTAGCCGGCACAAAAGAAACAAATTCGCTCGTTCGATCGTCATTCGGCGGGAAGGCTCGGGTTGTTTTGTTTACATTGCGAATTGCGGAAGTCGTGTATATCATAATAGAATGGGAGTCTGGTATTTAAATAATTTTTATAATTTCATTTCAATATTTAATGACAAATTAAATAATACTCTGTAAATGCTAGAGAATAATTCATTTTTAATAATTATAAAATCAGAAAAGAGTGAAAACAAGGTTACTAAAAAATTACTTTTTATAATTAATTACAGTTTTTATTATTTATTATTTATTACTCTTCAACAATTTTACAATACATTGTATATATAAATAAAATTTTTTTACATGCTAATATGCGAAAAGTATTTTCTTTTAGAATTCATAATTCAGTGGAACCTTGGAACGAACGAAATCGGAAAGAGCTCTTTCAGTGTACAAACTGAAGTCAGCTCTAGGGAGCTCTTTTTTTCGATATAAACCATCGATGCCCAGCCCTGGTCGTGACTTGTATTGGGTTTGCCGAACGCTTTAACACGGGCGGTATAGGCCTGCCTCGCCTCTTGTATACAGTCTCCATGCACCCAACCCTGGATAGGATTAGCGTACATATAGTGGCGTAGCTAGCGTGGATGTTTAATAAATAAATAAAAACAATATCGATATTTCTACTGTTAACGAATCTAAGTATCTACATTTGTAGCTATTACACACAGCAAACATTGAAGAAATTTGTTTCGTTCACCTCATATCGACAATTCCAGCGAAGACAATCTGAGCAATAGTCTAAATAACGAAAACATGTTGTAGAGATTAAATATAATATTTCAAACAAAATCTATAATTAGACATCTGAATAAATACTATCAAGAACATCATTAATGAACTATGCATAATTAAACAAATATATATGTTTGTGATATATACAAAGAAATCTTTAACCAAGGTATGATACTAAAATTCAGTTATGACTATTATGCATTATTACTTGTGCTCTTAAAAAAGGATATGAATAGTTATTAATATTTATTATTAAATTAGGTCTACTTCAGATAAGTCAAAATAATTAAATTAAAAATGGGAAATAGTTATTATATTGACGAGGAAGTTATAGCAAATCTTAAAGAAGATTATTTGGAAGCTAGAAAATTATTAGATGAAGATAGCAAAAACGATCTAGAAACTGAGCCTTACAAGAGCAAATATGCAGCCATGAAGAAATTCAAAAATATGCAGAATCTTCTTTCCAATTTTGTTGACAATGCACAACAAGAAACCGAAGTAACAGCGATGCTTGCTGTTGTATATTTGAATGAGGGCATTATTGCTACTGACACTGAAGAATTGAAAAGTGGTCAAGATTATCTTATGAATTGTATTAATGTTCTAAGTAAAACTGAAATAAATGCAAAGTCCATCTTACCAATGTTGAGTGCATTAAACCAATTGGGGATTCTTTGGTCAAAACTAGATGATACATCCAAAGCAAAAGAGTACTTAGAAAGGGCAGAAAAACAGTTTAAGGATTATAAATCTCTCAAGATAAAAGAATCTCCTCCAGTCAATATGTCTACTTTATTTGGCATAGATGATTCAAATGAGCCACTAGCAACAGAAATTATGGAGAAATTATATACACTAACATTGTATTATTTAGCACAAATATATGGTAATTTAGGCGACTTGATTAAATCTTCTGTATATTGTCATATGACTTTAAGAAGGCAACTAGAAATGAATGATTTTGATAGTATTGATTGGGCATTAAATTGTGCAACACTGTCTCAGTTTTTCATGGAAAAAGAAGGATTTCAGCAAGCTAGGCATCATCTTGCTGCTGCAACACACATTGTTGGAAAGTATGAAGATACTTTAAAAGAAATGAGGTATTTATTTCAAAAATTTAAAAATTTACATCATTGAATGAAATCTATTCATTGATTTACATGTTTCATTACAGTTCTAAAGAGCTTCATAATGAAAATGAGAAAGAAATATTAGACTCAAAGTGGGAAAATTTTAGACATAGGAGTGCTGATATTTCTAGATGTTGGGCAAAGTACGGAATCTTGTTGTTATCTTCCTCAAGAGATCGTTTAATTGAAAAAAATGAAAATGTCAATGACAAGTTTATGCCTGACAGTGCAAATATGCAAGCAGATCCCAAATCAGACATCACCCAAGAATGTTTAAACAATTTAAAATTCTATTCTATAAAAAATGATATTGCACATATTGCTAATAACATTATTGACAAATATTTATTAGATTTTAATGACGCTAAAGCGGTATTTTTAAATGTACAAAAGTGGCTTGATGATGCTAAAACATTCTATACATTGGAGAATCATGCATCTGATTATATACAAATTATTCAAGACACATCTCAACTCTACAAGTACTTGTCATTCTTTGAAGAGGACGAAGATAGGCAAGCTAAAATGCATAAGAGGAGGATAGATTTGTTGGAAAGTACCATTAAAGAATTGAATGAGAGGTATTATCTGAATGCTTGTCGGCAGATTTGGATGGAACTCGGTGAAACGTATTCGGAAATTTTAGATATAAAATTAGATCGCCTAAAGGATTCTGATGAACGACCGACTCCTCATATACTATCCAAAATAAATCACTTGGCAAAATCATCTATTCATAATTTTGACAAGTTTGTGGAGTCAGTAAAGAAAGACACCAAAAATGACAAGTTTACAGATGATTTGGTCAGACCAACCCTCTGTGCATATTTCCATTTAGGTAGATTATACAATAAATTTATAACACCAGATAAAAAATTGCAAGTGGATAACTTGAAGAAAAGTTTGGATGCTTATTCATATTTGGTTAATTACTGTGAAAAGGATCAAAAAACTGCTGCGTTAATGTCAGAAGAGCTCAATATATGCAAGGACTTTGTGAAGTTATTACCTGTAAAAATGAACAAGTTGACATACGAAATTTCTCGTGCTTCATGAATTGTTGACGTTTTTGAACGTATAATATTCTTTTTACCTCAGGATATAATTTTTCATGTAAATTGTGTGTATTTGTAATTATTAAGGTTTTCCCATTATAAAGTAAATTTATGCAAGGCAATTTTGTTATATAAAGAAAATTTGTTCTATATTTATTCTAATTTTTTGCTTTTTAAATTTTACTTTGCAAATTTTTAATTATCAATCAGCACAAACTTAGAAATTATAAAAATTATATTTGTACACGAAGAATAGGTATGTCCAAAAATTTTTTTTGAAAAAAATTGTTCCTGTTAAATAGAAAATAGAATAAGTAGTTCAAGAAAGATATCAAGTATAATAGAATTGTTATGATTTTATTAAACAGTATATTTATTATCATCATGTTATGACACTAATTGAAGATGACGTTTCACATTGTTAATTATATAATTGTTTTTCTGCTTTGTTATGCAGACTCATGATTTTTGTATATCACTGTATGATATTGTATCAACATTATGAAGAGAAATAAATATCGCTACACTACATATAACATGGTATTATAAAGTTTGGAAACAAACATAATATTTAACAATAGCGAAGAGTATTTGCTGTTACTGCTTTCTCTTTTACCCATTATTTAGCTCTGATTTTAAGAGACTAGGTCAGATATTTATTTCTATTATTCACAATTTAATAATTCGACATGTGATTAAATAACATGTTCATTTAAACTGTTTCATAAAACTTTTTTAATAAATTCATGTAAAAATGTTGCTTAATCGTAAAAATATGTCTCTTTTAAAATCTTTTAAAATTATTAATATCAAGAATCATAATTAGAAGATACTTTTTTTTCAATAACCATTGCTATAAAACCTGACGACTCTTAAATTAATAGCATTAAAAATAAATTATTTGTAAATTAGCTGTGATATTTGTCAAGGCTGTTCAGATTAAATCATTCACATTGACGACATTTTTTAGCAGTTCAATTTTACAATGTAGCACTTTTTAAGTGCTGTCAATGGTTGATGCTTTGATATAATTTTTTATATATGTGCATACATTTACACACATTCCTTAATTATAATATTACAGCAGTTGTGTATAATACTTTGGGCATAGGGTTTTTCAGTTTTTGTTTATTGCTGAAAGATGTGCTGTATACTTTTGTAAAATCTATTATTATTACACAAAGTCTATTGTATCATTTTAATTATATAATATTGCATTTGATTTTTTATTTAAATATTATTAGATCTTGTTTATTTATCTAGCACATGGAATGTAAAGATTATACATTTTTAATTTAAAAATCTCAGTAACGTAGCTCTCTAAAAATGCATTATCTAGAGTTGTAGAATAACAAGTTTTTGTAAAGAGTATCAATAATCTATTTTTAGAATTCAATCTATAATAAAGAATAAAAAAAGGCAGCACATCTTTCTAACTAAATGATTTTAAGTACTTGTAACACCTTTGCGTGCAACTAAGAGATTTAGCACAGGGTGTTTTCTAATGTATGAAACTGCTTTTTTATGAGTTACCATAGTGAAGTCATAGCCATTACATTGCAATATCTTATCATGCATCCTTAAGCCACTTTTAGCTGCTGGAGATCCTTCATGTACTTCAGTCACATATATCCCCTGAGACGAAAAGACAAATTCACTCTCACTTGATTAAGAAATGCAAGAAATCATGAGCATAAGTAATACCAATGAGATCATTTTTAACTTACATTATCTGTATAGCCTTGGGGACTTTTTTTATAATCTTGATCTATTCCTCCTCCTATTTTAAAGCCACATTTCATAACTTCTTCTCCATTTGCATTTATTTCACTTTCTTTGTGTAGTGTAATAGGTATCTAGATTCAAAGTATGTAATTAAATTTTTACATTGATAAAGAATGTAAAATAATAGAAAAAGTTTTTTATTCTTGGGCGAATATTGACAGACCTGATAAGATTACTTTTTTAAATTAAGCATCAAAATTTATGACTAAGAACATTTGAAAAATTATAAAACTACATACAACACAAAACATTAGATTTTTTTATTAACATTATTAACGACACAAAAATTGTTGAATTTCACACTAGACTAAAAAATCATAATAATTATAAAATATTACTAGTCGCTACAAAATACTTTTTTCTAACACAGTAAAAATCTGAATTATCTGTATTAAAGAATCATTGTTGCGTAGAAAGTAAAAAAAATAAGATGAGCGAAAAAGATATAAAAGAAGAGCATGGAAAACCGTTAGAGTATTTTTTCGGAGATATGTAGAATAACTTACACTGAGGCACTTGATTGCCGTGCCAGCTTGGTGTTGGAAAGCCATTTTCGCGCACATCTTGACAGCCGTTGACGAGTAAACTTTTCGTGTTTGGAAGACGAATTAGGCGACGACGTCACTCTGGCCGGTGATTTCACTGATATTTATCCAAAAACTGCCCGCTCTGAATCTTAATGATGTGATATGACTAAACCAGTGGATTTTCAGTTCTTGGCTAAACATTGCTACGATCTAATCGAGATCTACACAACTACTTGAAGCAATGTTCATGACAGTGGAAATGTTCAATGGCTGAAGGCAAAGATAATTTCTGCCGGAGGGAATGTGTTTGAAAGGAAGTTTTATTTAACAATAATATAATTAGAGAAAGTTAGGTTGTTTCAAATGGCTCAATGGATATTCCATTTACAGTATTGCATTGTTTTTTCGTCATATATTATTTTTTAAAGCAGTAAAAAAGGTTTAAAAAAAGCTTATAAACATATTTTAGATTTTACAAATCTTTACAAATTATTCAAAGATTATTCTGATGCGTGCACAAATATTTTTTTTGAAAATAACAGTAACGCGATTTTTAAATAGAAACAATGAAATCAGCTGATTTAATAGATTAGACGTTATAGACTTGACCTTATAACGAGGAAATTTTAAACTTGGCGCGCCACTTTATGACGGCGCTATTACACTCGTGTGTTTGTGTGCACGTATAAATGTGTCAAAAGTGTTCTTCTACCTTGAAAAACGGTATGACATATGTATGTTTGTCGCGATCATGGTGAGACGACGACGAAACGAACGTCGACTTTCAAACAAGTGCGTGCAGTTTTTCCGTGTTACACATGCACGGTCAACGCTTAGTGGAGTGGCTGTTTCGTGTCGTTGAGTTGACGATGAAGTGACATTTTCACCGATAAGCATCAACACATTCGTGAACGTCAACGGTGAAATCGTATGCAGTTGGTGGAAAAACAAGTAGAAGAGTGGAGAGGGAGAAATAAGTGTGTGTCGTCCGCTTCGACTTTTTGCTGCTGGGGTGTACGTCGACATCGAATTAGTGAGCGATACAAAAAGCCTGCAAGGTATTACTATAACGTATGTGTGGGTATATACATATATATAGAGAAAGAGAGAGAAAATTAGTATAAGCAAAGGAAAAACACATTCGTTTCGAGTAAAGTATATAAGCGCACGCGTTTGATACTCTTGCTTACAAGAGTGTGGGTACGCAAATCAATTTGTGCTTTCTCGCGGGTGGATTAATTACGTAATGCAACGTGAGTTTTCCAAAAAAGGTAGGGATAATTTAGTGTGTAGCATTTACGAAGGGAAACGTCATGAAGAGTCGAAAGAGTGAAAGTTGATTTGTCCCCTTCCACTTACGTTTGTCTGCGTGTTTCACGCTCTCTGATGAGTAGTTGACCTTTTTCACTTTTTTTTTTATCTAGTCATACGATTCTTGAGATTTTGATCTAAATAGCTGACCGAGTTTTATCAAACAACTGTAATTTATTTCCAAGACTTGTACAGGAATAAACGTCATCCGTACGATTTTTAAGGTTATGTTATTCTTATTTTATATGCCTCTACTTATTGAGGTCTTCTTTTCTTTTCGCGGAAGGTCAGCTTTTCCTCAACATCAGGTATTTATTTATAAAAAGAAAATTTTTAATTTATTTCATTTTAATGAGTTGAATTGATAGAAATTTCAATTCTTAAGTGAGTTGTGGGTCAACTCCATTGTACAGCCACAGTGAAAAACAGCTGTCAAACAAAAGCTTACCAGTAGATTGATAAATAAAAACGTTATTGAACTTAACTTTGAATAAACCTATACCATTAGTCTTGCTACTGATATAATCAAGATTACATCCTTCGAATGTAAAGCTTGATAATAATTCTTAAATTAAACTTTTATATTAAAACTTTTATATTAAAACTTTTATAGTAAGATATATATAAGGAAATTTGTCAAATATCTTTGGATGACGGTATTCTTTCAATTTTATTTTCCAAGAAGTTTTTAAGTCATACTTAAAGATATTTTTTTATGAAAATAACTTCTTATATACATTTACTCTTCTTTTCAAGTAAAATAATTTTAATAATTGATTACAGGAACTTATTAAACAAGCTGAATGGAAATGTTGAGCCAAAAAGTTAGAGGCTCAAGTACAATAGGCATTTCCATCTACCTGCTAAATTTTTATTACTAAGTAACCTTGGCAGTGGAATTTCCATCAAATATCAACAAACATGCCACAGGTAGATAGTGCTGCTGCACAACCTCTAAGTAATAACCAGAATGTGACAGTAGCAGACAATAATCACAATCTAGCTGAAGCCATTGGCCCTGTATTAAACAACAATAATCTAAATAGAGCAAGGAACAACAATAATGAAAATCCATTGTTCAGTGTTCGTGATAGATTATTCCATGCCCTCTTCATCAAATCTGCTTTAATATATGCTAGAACGTTCCCAAGACCTGTGAGGCGAATGATAGAATTTGTTGTTTTATTGAAGGTTTACAATAGAATTGATAATCAGAATGATTTTTATTTATAATAAGCCTTTTTTCATTTATTTTGATTGATTTCAGGCAATAATAGCATTTTTTGTACTGGTGTATATACATGTAGTATTTTCACGTACACCAGCTAATTGTTTGGAGCATGTCAGGGATGATTGGCCAAGAGATGGTATACTCAGAGTAGAAATTCTTAGGAATGCTGGTGAAGATTATAGTATAGAGAAAAGCTATGCTAAAGAGGAAAAATTACGACAAGAAAAGGTTGAAGACTTGAGTAGTGTATTAGGAATATTATCTAGAGATGGGTAAATAAATTATTTATTCAATTTTTTCTATTGGAAAATTGACTGTTACAATAGAGGTGCTTTATTGAGACTCATGAGTAAAATGCATATCTATCAAGTATATTCATTTTCTTAAATTTTTATTATTTCTTTTTTAAAAGCTGCATATTATGTTATTGTTAAAGTTGAACATTCAATCGCATTGGCCTATCATTATCTATTTATAGATTATTCATAGCGCCTAAAAAAATAAAAGCTTTACCTACTTATGAATTACGTACTAATCTGTATGATACAAAAGAACTAAGTATTGATGTCTTTTAATTTCAAAAGGCTTATAAATATCGAGCCATCGGCGGTGGACGACGATCAAGGCAGTCACGCGAGAGACGAAACACTACAGAATTTAACCACGTCGGATGAGGAATTAAATTTGCAAGGTGCGACTTTGGAGAGCTTGCAAAATTTTAGTGCAGCCAACGCGAATATGAGTCCTTTTCTATCAACTCCACTGTGGAATGGACATACCCAAGGTGTAAGTTTGAATAAAATATTATATATAATAGAATAATTTTTGTTACCTTTTCATTTAATATTTTAAATGTAGGAAACAACGACTATAATAAAAAATGCACAAGGCAATGTGACGAACGAGGGCAACAGCGAAACGCCAATCAAAGTTAACATTATTCAGCCTTTGAAAGACCAAGTCTCCGAAGTTGAAAAAATTGTTAAAGCAGGTTAATATTACTCTATTTAATCGAGCTCAATATTCAAATTAGTAAATGTAAATTGGTTAGACATTAATGATCAACAAGTGTAGTTTTTCCAGAAGATGAGTATATCGTTGAGTATTCTTTGGAGTATGGTTTCCTGCGACTCTCACCGGCTGCTCGGCAGAGATTAAACATTCCAGTGAAAATTGTTACTCTTGATCCTGCAAACGACAAGTGCTTTGGTGATGCCTTCTCGAGACTTATCCTTGATGAGTTCTTGGGCTACGATGATCTTTTGATGGCTAGCATTAAGACGCTCGCAGAGCATGAAGATAACAAAGGTTTCTTACGGTAAATAATATTAAATAAATTCGATAAATAATGTAAATTTAAATCATTTAAAATAGAATTACTGATTGGGTTTTCTTTTTAAAAGAAATGTTGTCACTGGAGAGCATTACCGTTTTGTAAGTATGTGGATGTCAAGGACTGCTTACATTGCTGCATTTTTCATCATGCTTGTTTTTGTAAGTAACATTTTTATTTTTAGTATAAAAAATAGAGTTTTTATCGAGGGTAGGTAAAATAGATTTCTTGGGTATTTTCCAATGGAAGTGTATTATCGTTAATTTTTAATAGTAATAAATCGAAAAATCGTTATTTCAAATATTAAAAAAATTCATTTATTAAATGTAATAATTAAATATTTTGAGAGAGATAGTGTGTTTGTTCTCACAGTGCTACTTCTGAACAACTCTTCCTATTTCATAGAACTTAAATTAAATAAAAATAATCTTATGTTGAGGAAGATTTTTTATTCTGATTGAATTATTAATCTTGTGATAAGAAATATTCAAGATTGGTAAATCGAACAAGAAAATATATCAACATAAAATACCGTTGAAAAAGTGTTAGTTTTAAAATATTTTTCGAATCACGGCAATATTTTATATATTTTTGAAACGTTTTTTGTCACATAAATATATTACGACGACCTCTATTAATGATGCTTATTAATAATTTCTAGTTATGTATCAAGCAAAAAATGCTGTGATGTTATATGGATTATATTTACGTATTCTTTAACAAAAACATAACCAACGCTCGATTAGATACAAATCCTGATGAAATTGTCAAATTTATTTTTTACGTTCATTATTCACTGAGGACTAATAACATTCGTTCAAATCGCTGCAAGTTAAAATTAAAGAATTTCCACTCTTACGTCAAAGAACTCTCACTTTTCTCGCCACAAGGTTATAATATTTTGTTCTTCCAAACGAACATATAAAAAAAAGCAAACAAAAATTGCGCGGGTGTTAAAAAACGAAGTAAAGGGAGCAAACAGAGCCGGCTAGGCGACTACTGCGGGTTAACATCAGTAGCTTGGGCGCGTAAGACGACACGGGCAATCTATTCTAACTAAGTGCTCACACACGGCCTGCCTCTATAAATCAGCGTTATTAGGAGCGTCGTATTTAGTTCGTGCGGTGGCATCGTCGTCGTAGGCGCCCGACGGTCATTTCATATCAAATTATTACTAGCGCACGAATGTGTTGCTGAACTTGCGCCCTATCATTTTCCGTATGCACAATAAATTCCGGCAACTTTTTCTGAGCGCTGAGTGAAACTGTCGAATAATGACAAAATAAATAACACGGCTGACTTATGTCTAGCACACATACCCACGGCGATCAAAGTCTACCACCATATGGAAAGCTATAATTTTATTACGACCGTACTTCAACTGAACAGCGATATAGTAATGCCTCTTTTTATCGAAAATCTTTTTATCGATAAAGTACGTCATAAAAAAAGCACAAAACGAATATCAGCGAACAAAGCTGATAACACATTACTTTTCGAGTGCGGTTCCGGAAATTGCGCACGTGTGGTTATCTTCACAATTGATATGTGGGGTCGTAGGCTTTCCAAAGCCTGCACTTCCCATGCCCATCTTAGGTCTGTTTAGGTACACAGCAATTTTCTCTTTTCGTTGTTTTTTTGCCTATCTCTAATATTTCGGCGATGCGAGAGAGGAGAATCGAGCGAGTCGACACGCCACTTGAGACGGCAATTATCGCGCTAAGGCATATTTCGGCAATAACTCATTCATACGGGCCGTGTAAACAGGCCCACGCCCGTTTTTCCTCTCACTCTCTCCATGCAGATATAGATGAAAAACTATCCCTTGGAGAAAAGAGAAAATGCACGCAGAGTGATGCACAAGTATCCACGACCAGTTCGAGTGAACATCCTCGGCTCCTCGCCAGTCGTCAGCAAAAATTCAACTTGTGATGCGCGTGTCGGCCTGCACATTATTGCAGTACGCGTCTGCGTACAGCACATTAACTCAATTGCCCTTTAATTAAATTTACATATTTACTAGCAGACTCTGTAACTTCTCTCATAACATAACCTCCACGGGTATTTTATTATTAATCGTGATACTTTCTGGCAAATTTTCTTGATATACAAACATCTATTGTTTTCAGCTAACTGATAACTACTTCGTGTTACTAAATACAATTATATTCTATACGATGATTGCTTTTGAACCACTTATATCAATAAGTGTCGATAATTTTATTATTAAATAATACTTGTTATAATAAATTGATCATTAATGACAACGTCTCTCGATCAATCATAGAAGTGGAGTAGCTAATTTCTCACCGCTCATCGTTGGGTTGGCAATTCAAATTTAATATTTACGAGTTTTGTTTCAAAAACGAATCACTGTTGAAACTGACGAATCGAATAATACGCTCACTCTTCTAATATTTGCTAAACCACAATTATACATGCAACAATTATTAATTTTCCCTATGAGCGCACTGGTAAAGTTTGATTTAACATTTTTCAGCATTCATGTGTGCGAATGTTATAAAATGAAGTAGGTGCGCAAAAACTCATAAAACGTAGGTTGGCGAGCTTTAAAATACATTCCAAGCCTTTCACATGTTTTTCATTAAAATTAAATCCAATATTTTTACGCGTGCGAGGGGAGCGGTGGTATTAAGCAAATGTTTTTTTAGAGGAGAAATTTCACGTGATTGTAATGGAAAAATGCAGTTTTTTATTAATGGTTAAAAGCAATGTTCACTCGTATGCTGTTTGTGGACTGAAATTAATTATTAGCGGAATGCAAAACACCAAACGTGTATTCTTCCCCGTTCCGTAACATTTTTTCATTTGTAAAATCGCAACAACCAATATTGCAGGAATACGAAGACATTTTTCAGCATTACATTGGCAAATGTTAAAATAAATTACATATGAATAAGTATTATTAAATGCTCTACCTCGAGCTTTTATACAAACAGCGATATGAAAGTTTTATTTCCTAGTATATTTTTCATTCAAGTTAAATAAACGATATATTATATTGCCGCAACCGGTAATTTGCTAGAGTATTTCTCTTCCAATTAACTGCGTGAATTTTGCACTGTTCATTCAACGGTAAAAAACTGCTAACGTTCTTCCTGTTATTACTCAGTTTTTATTAAAAAGCGTATAAATACCAGCTGAATAGTAAGCTGTAAAAAAGAGAATGGCTGTATCAAAGAAACGGGTAAATGAATTGATGGACGGGCAGGGATTGTGAGGGTATCCTTGTGTTCAGGCACGTGAGTATATATAGATGCTGCGCATCACGTGTTATAGTACGCGAGCGCGCACGGCAATTGTATCGTTGCTCCTATCCTCCACAGCAACAGCTAGCTATACTTCTCGACATCTGTAGCCCAGCAGTCCTGTTATGCTGGCAACTCCATTATACCGCGTTACTGTTAGCCCTCCCAAGACACTACTACGAATGCTCAAGCTTCGTTTTTTTATTCTTTTTTATGTCTTATTAAGACGTTGTTAAATGCAGATAGATTCATTTGCAATGTTTTACAGATGGTTTCCCTGATAGATAGTATACCGTTTACGTGTCTCTTCTTTCCTTTTCACCAATGCGTAATTGACTTTGTGGACTTTCAATTTTATACTGCAATTTACATTCATATAATTCTAAGCGAAACAAAAATATTGTAAACAGTTGATGAAAAGTGCAAATAGCTTTTGATTCATCAATCAAGTTAGAAATAGTCATTTCGAGAATTATGTTCTACTCTAGATAGACATTCTTACTACTCACAAAAAATCTGTCATCAAAATTTATCAGTTGTAAATAATCAAAAGTGCATGAAATCTCATCTCGAAAATAATACAGTCCTCATGTGTATTATACACGAAATATTTGCGTGTATATGTGAGAGAAAGGGAGCCAGGTGGGAGATTCTATTCTCCATTCGGCATTCAATTGTATTATTCTCCCCCTCGAAGCGGCTAACCGATAAACGGGAGCACAGCTTGCAATTTGCCAGGCGTAATCCTGCTTCGAGTTACTGGGGCAAAGTATTACTCAAAGTCCGTAACTCGATGAAAAGGGAGAGAGGGAGAGAGAGAGAGAGAGAGAGAGAGAGAGAGAGAGAGAGAGAGAGAGAGAGAGAGAGAGAGAGAGAGAGAGAGAGAGAGAGAGAAAGAGAGATACAAAAAGAGCTTTTTTTAAAAAAATGCAAATCTTCTCTTGAATTACTCTCTTTTACTCTCTCTCTTTCTTCCTCACTTTAATTACGAGTTGTAAACTTTCTAAATGCTTTTGCAAAATAGCTTTATGCATACACTGGTAATATGGTTTCTTATTAAAAGTTTCATAGTATGTTTTGAAATGGTTTTTCAATTGAGTAGCAATTTGCGATTTTCTTGGTTTTACGTAAAGTTTCACTATAATAATCGCAATAATTGTGTATATGTCGTGATTTATATAATTTTTCAATAAAATAGTTCATTAATGTGCTTCCTTTTATATTTCAGACTGTGTCAATTTCTATGCTACTACGCTACTCTCATCACCAAATCTTCGTTTTCATTGGTAAGTTCAAACGTATTTTTACATCTATTTGATGCATAATACGATCATTTTCAAGACAAACGCATTCTCCAAAGGATCGATTTTATGAAATACTATTACCTATCTGATATTTTCACTATCTCTTATGGAACTTATCTTAAGTCCACATTCTATGGTGAAATTTCGTGAAAGTTTTTCGATTCTTTATATTTGGCACATTCTAAATTATGACGATCAGCTTATCAGGGGTAGGTTTCGGATTTTCTTGAAACTTGGTCTAAATATTGCCTATATGGTAGTTTAATTCAGTATGGATTATTAGCTCATTGTAATAATTATATTAAAAGTTATAAAAAATTAAAAATTTTCAAAAATCTATATCTCCGCAACTATTTAAGTTATCGAAACGAATTTTTTTTAGATTACGCGTACAACAGTGTATTTTGTCGATATTAAACGAACAATACTTTAATATCAATTTTTCCAAAAGTTATCAACATTTTTTAAAAACAATTAGCCATATCTCAAAAAGTGTTATTTTTATTTCAAAAATAATTTTTTTATTGAATTCCTTGACCTTTTCTCTTTAAGAATCCGTTTTAAAATTCATCGAGCGATCATTAGATACGACACAGTGAGTGATAATAGTGGACGCTCACAGGCCCTACGACGCCCGCTCGGCCTCGCGTCAGTGCTGGATCGGCGCTGCCACCGAACTTATTGACTTATCGGCGTCGTACGGCCTGTGAGCGTCCACTATTATCGCTCTCTGTGTTGCATGTAATGATAGCTCGATGAATTTTAAAACGGATTCTTAAAGAGAAAAGGTCAAGGAATTCAATAAAAAAATTATTTTTGAAATAAAAATAACACTTTTTGAGATATGGCCAATTGTTTTAAAAAAATGTTAATAACTTTTGGAAAAATTGATATTAAAGTATTTTTCGTTTAATATCGTAAAACCCTTTTACGCGTAATCTAAAAAAAATTCGTTTCGATAACTTAAATGGTTGCAGAGATATAAATTTTTGTTAACTTGTTTAAACTTTGTTAAAACTTGTAAAATTGTTTATAACTTTCTTTATAATTATTACAATGATCTAATAATCTATACTGAAGTAAACTACCATATAGGCAATATTTAGACCAAGTTTAGAGAAAATCCGAAACCTACCTGTGATAAGCTAATCGTCATAATCTAGAATGTGTCATTTATCCGTAAGTTTGTACGGATATTTCAACCGTGACGCAAACCAAATCAAGGTTAAGAATAATTAAAAATTGTGCGATAACAATGAGTGTCACTGAACTCGATTTCCCGACGATTATGTTAAACGTGAACTTCAAAACAAGGCATTTTCTTCATCTTTAAAAAAAAGCGTTTTTCAGAATCAAAAGAGGTGAACGTATTTTATGACGCTACGTTTTTAAATTAAGATCGCTGTTCCCGATTGTTTATAAGAAAGGACTTTTTTTTACTTATTTGTAACCGATTAACGCGTGGCACCTCCTAAAATAGAAATATCAATTCTAATCAATCTAAGGGCAATCGACCCATCTTTCAACTCACGAAAATGTCCTCTCTTACCGAAATCAGTGGTGTACATGGTAAACCCATGTGTTTAAATTTAAACGTTTAATATGACGTTACCCATAAGAAATACATTGTCCTCAATTTTAAACACTTCTAAACGTTTAAATTCAGCGACAATGTATTTCTTATGAGTGACGTCACAATTACACACTTAAAACGTTTAAATTTAAACACATAGGATTTTAAGGTTTTGCCGTGGTATGTACATGATCACTACAAATTGTCTTATGACGATCTATTTTTTCGCAAAAATAAAATGTCTCATATGCACAAATATCTCTCTCTTTCAAAACTGTATATCTGAATGCTGGAAGAGAAACAACGTGCGAATACAACGTGACATAATGGCAAGCAGTAGGTCGGGTTACAATAAAAGAGATGAATGATCGTCTTTTATCGATGCAGTTATTGTCAGCGCGCTAAGAAGCAAACGTGCATATTTCTTAGAGAGTTTGTATGCAGTAAAAGTTACATTCGAAAATAAAAATCCTGCGTTAAAGTTAAAGTCAGAAATAGACCATCTTAATCAAGAGAACGATGCCGTTCTTATTAGCTCTGGGTGCACTCGGCGCTGTTATTCTGTACTTCATTAAAATGGCGATTCGAGAATACACCTATTGGAGGCGTCGGAAATCAGCGTACGTCGATTGTATGCTGATTATCGGCATTTGTTCGTCAGTCTATCTACAGTGACTAGCATTTCCTAAGCACACAATAGAACTGTACTTGAAACATTCACATGCCAAATATTATGGTACTTTCGATTTTAATACGTCGATAGTTGTTCTTAAAGATCCGAACATGATATGCGAGATTTTCCTGAACAGTTTGATAACTTTTCTGATCACCGAAGTTTCGTCACAGAAGAGATGGATCCTATTGTTGGTCGCAATGTATTTTTGTTGAAGGGCCAAAGATGGAAAGAGGTGAGAAATATGTTCAATCTAAGTTTTACTGCTAACAAGATGAAATTAATGTTCGGAATTATATCAGAATGTTTCAAAGAATTCGTTTAGTGTTTGATGGACAATCCCAATTTAGCCAGCGGTTTTAAAACAAATGATGTGTTTACTAGAAACACTGATAAGGTTATTAATACAGTAGCTTTTGTAATTCAACTGCATTCGATGAAAAACTGCACGAAAATGAGTTTATTTACGTGGAAGGATGCTACTTCGTTTTTGAGTTCTTAGCGGATATCTAAATTCGTTTTGTACCGATCTTTATCAAAATTAGGGTGTATAGTGAATGAAAGGTTCTTGTGAAGAGTAACAAATAGATTCTTTCATCAATGGTTACCAACATGGTAAAGGCAAGAGAGGAAAAGGATTTCAATCAGATGTGATTCAACTGTATTGATGTAATTGAAAGATAAAGATAATGGTATCGTTACCATTGACGATATAATCGGTCAAGCTTTTATCTTCCTTCTAGCTGGCTTTAATACTGTATCCATTAAGATGTGTGTTTGCTGCTTACGAGTTAGCTGTTCGCCAGGATATTCAGGAAAAGCTTCACAAGAAAATTCAAAAGCAATTTGAACTTGAAAATGGTGAATTTATGTACGAATCTGTAGGAAGAAAACATACCTAGATATAGTAATCAGCGAAACATTAACAATGTATTCACCATCAGGTATGACCGATTGAATTTATATGAAGTTTTGTTTTAACATCCGCTAGAGATGGTTATCGAGAATATACTATAAAACTTGGTATAAATCTGATTATTCAGATCATTAGCTTACTTTAAAAAGATACCAAATAATTTCTAAATCCGGATGAATTCATACTTGGAAGGTATAGTGGTGACAATTCATCCATACACTTATATACCATATGGTTTGGATCCAAAAAAATGCATTGACAATCGATTTGCTTTGATGGAAATAAAAATATAAAACGTTATGATTTTGAAGAATTTTATTATTAAACTTACAGACAAATCCAAATATCCAATCGAATTTAATAGAAAAGACTTTTAGCATGGTGTACAAGGAGGATTTTTGATTAAATTTGAGAATAGGGAGAAAGTTGATCGAATAAAAAAAGTTTTCATTGAATGTGATTTTATATTCTACAAAATATTATTAAAATACTCACACAAGTTTTGTCAATAAACCAAATATTTATGCTACATATCAAACTATGTACCAGATTATAAAATAAACATGAAGTATTTCATAATTTTGTAACAATTTATAATTCTAATATAAATTAACAACGATAAATTAAAATTTTGTAAAACGAAACCGATCACCATAAATTCATGATTAACAATATTATTTACACAATTATCAAAAATTTGAAATTAGTCGCGTATCTAAAATTACGCGAGAGTTGTTTCCTTGTATTATAACCGCGAGCACGAGAGCGTAACTGTCAAACGCATTATAGCAACCCGCGTTATATCCACGACTGCCTCTCTCTGCAACTCACCTGTATATATACCATTCACGTGGCATTAAAACGACAAATCCACGACTGCAGCCAGATTAGCGATTCGTTAACGAAGGTAATCCGAGCTAATGAATCTCTGCGGGTGACTCGCTATATTCGATATCAATTCTCCGGGAAATTCTTTTGTTTTATTTTTTCTTTTTAATATCATAAGCAGTTCGGTTGATTGATGCGGCTTATGCTGCTGATTCGTGAAAGACAATGCTATTGCTATATTAATTGGGAGAAAGCTATTTTCACGGTTGTACTGTATTTATAATAATAGGGGCTATTACATGACTCGTTTGAATGAGAAAGTAATTAAGAATACCGTTGAAGACAGTGTCAATAGAAATGCTCGATCTATTGTTTGATGAAACTGCAGTTAAATCAATATGTTTAACAAAAACTCGATTTTATAAAAAGAACTTGCTTCATTTTTACAATTATCACAAAAGCCTCATAGTGACCCGTCACGAATAATGGAATACAATAAAAATAACGATCGCTGATTTTTTGCTAAAGATCTTTTTGTGCATTTTTTAATGTATCAGTTTTTTATGTATAATAATACTTATAATCAGAAAAATAAATTAATTTTATCTCATTATTCTCAAAATATTTTATTAGATGATAACAAGAGAAAAACTCATGCAAATCTCCAAAAATTATTTTATAAATCAATTAAAAATTTACCAAAAATCAGTTGCAGTGAAGCGTATTTAAGAATACATTTCTATATATATATATGTGTTTCGTGATTTTAAAGTGTTGTATAAGAAACCACGCTTTCTTGTACAAAAAGTAGTGTATTCTATACATGAAAAAATGCCCGACCACAGGAATATCAGTGTCAAGGCAATTATTCAATTGATTGAAATAATAAAAATAGAAAAACATATTGGAAAACAATGAACGAGTAGAAAAGTAGGTGAAAAAGTGTATCGGTGCGTTCGGGTTTATTTCCTAGCATAATTTTCCGACGTTCAGAAAGTTGTATAAGAAAATAAATATAATTTTCAATCCTCCCTGCAAGCATTTCTCTTACGTAGATAAATAGCTCTAAGCGTATGATATCTCCTGAATTTCAATACATTCTCTTTGAAGTTGCAATCTTGCAATATTTTTAAAAAATATTATTGTCACGATGAGAAAAGTAACGCTATAAGAGACAGTGAGACTAAAGACTTGATGAACATCTTACTTAAGTTTTATTTTCTATTTACTCGGGAGATGACGTTTCTTTCTTATTCGTCTGTTTTTACTTAAGCATCTGTTTTACTGTGCGGCTAATTTTTCTGACATCGTTCACTTTTTTTCATTTACTTACTTGTTTTACATTTTTATTGAGCTTAAACTCTGACTTGCAGTTTTCCATTAACCCGCTTAAGAAAGTGTATTTGCATATAATTAAAAAACAAAACAATGGATATTATTGAGGCAATGATCACGGAATTGTAGTGAAAATATATATGAAAATGTTTGACTGTAATTTATACAATGAAAAGAAACATGCTACTACTTCACCACGAATTAAAAAAAACTGTCTCTTGATTATAAAACTGTGACAAGATCATCAAAACTTGGTCTCGCGCGGGTTGCAAGCTAGTAGAAAAAAACTTTGAACTCTGTGGTAGCTTCAAAGAGACTCATATAAAAAACCTCGCTGGATATCCGTGATGCAGATGAGCAAGTGCGAAACTTTGATTTTTTTCATCTTACGAACTCACCATGCAATAAATATTGAGAGCATTAAAGTTGTGAGCTTACTTTGTATTAATCCAAGGCTTTACCGTGTAGAAGGTGCAAATTTCTGATATTTTTTTTTTCAGAATAAAATTACTTGATCTAATGAATAGTTCCTAACTGTTGATTTACTTTTTGTTCTAGTGGATCTGTTGCAAATGTTGGAGTTTAATGCCACTGTGTCGTTTCCAGCTGCTTCTCTTCTTACTGTGATTTTGGCGCTTGTCGGTAAGTTTGACACTTTTTGACTAAACACCAATTTGATTTTAAGACTCTTAACATTTTTTAGACGAAATTCCAAAGCTATCCTAATATTTGTTATCACCATCAATAATGAACTATCAAACGCTATTTTAAAATATCCTAAATAAAATTCGTCCCCTAAGAAAAAGATAAAAAAAGGAGCTGCCTCGTCGATAAGTTCAATGATCACGTAGGTGAAAAAGCGCGCGCACACATCTGCACGTGAAAAATAGCGTCGCGAAAGGAATGACAAGCAGATACACAACCCGTATGCACGTACCTGCATAATCCAGTTTCGCGCCGTCGTCGCGGCAGCTGTGGCTCGCGAGTGCGCACGAGGATAAAATTTTAAAGAGCTTTTCTTTTTTTTCTTTTTTCGTTGTGCCGAATCAGTCGCGTCTCCTTCTAAAGAGAGCCTGTTGCGCAAGCTCGCATGTGGCGTGAAAGCTCGATAATCCTATTGAGCACTTAAACTATTTGCCTGGCTGGAATAATTAGATCTGTAAGTTTTTTTTTTTTTTTTTTTTTTTTCTCCACTTTTTCGCATTTCGTTCAGTAGTTTTTTCGTAAATTGTTGTGTAGAGGATGGTTTATAATTATTTTGATAAATTTTGGAATGGAATCTTGTTCAAGAAGGTCAATGGAATTAAAACTATTTAGCTGACTAGGATATTTGGACCTCTTAGCTTTATCCGACCGCTCTTTTATAATTTATTTTCCATAATTTTTTAGTTTAATTTAATCAATGTTTCGTTACAATTATTTATTCAACATATTATCGGAATAAAATCTTGTTAAAGACAATAAAAAAATATTATTTAATTTATTCTTATTCCGTATTTTATTTGAGAAATTCAAACGATAATCATGACTTTTTTACAAAAATATTTTCAAAAGATGAAAATATTTTTGCAGAACTATTCACCTAAAAAAACAATAACAGATGTTTCCAGCGCATTATGAAAACGCGAAAAACGTCAGGTATATAACACAAGCGAAAGAACCAAGAGCTGGCTAATCCCAGAAGTGTTTTCGCCGAGCTTTCAATAGTATTGTACTGCGAATGTATTTAATAATGAAAGGCAAACATCCAAGCGAATTAGAGTAGCTTGGACGGACCAGAATGCGAGTGATAAATGGAGAGAGAACGGGTTACAGCTCTTCTCTCTGGGATTCGGGAGATTCCGCATCAATTTCTGATGAAGGCGCAACAGTTGGGCTGCTACTGTTGCTCCCTATAGCTTTTTATTTCCTTCCCGCGCGACTACCCTATCGGATTATGGCCATTATATCCATGAATACCTTCATGCTCTCAAAGCTCCTTTTTTCAAATTCGAATTTGCATTTTTTTATCCAAACAATTAGCCAACACTATAAAATTCAAGTGAAGGCATTTTCATTACACTTAAAAATTAGATGGAGCACAGCGAGAAAGATGGTCACGTACATTGATGCTCGAATTCACGCGGAATTGCTTCGTCTATCCCTTGCGGAGAGAAAGAGAAAGGGAGAGAGAGAGAGAGAGAGAGAGAGAGAGAGGAACCGGCACCCATTACTCCAGATAACAACTTCCCCAGCAACTTCCTCAGCTACTTACGAAGCTTCCTACCTCTCCGGAAATTCGACGCTTCTGTTGTGTGATCTACGTTCGCCTATCACTTAATTCATCAGTTTGTCTCTTTCTAAAAAATCAATTAGCTCCAATTTACAATTGATGCGTGATATTTTGATTTCTAAACCATAAAAATATACATATGCATTTCGAAACTGATATGCTCGTGTTAAAAGAGTCAGTGAAAAAAGTAATTAAAAGAGAGAAATCAAAAGATCGTCGAAAATTGAAACTGCCAGGAGGTAGCAACGCTGCTATATAAAAACGTAGTGGAATTCAATTCGATGCATGGGGAAGGGGGAGGGGCAGCAGTCTCGTTTCTATGATCCCTTTATCGCGAGCTCAGGTTGTTCGACCGATACGCGTATTTAAAAAAAAGTGCGTCCACACAAATGGACTTCGCCAGCCACTAGGTTTAATTTCGACGATTCTGACATGTTACATAAATATTGTTCAACGAGTTGTGAAAACATTTTGCGATGATGATGCTTGTGTTTTTTGTGATTGAACGCGACTGCACACGAGAATATGTCGCTTCAAAGTCAAGTCGACTGGAAAATACGACCGATGTCCAGAGCTGCCCTTGAGCAATCGATGTGAATTCTCACCATTAATAAATTTGTGTTTTGGAATTTGATATAGAGAAAGTTTCATGTGTAGAGAATTCAGTGTGAGTTTAAACGAAAAATAAAAAATCATTATGTGTCTAAATAATAACTACGGATCGACAATAGACAGAATAATTTTTTTTAATTTTCCAATTTCTACGCTCAATACTGTCAAAAGTTTATTTCAATCATTTTATTTCGTTGATAAAATATTATTTGACAGATTAAAGTCCTTTCAATGTAAAAACATGTTTCGCTTCAAACTTCATGGACATTTGCATAAAAAAGCAAACGAGCAGATGTCAACTAAAATAAAAAACGATATTTCAACAACAGCACATCTATTGAAAATTCACGAATTGCTAGCTTATACCCTCTGCCGAAGATAGAATGAATTTCTCGCGTAAATATCGATCGCGGCAGAGAGTGCCTAATGGGGAGAAAAGCGCTGAGACGTGTGCACAGTCGTCATAGTCGTGGGTTAAGTAGCTTGGTATCCGCTTCCGGTGTTCGCAGCGGCGCGGACAGCGCTCCCTCGTATACGGAATTTGCGCGCCCTAATTAGCTTCTCGGATTAATGCCCTCTTTTTCGCTTTTTCTATGAGTAAATGACGCTTTTTTGGTTTAGGTTAACTCAATTACTTCGATTTGATTGAAAGTTGTTTTATTCAGACGTTGAGCTTTCAACGTTATTCAGTTAGCTATCAATGTTGACATTTGAAATTGTAGTCTTGCGTATAGATAACAAAATTTTTAGAAGTCAGAGGCAGTTAAACTTTATTAGCCATTTTATCCAACATTAAATCTACTTTTGCTATCATCTTCATATATTTTTTAAGAAAGAGAGAGAAAATTGAGTTGAGTTACCTTTATTACGCCTTGGGGTAGAACCCCGTCTGGCTATTATAGTTACAAAATGTTACAGCGTGGCAGCATGACGTAATGCTGCGAAGAATTTGGAAATGCAAGTTGATACAACATAAACATGGATAGTTGTTCTCAGTAATAAGACAGACGCATAAAAATAAGCCATGGTAGTCGTCTGAGTCATAACATTCTGAACAGATAGAGCACGAACAACGAGATACGAGGTTTGATCATGGTGCAAGAAATTATAATACGAGCTAGAAGGTAACAAAGCAAAATGCAGAATTTAAAAATCAGAGGGCTACACAACGCAACTTAGACTAAACTTAAAATCTAAAACACAATTGACATTGCAATTTGAGAGAGGAAAAGAGGAAAAGAGAGAGGAAAAGAGTTGAACGAACGATAGTATTGAAAATCACCTTAGACTTCATCGAGGAAGGACGGAACGAAATCCTTTATATACGACAGCCATTCAACAAAATCTTACATACAAAGCGTGTGCACATAATATCGGCACACCGTAAATTCAAATAGCAGCAGCAGCGCGTGCGTTTCATACATCTGCATTTATTATATCTCCATCGGGTCCAAATGTAGCCTGTTTAACCAACCGGGAAAACTCGCGCTCCCTCAGTCGTGGCTGCGTGGCTGATGACACGTGAGCGACGAGTTTTCGTCGTTGTATTACTCTCGCGGAAAGCTTATACGATTTGATTAAGAGTTGGTTGTGTGTCAGTGTATATGGCTAGGACTACTGCGTTTGATTGCACTATCCTCTTTATAAAGTGATTTTAAAAATGATCGTGCAGTCGTGAATGCGCCATTGGTTTCACTCACGTCAGAAAACTGTCTAATATACCACGAAAACAAATAGTAAAAGAGAAATCGGTGAAACGTGAAATTTTACGTGAAGTCCCCGTCGTGGTATTATTGACTCTCACAGGGAATTTTAACGTCTCTATGTAAGGGTGAAGGTGAAGTGCTGCTCGTCGTCAGATATGAATAAATGCCCTGGCTAGTATGCATTTAAACTGTTGCATTATCGATGCAATTTTCTTGTCTGTATGGCTGATTTGGATATATATACATTCGATATCCGCGCATGCTTCAATTGATTTATTTGTTATGGAGCACGTGCAATTTTGGTCAATGGCATATGGGGGTTATGTGGCTTCCCTTTATTGCATATGCGCGGTCTAAATGCTTGTTAGCGATAGTAGTGAATTTTCTTATGGATTCGATGAAAGGTATTTTAGGATATTTTCCAAATTCAATTTTGTAACATGATTTCTTGTAGCTAATTGAATGTGTTATTTTTATGTAAAACACTCGAAGGAAAAAGGAGACTGAAAATGTCGAGTGAAAGACGAAGAAAGTGCGAGCAAAAATAAAAAAATAGAAACGTTTTGTCCGCGCGCCGAGTTGGCGCGGCGTATAATTGTAATGAAAACCACGAGGGACCATACGCTCGGAATAATAAGAGAACAATGTATATACCAGTTTGCATGGCACCTGTGTGTTACCAAATCAGGTTAAAAAACCAGGTTAAGTTGTATAACTCGCTCGTTGGACATTATATAGGATAAAATTTATAATGAAATTTGACTGGAAATTTGGTTTTATACTTTACGTTACTTTAAGCGGTGGATATGTTTACAATTTTTATGTTACAAGTATTTTGTAATAATAACATACAAAGAGTACTTTAGAGTTTGTGGTCTAAGACTACCCAATAAAAAGTTTCCAATAAACTATAACTCGTGTTTTTTTAAACTTGAACCTTAGAAATTGTTAAAACACTAGTAGTCGTTCATTAAGTTAAACTGCACACACCTGTCATGAAGATTGTGTCCTCCTTTTTTATATTAGCGAGGTTAGGACAATTTTTTAGTTAAATCTATAACTCCCGCATATAGGCAATAAACTTTTTATGTATTTTTTATTAGAACTTATAGAAAAACTATAGTGATGTTTTCACGGCGTCCGTCCGTAGAGATATAAGTGTTTTGTCAATCAGTATGACTGCTACTCGATTAAATGTTAAACGTTTGAGAAAAGGAACCACTCTTTTTGAGAACCAATTTCTAGTTGGTAATATCTCTCTTTTCATGCGAAATAAATAGAATAGAAAAAAATATTATTCTTTCTAATCTTCAAGAAAATGCAGTTGGTATCGCTTTTACCTATATTTCGCGTAAGAGCTTCAGCTAAATTTATTTCTAAAATCTTTCATTTAACAATTGAATTCCCAAAGATATATAACAGACTGCATCTCCTGATAATTGAATGAGAATGTACAAGCCATTTGTACTTGGCAAGATATCTCTGCCCGACGATCGGCACTTGGCTGTAATATATAGTATCGCATCCATTTCCCTAGCTCTTAATGCGCTTACGCGACACATTTTCTTAGCGCAGCAGTTCGTTTGGAAATTCAATTATCCGTAATTAATAAAAATAGATTATCGCACAGGGCGCTGCCGTGCGACATTCCGTTTTCTATCGACCCAAAGCTCTTTCGCAATTAAATGTGTAACTCGATGATCGTTAATAACCAGGAGTCTCGCGTTTCCTTTTTTGCCAATAAGAGATTTTTCCTTTGTAAAAAAACACCTTACTAACCATCTGCTGAACTTTCTAGTCATGATATTAGCTAGAGGCAAATTGGTCTTGTAAATTACGAATTTTGCGTACTCCTAATTTTTATAACTTGGATTTTGTAACTAGGGGCAATAGCGTAGCGTACTAAGGTTCGTTCATTCATATTTTATATTTCAATTTTTTATTAAAATTTGCTGTTATTTAACTTACCTACATTTTTCTGCTTCAAATATTTTTATCGGACTGACGTTCGCATGAATGCCAAACAATGCCGAACAAGTCATTTAAGCAAAACTGCCTTCACAGCAATAGAGCTAGAAAGGTATATCGAGCGAGAAAGCGCTGTCACCAGGCATTGTGAACTTCATTGCACATAAACTACTGTCAACTAATAGGATGGCTACTATGAATTTCGTCACATAAACTATATATATGCAGTCTCTTTGACAGTGTGAAGTTCGTTTAAATAAAAGTGTTGGTTTTGTATGAATTTTTTAGGAATGGAAGCCATTATGTCTGAGTTCTTCAACGATACGACTACAGCATTTTACATTATGCTTATTGTCTTTATCGCTGATCAGTATGATGCCGTTTGCTGCCATACCCCTATAACAAAGAGACACTGGTTAAGGTGAGTTTTTTTATATTTTCGTTAATTAGTTATCTGTCTTGGTTCGGTTACAATAGACAAATTTGTGAAATCAACATTTTCATGCATACTAAAAAGAGATAACATAGAGACATAAATTATTATTCAACACATTCTAAAAAATTTTCAAATCGTTGTGCAATTATTTTCATGCCGAATGAGAGGAGCAAAAAGCACATTGAATAAAACGTCTCCAAAAAAATCAGCGCTTTAACCAAGGTAATTACTAATGCACGTTTGGCCAGAAACAAAGGAGCTACCAAAGAGAGAGTGAGAGTTGGGGGGGGGGGGGGGCAGTAAAAAACAGAAAGAAAAAGATCAGAAGAGATGAGTGGAGTTCGAAGAACGTAGCTTGCTGGTAGGGCATTTAATTAAGAAGGATTAAGCGGTATTAAATACTAAACCCCGCAAGTCTCGAGGCGAACAAGCTGTGCGCGGCTCTTCTTTATTTTGAAAACGACGATGACGGCGAAGCTCTGGCTCAAACTAAAACGATCAGCGTCTCCGTCCCGCAGAAATGCTTTGGCTCTTTGTAATTTCACATTTTTTTATCTTCATCCTCGTTTGCCTTTTGTGCTTTGAATTCCACAGAAACAAAGCTGCTGCGTCGACAGTTTTTGATAGTGTTTGGTGATAGATCGAATACAATGATTTTTTTTCGCTATACCATCTTATCATTCAAAAATTCCAGTAATCCAACATTTTTTTTGTTATTAACTTTATTTTGGAGCAAGAATATAAAAGTCATTATTATCACGCGCATGTTCGTTATAAATAAAGAATTTGAAATATTTTCACACGAAAAGTTGGAAACCAAGAAGTTCTTACAGAAATTGCTGTCTAATAGAGTTTATTTCGTTAGAATGCATTTCAATTCGATGCAGACAAAAAGAGATTCTATAGATGCTTTACTTATTCTCAGATCAAGCGTGATGACTTTCTTAATACAATTTTTTCATATACAGCATTGCTGCTTGTTTACGCATCAGTGAACGCGGTGAGATTAAATTATGTAGTAATTTATAATTTTGAACACTTATAAGTATATAAAGGAATATTTGATAAAACGTAGCAATCTCAAAGTGAACAACTGCAAATCAACAACCAAATTTATTGGGAATATAAAAGTAAATTCCTCGCGTCCCAATAGTAAATCGTATGAGGTTGTAACGGCGACTGTTTGCTCGAGGTAGACTGCAATTGCAAATTATCACGCGGTTCATAAGACATCGAATCAGTCTTGGGAAGGGGGGGGGGGAATAGGTAGTGGCTTTCTAATTAAAAGCAGATGACCCATGTGCTAATGGCGTGGCGGTGGTGGTGGCGGCGTACTAGCAGTAGTAGCAACGATGAAAGCACGAAAGAGCCTAATGCTTGTAACTCTGCCAACCAAGATAATCCCTTTCTCAGCCTAGGCTTGATCGGGCGTGAAGCCAGCAGATCCTATTACCATGATGCTACTATATGTTCTCCCGCGTACATGCCTACAAATATAAACTCGATTGCCTTGATAGCTGTTTACCTTTTGATGCATGATTTTACGTTAATTTTTGCTTGGTTTTGGTTTGAAGATGAGTTTCATTGATTTATATAAATGTTAATTAACACCGAATTTGGCAGAGATATTGCAACTCACGAACATTTTTCAATTTGCCTTCGAGTGTAAAATCTTGTAGTTATTTACACAATGAAGATGACATTACTCATTGAGTTGTTTCTTAGATATTAAATTAAAATTTTCTAAATTTAGGCTTTTTTAATTGATAATTGTTAGGTTTTGATTTACTACTACTAGATTACATTTCGACTTTTCCGCTATCGTCTAATGTATATGTCTTTTATAATAATTACCTAGCTCATTCAGATAATTAAATTCTTAAAAAAAAGGTTTTAATTATTATATTTCAAAATCAGTCATACCAAACAATATTTGGATCAAAGCTCAATCCGTTCCGAGAAATTGCTGGGTGTATAGCTTTAGTGTTTCTTTCACAGCCGGCGAAAATTTGTAATGTGGGCTATAACACCCACCGCAGTAGCAGTGCATAGAGAAAAGGGTAATCCACGAACGTGTCCGACGAATATGTCAACCGTATATCCGCAATATTTCGTCCTTTCGTTTTTTTTCTCTCCTTCTCTTTTTCTCTTTCTATTCTTGTGTTTCCTCTCTTTCACATCGCTATATTATTTATATGATTCATTCTGCGTGATAGAAATCGATTTTTTCATACGTTACGTTGTAACAAACAGCCGTTCTTAGAAGCCTCCTTCACACAAAACATTTGTAAATAGTGTAAATTAATTTATTGACATGATTGTTTCAAGCCAGCTGATTGAATAATTTGCCAAAAATTTAATTAATGCGTTCTTCGCATATAAACTCACACTTCATGTTTACGACAACATTATCTACGGCTCATATCATATACTAAGAGAAGGAGCGCTTCGGAGTATCGATCGTATAGCTATCTGCCGAGGTGTAGCCATATGAGCATAGCTTTTTGAGCACGTACAACGCGCAACCAACAAACCGTCAAAGGATACAATTTTTTTTTCGAAAACTCGCTCGATTCGAATAACAGTGTAGTACACTTAGTGCCCGTCCTCCTCTTAAAAAAAGAAAGCACCAAGAATAGGTTAAAAGAAAAGAATTGCGAGCGCATTTTTAAAGAGGCGAGCTTTTGCGGGTTAAGCAAGAGAAATGGACTACAATGCTGGGGTGAAGAGAAGAGAAAGATATGAGGTTGCAACCGGCGTTCTCGTTCTCTCCCTCCCTCTCTCTTTCTGAAAAATAAAAGTGAAAAGAGCCGTGCCAGGCAGGCGTTTGGGTGGGGCCGCGCTCACGCTATGATGGATGTGTATGTGTAGCTAGTGCTGCTCGCTTTATGTTGCTTGAATTGTTTCCAACCTTCCTCTGTTTTTTTGTCAGCTACAAGGAGTTAAGCGGCCACTCTTTTCTCTTTTCTTTGGCGACCGAAGCAAACAGCGAAGGGAGTTCCTTCGGCAAGCAAATAATTATTGGAAACACCTTCGATCGATAGCTGGACTTTCAATTCATACTCCTTTTTATATAAAGTTACGATTCTTTCTTTTCTACGGTGACATTTTTATAAGTGTTTGAAAACCCGTTGCAGTGTCATCGAACCAATAATGATTCCATCGGATGTGCCTATTTTTCGTGAAGTACATCTTCCGAATAGTCCACACGAAGTCCCTCTCGATATAATTTCGAAACAAAGTGTTGACAATCGTTCAACACCATACACATAAATATAAGTAAACATTACAGGCGTGGATGTGAAATGATGCAAAAGCTATGTTTAAAATGCGACGCGCAATCGGCAACGAGCATTTGACATCAAGTATCGCGCGTGCGTAACTCGTTCGATGATCCTCGACTCTTGTTTCACTGCAATAACACACACACGCGCATTTGAAAAGAATCCAATTACGGCTCTACTTAATAAAACAACGTGGAAAAGGAAAGGGGAAGTTTCTACAATCAAGCGGGCTTGTCCACAAATAACTACCCTTCGTATGATTACGATTGAATAAGCTATGTGATTGAGGTTATTGACCAATTAGACAAATAACATGCTTGTGACTTAGAATTGGACGGTTGTTATTTTCAAAAGTACAGACTTCATTTTTAAAGTAGATTCGAGTCATTCGTATTTTTTTCTTCATGATTGCATGTATTTGCACTTTAAAAGGAATGTGCCTTCCTGGGTTTGACATAATAATTTAGTGAATTTATCTTTTCATCGCTTACTTAATTTATATTGATTGTTATATCAATATAAATTAAGTTTTCATAGTAGTGAGACATAATCGCTCCTACTTCTTTCATTGTGACCAAATTGAGACGCTATATCTCCCGATTTGATCACTATTAGTCCTCAGAAACATCTGATATGCATTTCACGCCTATGCACATGAGGCGAGTTTAAAGGACGGAACCGGCTATGCGAATTTTTGGTCGGATTTGTCCAAGCACGGGGCAGACTCACGTAATGACGAAAACCGGACGTACTCCCTTCGTATTGTGCAACATTTCCTACTAAATTCTATAATTATCTACGTATGCTGATTCGCTCTATTTGCCGCATTATATTTTATTTTGTCTTTTGTTCATTGCGTATTTAAATTTGTATTTATTAAAATTCTACATTCTTCAACGCTCGCATTCCTTACATGTTTATTCTTAATCCTAGCTTATAATTTACGTTATAAATTTTACACGCAAAGCCGAGCGCATAGTCGTCGGATTCAAAAACCTCACTTGATCTCGTAAATCAAACATCTGGACGCGGTTGATTGTTTCGCTTATCTTGCCTAGCAATCGAAGGCGCCCGGTCGTAACAATCGTTGCCGGGAAATTCCAGCCGTCGGCATATGTGCTAATTTGAAACCGAGACAAAAAATACACTCAATATCTGAGTCAGAGAGGTAAGTCGAAAAATGCAAGTCCAGGAATTATTTTAATACGTGAGAAAAATTAAAAATGGTGTGTGAACTTATTACCATCCTGAACAATATGAAAAAATTAATATAAAGTAAAGAATCATTGCTTTTTCCAAAGCTAAATATCCAAACTAAATTTGATGGCTTCGATTAACACAGTACTATCAATATTTTTAATAAATATCACACTATTTAAAAATCACATTAGTCTACGATGTATAACTTCATGCATGCGTCACATGTAAAGAAAGATGAATAAAATGAATGGGGATTTGCCATAAAACTACTGAGAGAGAGAGAGAGAGAGAGCCCAAGTTAAGGGAATTACTGTGAAAACATAACCAGCAGGCGGTTGCAACTCCCACTTGGCTAGAATGGTCAGGATGACGTCTTTTCTTAGTTTCTTGGGGAATTTTTTCTTTTTATTGCTACGCTTGCGCGAGTATATAATATTATGAGCGTATATAAAGAAATAAGTTCTATACATCGTGCGCGTGTATAGGTGTGCGTGTGGTGATCGAAATAAA